TCGTAATAGCCACTGGTGGCGCTACGATCGAGCCCAGGAATTCCAGCCTAGTTCGGCAAGGGTGGAAACTGGACTTTCAAAGTCAGTTTACTCTCTTGCCTCGGGAAGATGCCAGAAATAGACTTCACAATTTGTACCAATGCGGACAATCGAAACCCGGGCCTTCGGCGGGTCGAGCGAACTCTTTAACCACTAGGCTACCCCACAGCCCCACTACAGTCAAGGGTTTGAAAGGACTTTAGTGCTTTAGTGCTTATCAGTATTCGTCTGATAATATCGCCTAAAACAGTAAAGAACCTGCCGTCCATTCATGGCTTGGTTCAATGACCACTGGAAACAAATTACAGCGAAAAAAGCTACTGATTATTTTTTTGCATTAACACATAAAATGTTTCGATTCGTGATATTTTGAACACCATACAACACATGTTCAATAGAGGGTGTGACCGCCTCCGTGGTCTAGTGGTAGAGCGTCCGCCCGGAGAACGGAAGGTCCGGGGTTTGATCCTCGACCGCGTCATACCAAAATACCAAGATGGTACTTGTTGCTACCCTGCCTTACCCTGCATTAAGGGCTAAACCCCATTTCACCTCACCTAACCTTAAGAGGATGCACCTATTTTGTGTGAACCTTTTTTTTAAAATCCTTCTACTACTTGTTTTTTTATTCGAACAGAAACGAAATGACACTATGGGTGACAACATTGGGTTCAACCTCCCATCCATCATCTCAGAGGGTAACCTTCACCTTCAGTGCTACGAAGACATGGCGGGTTTCTACACCGTGTACGTTCCTCCATGTGACACGACACTGCGTTACCATACCAACGGATTAGCTATAATCTTAACGCCACAAGATGCTGTAACGAAGAAACAACCATATTTGTGTGGTAATTGCGATGGTAACACGTATCCTCTGACGTCACTTCCGGGTGGCGTTGGGATGAATCTGACGTCCAAGGAAGATATTCTGGCTGGCTGGCTATATCATACTTCACTACTGATTGAAGGAGGTGAAAGGTATATCACCAATAATCTAATATTAAACAGAGGAGCAAAACAACTCTACCGCTCAGTTGATTTTCAAATTTGTTTGATTCTCAATTGGTAATATCAAAAGTTAGCGTAAAAAGTTGTAAAAATTATATTTACCTGTGCTGGCGCTCAGTCAGCACTTAAAGAATACTTCTACATGGTTTTCGTTTTTTAGAAAAATATAATGTGAATTTAAAAATTTAAAAATTGAGAAAAAACCCAGGATACCAACTGCTGATTGGTATCCTGGACACCGAATCCTTGAAATTGAATAGATTTGCTCTTTTCGGCACACATTTTCAATATTTCCAACATGGTAGGAGTCATGTGGTTGCAAATTCATTCTTACCCCAGTCTTTATTGAACAAATTTATTTTTACACAAAATTACCCAGCCATAGATTACATTCTACAAACTGTTGCAGAAATATATATTTTTAAATTAACAATTACATAAAAACAAAATCGGTATACTTTCTTTTGCCCTTCAGTTTATATGCAAAGAGGTTGTAGAATAAACAGGGGAGCAAGTGGAGTTAAAGTACAGTTAGAATTATGATAATGTAAATAGCACATAAACAAAAAACAACATTGTCGACTACGGGGTATAACAACAGTTATAAACTTTCCACTTTTTCCCAAGACAAATCCAATCCTCTATAGATCATATTCATTCGGAAGCCTTTTAGGGCCATTTAAAAAAAAAATCGATACTATCTTGAAATTTCAAGATCCTAAGTTGAAATTTGAAGAAACTGAGTTGATACTATCTTAAAATTTCAAGATACAGAAGTTGAAATTTCAAGATACTAAGTTGAAATTTCAAGATACTAAGTTCAACTTAGTATCTTGAAATTTCAAGATACTATCTGGAAATTTCAAGATACTAAGTTGAACTTGTATCTTGAAATTTCAACTTCTGTATCTTGAAATTTCAACTTATTATCTTGAAATTTCAACTTATTATCTTGAAATTTCAACTTAGTATCTTGAAATTTCAAATTCTGTATCTTGAAATTTCAAGATAGTATCAACTTAGTTTCTTGAAATTTCAAGATAGTATCGAAAAAAACAAAAAACACAAACATACAAATGGCCCTAAAAGGCTTCCGTATATTCATCACAAGTATCCGTTTTACTATTCAGAACGTGTCTACACTACCGGTCTGATCTTGCTCGCTGTTCTCCCCGAGAGGCTTTCGACGCACTGCGCATATGCGGAAGTCTACTGTCCAACCTCGGGGACACGTCACGATGTATTCAAGCGAGGGCTGGTCGTCCTCAGATCCACTTCGCGTTCTTCAAGTGCATCCGGGTTCAGTGTAACCCTGGGGTCAAAGACAGGAAGCAGAGCGCTTGCTCTGTTGTAAAGGATGTCGTGAATCATTTTGCCTGTCCTGTCGGACCTAACATAAACTGTTAAGATTTAACATTGGTCGCTATATCTGATTATGTTTTACCTGTATAAATGTTTCCCTCAAGGGTAAATTGGTCAATGGCATGTAAGACTTTTGCACGTCATATATATATATATAGTAAAAGAAACCATGTATATAATTTGATGATTAAATATCTCCAATTCGTGTATATGGATCTGAAGATTAGGGTGGAAATAATTTCAATGTTATTGAAAAAGTTAAAACGTCGTATTTTATAAGGTTTCTTGGTGTAGGAATGTATGCAGCACATAATACAATAATCGGGGAGACTGACAGATTTTATATGTCCATTGTTTGTAAATGTAGCTTAACGGTAAATCGTTACCACCATCAGTGTTGTTTAGAATAGGTCTTCAGCAACCCATGATTGCCGTAAAAGGCGACAATGCATGTCGTAAGAGGCGACTAACGGGATCGGGTTGTCAGGCTCGCTGACTTGGTTGATGTATGTCATCGATCCCAACTGCCTGGATCGATGCTCATGATGTCAATCACTGGATTGTCTGGTCCAGACTCGATTATATACAGACCGCCGTCATACCGCTGGAATATTGCTGAGTGCGGCGTTAAACAACAAACAAACAAACAAACAAACCATCAGTGTTGTTTGTTACTTAAACGTTTACATGATATCATGAGTAAACACACTTAGGCTTCAAAGGTTTGAAATAGTTGCTTTTCAAGTTGGTTTCGTTCGCTGGGTTATTTCCAGAGGTGGGGAATTTAAAGCTATTTATGGCTGCTTTTTACAAAGATTAATTGGTGTCTTTATTCGATAGCTCCATGTACGTTTCGAAAACATTATGCACACATAACGTCATTTGATTTGCATTTCTAGAGATTGTTGAGTAAATAAGTGAGTGTGTGAGTGAGTTGGGTTTAACGCCGCTTTTAACAGTATTCCACTTATATCGCGGCGTGTCAGTATAATGTGGGAGGAAAGCCCGAAGTGATGCAGGACTTAGACGTTTACCACTTCGGTGAAACCCACGAGCACGGGTATGGTGCTGACAAACCTAGAACCATAATCGGGGCGAACCGGGATTCGAACCCATAATCATAGGTTTCTGGCATGCCCAAGGGACGCAACTCTGCACAGCGAATTGCGGCGCCTTAGACGACTGGGCCAACCGTGCCCCCTTGAGTAAATAAGAAAACGTACTTAATGTATAATAACTACTGGTTTATTGCATATAGCAAAGTTTCGATGTAGATTCTTACACCGTTTCAAGCTGGAGGATCATTAGCATCCAGCTTTTGAATCATTTTAATCCTTACCCTTACTATACAAATGACGTCATAACCTTGTGCTGTTTGTTATTGTTACTGTACGTCCCGCTCCATCCAATTATCTGTGTGCTACATTTTATCTATAACTTGTTGTTGTTATAATCTGCTGCGTATCACAACAGTTGTCAATCGAGTCTGATAACGGTGTAAGAATATACATTGAAATGTCGCTATATACAATAAACAAAGTATGTATCCACAGTTGTACGTGTTCTTATATATGAAGTCCATTTAGCCTGAACTGTACACCTTACAGCTAACCAATAGATCACAAATCAGATATCCTTGTAAATTCTGAATTTCACTTCATAACTTAAAGGGTAATTTAGCAAGAGACTCATTTGATTGTATTTGCTCCAATTGCAATGGTAGTGCTATCGAAGATGCGTATCATGTACGGTAGTAAATATCTATCAAGTATATATTTGCAGTATAAATGAAATCAAACCTAAATTAATATTCTTCAGTCAAACTTAATTATACAATAAAACATCTTAATGCATATTTTATAAAAAGTTTTTTCTTTATTACATTATTTAGGTTTCTATACAAACATTTCCATGTTGTGCTTTGACAAAACATCAATATTTTATCCTTATCCTGGAACACTCACATGAAATAATTTAATGTATACGTTAATGGGAGTTACATTGTCTCAAAACTGGAAGCTTGAGATATAGTGTCAACTATTTGTAGATTTGGTCATCTGGGTGAACCAACATGTTACGTCATACTACTCGTATATTACAAATTTAATTTCAACGGTGAGTGAGTTTAGTTAAACGCTGCTTTTAACAGTGTTCCGGTTATATGAAGGCATATTAGCTTGATGTGGGAGGAAAGCGATCAAGGTCTCAGACGTTTACAGTTATGGTGAAACCCACGAGCACGGGTATGCGGCTGACAAACCTAGAAACATCACTGGGGTGAACCGGGATTCGAACACACAGTCATAGGTTTCTGGCGTGCGCAAGGGAAGCAACTCTGCACAGAGAATTGCGGCGCCTAGACGACCGGGATCCTCACCCATGACACCCCCCCCACACACACACACACACAAACACACACCCCACGCGCGCGCACACACAAACACACACACACACACACACTCATTTCAAGAGTGCTGATACGGTCGTCATAGGGGCATGTTACTTTGTCATTATGTGCACTATGCTGAGACAGTATGATCTTTGAACAGCAGTGATAACATACGCAATCAGTAACTGATATACACAGACACATGCTGTGTGTGATCATTCATCAACACCCCGATCACCATCACTAGATCGTCAACACGCATATTCACTGACCATCATGGAGACTGTAGGATACGTTTCCGTTATGCTGATATTGCTCTCAAGGACGTGCCCTGTCAGCTGCAGTGACGTTGTGTCGGATGGAGACAGAATAGACGACATGGAGGATGATATGCTGGTCATGAAGATGGACATTAATCGTATAGAAGAGAAGATTTTGACGGACAAGATCTCTCGGAGAAGAGAACTGAGACAACAGATATGGAAACAGGTCAGAGCGGCTATGTCGGAGATGTTGCAAGACGGATCTCTGAAAGACATGATGAGTGGTCAGCTGCAGATGAGACAGATGAAACATAACTACCATCAGATGAAGAGGCAGCTTATCCACGTCACGAAATCATTCAGGGACTTCCGGGACGAGACCAGTGTGTTCAAAGAGGCCATTTTAAAGGGAGATAACTCCAGTACTTCCGCTTGCAAAGACATGGCTAGACTCGAAATGGAACTAAAGCAGCAGAATGTAGATATTGAGCATATGAAGGCAGAAAGCAAGCACTTAACACGGGAATTAGCGCAAATCAAAGCAGACCGTGAATCACGAAACTGTACCCTTAACAATGCAGACACATCAACATCCATGCCACAGATTATGTCAACTCAACAGCCTTCCCGTAATGGTATGTCAACTTTATTTCTTTGTAATGATTTGACGAATCGAATTTCGTTAAAACATGCTTAACGTTTTCATAAACATTCATCAATAACTCTTAAAGTACATGTACTTACTAACAAACGTAAATTAAGAAGGAAGCTACCAGTTCGTGCTCGGGGTTGTACAGGTCAAGTCGTTTAATAACACCGTTATCGTCATATGTGTACCCTGAAAACGAACAGTATCACTTTTGTAGGTAATACTAAATGGAATACAAGAAACACAATGCCATTTAAAGATCTATGTTTGATTTGTTCTTCTTGGGATTCGGACCCGCGAAGTCCGCACTGAAGGCTAACGAACGTAGTCTTCTGCAACGACGACGAGACACTGGGTCCTCATGGTCTAACCTATACATCATAGGTTTGTGGCGTGCCAATGGGCGCCTTTGCCATTCATGCCCCCCCCCCCCCACACACACACACACACAAACACACACTCACACACACAAATCTCATTTCCATCGGAAGTCCCTGTTGTGGAATGTTATCCTGCACAGCTACCATACTTCATCTGTAAGTCTTCTTATTACTTAGGGTGTAACACAGCGAACGGTTTAACCATGAACTGCTCCATTACCGTTATAGACGTTGTTATCGATAATAGTCGGTTTTATTTACTTCGCAGAATGTACGAAAATGGCAGTTCCTAACTTTTCCTTCGAGACCACAGGAAACTGGTTAAATACTGGTGTAGGCTGGACATCAGACGATACTCAGGCTCAAGATGGCGGCCGATCTGCCAAAGTGACAAGTGGCGGTGCTTACCAGGAGTTCGTCTTCCCTTCCCCATGAGTACATCCCAGGGGTAAAACACGTCCCCGTGAGTACATACCAGGGTAGAGCTGACTCTTGAGTACATCCCAGGGGTAGAACACGTCCCCGTGTGTACGTCTCAGGGTAGCACTGGTTCCCGTGAGTACAGTCCGGGGTAGAACTGGTCCCCGTGAGTACATCCCAGGGGTAGAACACGTCCTCGTGAGTACATCCCAGGGGTAGAACACGTCCTCTTGAGTACATCCCAGGGTAGAGCTGCTCCCCGTGAATACATCCCATGGGTAGAACATGTCCCCGTGTGTACGTCCCAGGGTAGCACTGTTCCCCGTGAGTACATCCCAGGGGTAGAACACGTCCTCGTGTGTACGTCTCAAGGTAGCACTGGTCCCCGTGAGTACAGCCCAGGGGTAGAACACGTCCTCGTGTGTACGTCTCAAGGTAGCACTGGTCCCCGTGAGTACATCCCAGGGGTAGAACACGTCCTCGTGTGTACGTCTCAAGGTAGCACTGGTCCCCGTGAGTACAGCCCAGGGGTAGAACATGTCCCCGTGTGTACGTCCCAGGGTAGCACTGTTCCCCGTGAGTACATCCCAGGGGTAGAACACGTCCTCGTGTGTACGTCTCAAGGTAGCACTGGTCCCCGTGAGTACAGCCCAGGGGTAGAACACGTCCCCGTGAGTACGTCCCAGGGTAGAACTGTTCCCCGTGAGTACATCCCAGGGGTAGAACTGTTCCCCGTGAGTACGTCTCAGGGTAGCACTGTTCCCCGTGAGTACATCCTAGGGTAGAACTGTTCCCCGTGAGTACATCCCAGGGTAGAACTGTTCCCCGTGAGTACATCCCAGGGTAGAACTGTTCCCCGTGAGTACATCCCAGGGTGGGAACTGTTCCCCGTGAGTACTTCCCAGGGGTAGAACACGTCCCCGTGAGTACGTCCCAGGGTAGCACTGGTCTCCGTGAGTACATCCCAGTGGTACAACACGTCCCCGTGAGTACGTCCCAGGGTAGAGCTGCTCCCCGTGAATACATCCCAGTATTACCCACTGTTACCCGTGAGTACATCCCAGGCAAGAATGGCCCCCTGTTCGTACATCCCAGCGTAGAATTGGTCCCCGTGAGAACATTCCAGTGTAGAACTGGTTCTCGTTAGTACATCCCAAGGTAGAACTGGTCACAGTGAGTACATCCTAGGGTAGAACTTGTTCTCGTGAGTATATCCCTGGGTAGAACTTGTTCTCGTGAGTACATCCTAGGGTAGAACTGGTCCCCGTGAGTACATCCTGGTGTTGAACTGGTTCTCATGAGTACATCCCAGGGTAGTACTGGGCCCCTTGTGTACATCCCAGGGTAGAATTAGCCCCCTGAGTACACCAATAGGTAGAACCTGTTCTCGTGAGTATATCCCTAGGTAGAACTTGTTCTCGCGAGTACATCCAAGGGTTGAACTTGTCCCCGTGGGTATATCCCTGGGTAGGACTGGCCCCTTGACTACATCCAACGGTAAAACTGGTCCCCGTGAGTACAATCATGTGTAGAACTGGTCCCCATGTGTGTATCCCAGGGTAGAACTGGTTCTCGTGAGTACATCCCACAGTAGACTTGACCCTGAGAGTACATCCCAGGGTAGAACTGGTCCCCGTGAGTACATCATAGGGTAGAACTGGTCCGCGTTAGAACAATCCAGTGAAGAACTGGTTCTCGTGAGTACATCCCAAGGTAGAACTGATCACCGTGAGTACATCCCAGGGTAGAAATGGTACTCGTGTGTGTATCCCAGGGTAGAACTTGTCCCCCTGTGAGTGCATCCCTGTTTTTAACTGGTCCCCCTGTGTGTATCCCAGGGTAGAACTGGTACTCTTGAGTACATCCCAGGGAAGAACTGGTTCCCATTCGTACACCCCAGGGTAGAACTTGTTCTCGTGAGTACATCCCAGGGTAGAACTTGTTCTCGTGAGTACATCCCAGGGTAGAACTTGTTCTCGTGAGTACATCCCAGGGTAAAACTGGTCCCCGTGAGTGCATCCCAGGGTAGAACTGGTACTCGTGAGTACATCCCAAGGTAGAACTGATCACCGTGAGTACATCCCAGGGTAGAAATGGTACTCGTGTGTGTATCCCAGGGTAGAACTGGTCCCCCTGTGAGTGCATCCCAGTTTTTAACTGGTCCCCCTGTGTGTATCCCAGGGTAGAACTGGTACTCGTGAGTACATCCCAGGGTAGAACTGGTACTCTTGAGTACATCCCAGGGAAGAACTGGTTCCCATTCGTACACCCCAGGGTAGAACTTGTTCTCGTGAGTACATCCCAGGGTAGAACTGGTCCCCGTGAGTGCATCCCAGGATTGAACGGGTTCTCGTGAGTACATCCCAGGGTAGTACTAGGCCACTTGTGTATATCCCAGTGAAGAATTTGGCCCCTTAGTACACCCATGGGTAGAACCTATTCTCGTGAGTATATCCCTGGGTAGAACTGGACCCCATGAGTACATACCAGGGTAGAACTGGTCCCCGTTAGTACGTCCCAGTGTAGAACCGGTCCCCTTGAGTACACCCCATGGTAGAACTGGTCCCCGTGAGTATATCCCAGGGTAGAACTGGTACTCGTAAGTAAATATCAGGGTAGAACTGGTCCCCGTGAGTACATCCCAGGATTGAACTGGTTCTCGTGAGTACATCCCAGGGTAGAATTGGCCCCCTGAGTACACCCATTGTTAGAACCTGTTCTCGTGAGTATATCCCTGGGTAGAACTTGTTCTCGTGAGCACATCCCAGGGTAGAACTGGTCCCCGTTCGTACGTCTCAGGGTAGAAATTGTCCCCGTGGGTATATCCCAGTGTAGAACTTTTTCTCGTGAGTACATCCCTGGGTAGAACTGGCCCCCTGACTACATCCTAGGGTAAAACTGGTCCCCGTGAGTACAATCCAGTGTAGAACTAGTTCTCGTGAGTACATCCCTGGGTAGAACTAGTTCCCGTGAGAATATTCCATGGTATAACCGGTCCTCATTAAATTCCAGGGTAGACGTTTTCACCAAGAATACATTCTAGGGTAGAACTGGGCCCCATGAGTACATCCCAGGGTAGAACTGGTCACCATGAGTACATTCCAGGGTAGAGCTGGTCCTTTGCCGCTCAAGTCATCGCCGAATGACATCCGTGCGTCATTGTGTTGTTTGCATTAATGTTTTGGATAATTATGTTAATAAACTGCACTATTCATTGTCTCCAACTAAGGGTTCTAATCAATGATTGGTTGGTTTCCAGGGTGAGAAAGTTCATCATCTCCGGCTACAGTAAGAACGTGGGTGGTCGGAACTCCATCACCACACCCTCGGACTACAGCCTCTACTGTGATCTGAAGGTGGCGCATTTCTTCCCATTTTCTTCTTAGTTCATGGATGGTGGTGTGAGTGGATGAATATGGTACTCACAAGCTTCAAATCGGGGTGAATCATAGATACATGGTTTCTGTCAATCCAAGTGAGAGCAATGCTGTACAGCTAGTCCTGCAACATGACCGTGGAATATATTTATTTTATGAAAAAGAAATAATCTAGAAATGCATACAAAAGCAAGCCTAGCCAACTCAAGCTAGCTCTCTGAAATCAGCATAGGGAATTGTTTTTATTTTTAGAGTCAAGAAGGATATTGTGTAATATAAGATGTTAGTCTACTGTACAGCGAATGTATGGAGCTAGGACGACTGGGCCAATGCATTGTATAACGTTGATTTATGCGACGAAAACAATCATTTGTTCAAGAAAAATGCTGAAATATAATTTGTTCCAGAAAATGCCATAACATTTATTTGGTTTTACAACAATATATAGCTCACTTGACATGCTAGATATCCTAAATACATTGTGTTGTTTGACGCACCCTTTTAGTAAAAATACGGCTGTCTTGAATCGGTGACGAAAAACATGATTTCTCAGACAAACAATTTTGGCTTAATCCACCAAATTGTTTCTCGTGAAAAAATCGAAAATAATTCTTTTGTAACGGTATTTAACACGTTCAAAGTTAAGCACAAATCGTGATTCTATGAACAGACTCGACAACTAGTTATGGCCACTGGCAGCGCGCTGTCTTCACATTCTAGCCTCTTATAATTAAATTTTCGTTGTGTTCATTGAAATTCCAGCATTCTGATTAGCTGAACTGGTCACGTGTTGTTGCATTCATTTCCCAATGAATGTAACAAATTAAGCCACGCCCACCGAGGCGCACTACTTTTATTATTATTATTGGAATCCCAATATAACAGTCGAGGGAATTCCCTTTCTGCTCACGTGTATCGTCATGCACAGGACCATTACCGAAATTCATACATATTCATTGTCCAAAGAACTCTTTGAGACCGAAAGCCGAGAAGGAATGGAGCAGCGAACGTGCAGGCTCGCTCGCCTGTTTTTTCCCGCTTGCCTATGTTCCACAACTCTCATGTCTTCAGGTTTAACTAGCATTTTTTCCAACCGTGTCCTTCCGTTCTCAGGGAACTAATGTTTGAATCTGGCGGTAACTGACCATGTCATTTGAAACAGCCAACTTCTCCCGAACATATTTGTTCCGTTTCGTTACAGTCTGACTGTTGCAGTTCTTCTCCCCTCTTGACTTGATTGACTGGTCCTATTGGCTTTGTTTTTATCATACTCTCCGTTGATTGGCTACTAACTTTGTAGGCATGCCAAGTCATGTACATAAATTAAACAATCACTTGCTTCATGTCACGCCACAGTATGTATTCCTACACCCGAAATGTTTAATATCGATCTCGTCATTTTTGTCTGCTTTAAAATATACAACTGTTTTTGGTTAAACTATTGTAGATAAAACATGTTTTCGTTGTCCAATTTCATTTTAAGCATTGACTGTGAATTTGTTTCGGTTCATTGAGGTATGAATCGAAAATCCGATGTGCAAACTTTTGTAAGAATCCGCTCCGCTATGCCCATGATAGGGTCCTTCTTGCCAGATGATCTACAATAGGTTTCTCTTCGACACAAACGTGACACGAGTGTTCTATTGGTTCGCAGAAACCATCTGGTTCCTTTTTGTGGGGGCACATTGCTACGTTCACACCTGGCAGGAGCACCTGGCACAGGGTACAGGTGAATGTCAGTCTGTCCAAGGTATGTATATCGCCAGACATCACACATCACTTTAATCTCGGGTGTTTAATTTCCTTAAATGAAAACAAAACGCTTGGTATTACAGCTCGTTGTAATACATGACGTCATAAATGATGCATGACCTATGTGAGTGTGTACTAATTCACGTCATTCTTAGAGATATCCAAGCCCTTCTGCTGACGGGGACACCATATATGGACTTTACGTGTTTTAGGGAATCGAACCTGGGTGTTCGACGAGACGAACAAACGCTATAACCAGTGGACTAGCCACACGTCCATTTATTGTTATGACAATTTATAATTTCAAGCCAAGGTTGTCTTCAGTGAATTCATTTTTGGAGCAACGTTTCATATGTGTTTTCCAGATTGTTATTTTTCAAAAACAGAATCTGTCATTTTCTGTTTTTCGTGAATGAATGTGGCAAGTCCTCAATAAAAATGTTCTCCATTGTCTTGGAAAGTAATCATCAATTACCTCTAGCTCAGTAGCTGGTCTTATATTTGGACACAACCGCCTCGTGTTTTTAGGCGGATGCTGTTGTCATGGCTAGATGTCATCTTCTGTACCGGAACTCAGCCTCGGTTGGAGCCGCATACTTCGACAATGTCTCCCTCTACCGACTGTCAGATGACGTCACAGATTTCACCCAATGCCAAATAGACATGTTGCAAGTGTCTCCACAGCCTTCTAGTAGTGGTGTGTCAACTTTATTTCTCTGAAATAATTTAGCGAATCGAAATTTCTTAGCACTTGCTGAACAGTTCCATAAAACTTTCATCGACAACGTTTACAGCACGTATTAAAGAACGTAGACCTTGAAGGACCCTACCTGTTCGTGATCGGAGGTGCAAAGGTCAAGTCAATAAATAACACCCCTCTAATCGTCATATTTCTACTCTGTCAAAAAACATCTCAAAAACGAAATGGATGGCAAGAAACCGTGTGCTATTTAAAAAAATGCCTTTTATCTATTGTGCTTGTGTTATAGCATTAATGCAACTATACAATGATTTCTGTGCTTTACCTTCTCAAAATATCTTAGAAGATGTCAACATTAGATTCAGTTTAATGATTTAACTAATTGGTTAACACACGCTAAACGTTTCCATAAACACTCATCAATAAGGCCATGTACTTACTAACAAACGTAAATTAAGAAGGATGCTACCAGTTCGTGATCAGGGTTGTATAGGTCAAGTCGCTTAATAACACCCCGTTGTCGTCATATTTGTACCCTGAAAACGAACAGTATCACTATTGTAGGTAATACTAGATGGAATGCAAGAAACACAATGCCATTTAAAGATCCATGTTTGATTTGTTGTTCTTGCTCCACAGTTTCTGATATAGCATTTATGCAAAGGGTCTATGATTTATATGCTTTGCCTTTCACATAACAATTTCATGAAAAACGTGTGTCGCCAGCAGGATTCGAACCCGCGAAGTCGGCACTGAAGGCTAACGAAAGTAGTCTTCTGCCACGGCGACGAGACACTGGGTCCTCATGGTCTAACCTATACATCATAGGTTTGTAGCGTGCCAATGGGCGCCTTAGATGACTGGGTCATTCATGCCCCCAACCCCAAACCTCATTTTCATCGAAAGTCCCTGTTGTGGACTGTTATCCTACACAGCTACCATACTTCATCTGTAAGTCTTCTTATAACTTAGGGTGTAACACAGCGATCCGTTTACCCTAGAACTGCCCCCGTACCTTTATAGACGGTGTTATCTAATAGGTTTTATTTATTTTGCAGAATGTACGAAAATGGCAGTTCCTAACTTTTCCTTCGAGACCACAGGAAACTGGTTTAATTATGGTGTAGGCTGGACACCAGACGATACTCAGGCTCAAGATGGCGGCCGATCTGCCAAAGTGACCAGTGGCGGGGCTTACCAGGAGTTCGTCTTCCCTTCCCCGTGAGTACATCCCAGGGGTAGAACACGTCCCCGTGAGTACGTCCCAGGGTAGAACTGCCCCCCCCCCCCCCCCCCCCCCCCCCCATGAGTACATCCCAGTGAAGAATGAGTTCTCGTGAGTACATCCCATGATAGAACTGGTCCCCGTGAGTATATTCCAGTGTAGAACTGGTCCCCGTGAGTACATCTCAGGGTAGAACTGGTTCACGTGAGTACATGCCAGGGTAGAACTGGTCCCCGTGAGTACATCACAGGGTAAAACTGGTCCCCGTTAGTACGTCCCAGTGTAGAACCGGTCCCCTTGAGTACACCCCATGGTAGAACTGGTCCCCGTGAGTATATCCCAGGGTAGAACTGGTACTCGTAAGTAAATATCAGGGTAGAACTGGTCCCCGTGAGTACATCCCAGGATTGAACTGGTTCTCGTGAGTACATCCCAGGGTAGAATTGGCCCCCTGAGTACACCCATTGTTAGAACCTGTTCTCGTGAGTATATCCCTGGGTAGAACTTGTTCTCGTGAGCACATCCCAGGGTAGAACTGGTCCCCGTTCGTACGTCTCAGGGTAGAAATTGTCCCCGTTGGTATATCCCAGTGTAGAACTTTTTCTCGTGAGTACATCCCTGGGTAGAACTGGCCCCCTGACTACATCCTAGGGTAAAACTGGTCCCCGTGAGTACAATCCAGTGTAGAACTAGTTCTCGTGAGTACATCCCTGGGTAGAACTAGTTCCCGTGAGAATATTCCATGGTATAACCGGTCCTCATTAAATTCCAGGGTAGACGTTTTCACCAAGAATACATTCTAGGGTAGAACTGGGCCCCATGAGTACATCCCAGGGTAGAACTGGTCACCATGAGTACATTCCAGGGTAGAGCTGGTCCTTTGCCGCTCAAGTCATCGCCGAATGACATCCGTGCGTCATTGTGTTGTTTGCATTAATGTTTTGGATAATTATGTTAATAAACTGCACTATTCATTGTCTCCAACTAAGGGTTCTAATCAATGATTGGTTGGTTTCCAGGGTGAGAAAGTTCATCATCTCCGGCTACAGTAAGAACGTGGGTGGTCGGAACTCCATCACCACACCCTCGGACTACAGCCTCTACTGTGATCTGAAGGTGGCGCATTTCTTCCCATTTTCTTCTTAGTTCATGGATGGTGGTGTGAGTGGGTGAATATGGTACTCACAAGCTTCAAATCGGGGTGAATCATAGATACATGGTTTCTGTCAATCCAAGTGAGAGCAATGCTGTACAGCTAGTCCTGCAACATGACCGTGGAATATATTTATTTTATGAAAAAGAAATAATCTAGAAATGCATACAAAAGCAAGCCTAGCCAACTCAAGCTAGCTCTCTGAAATCAGCATAGGGAATTGTTTTTATTTTTAGAGTCAAGAAGGATATTGTGTAATATAAGATGTTAGTCTACTGTACAGCGAATGTATGGAGCTAGGACGACTGGGCCAATGCATTGTATAACGTTGATTTATGCGACGAAAACAATCATTTGTTCAAGAAAAATGCTGAAATATAATTTGTTCCAGAAAATGCCATAACATTTATTTGGTTTTACAACAATATATAGCTCACTTGACATGCTAGATATCCTAAATACATTGTGTTGTTTGACGCACCCTTTTAGTAAAAATACGGCTGTCTTGAATCGGTGACGAAAAACATGATTTCTCAGACAAACAATTTTGGCTTAATCCACCAAATTGTTTCTCGTGAAAAAATCGAAAATAATTCTTTTGTAACGGTATTTAACACGTTCAAAGTTAAGCACAAATCGTGATTCTATGAACAGACTCGACAACTAGTTATGGCCACTGGCAGCGCGCTGTCTTCACATTCTAGCCTCTTATAATTAAATTTTCGTTGTGTTCATTGAAATTCCAGCATTCTGATTAGCTGAACTGGTCACGTGTTGTTGCATTCATTTCCCAATGAATGTAACAAATTAAGCCACGCCCACCGAGGCGCACTACTTTTATTATTATTATTGGAATCCCAATATAACAGTCGAGGGAATTCCCTTTCTGCTCACGTGTATCGTCATGCACAGGACCATTACCGAAATTCATACATATTCATTGTCCAAAGAACTCTTTGAGACCGAAAGCCGAGAAGGAATGGAGCAGCGAACGTGCAGGCTCGCTCGCCTGTTTTTTCCCGCTTGCCTATGTTCCACAACTCTCATGTCTTCGGGTTTAACTAGCATTTTTTCCAACCGTGTCCTTCCGTTCTCAGGGAACTAATGTTTGAATCTGGCGGTAACTGACCATGTCATTTGAAACAGCCAACTTCTCCCGAACATATTTGTTCCGTTTCGTTACAGTCTGACTGTTGCAGTTCTTCTCCCCTCTTGACTTGATTGACTGGTCCTATTGGCTTTGTTTTTATCATACTCTCCGTTGATTGGCTACTAACTTTGTAGGCATGCCAAGTCATGTACATAAATTAAACAATCACTTGCTTCATGTCACGCCACAGTATGTATTCCTACACCCGAAATGTTTAATATCGATCTCGTCATTTTTGTCTGCTTTAAAATATACAACTGTTTTTGGTTAAACTATTGTAGATAAAACATGTTTTCGTTGTCCAATTTCATTTTAAGCATTGACTGTGAATTTGTTTCGGTTCATTGAGGTATGAATCGAAAATCCGATGTGCAAACTTTTGTAAGAATCCGCTCCGCTATGCCCATGATAGGGTCCTTCTTGCCAGATGATCTACAATAGGTTTCTCTTCGACACAAACGTGACACGAGTGTTCTATTGGTTCCCAGAAACCATCTGGTTCCTTTTTGTGGGGGCACATTGCTACGTTCACACCTGGCAGGAGCACCTGGCACAGGGTACAGGTGAATGTCAGTCTGTCCAAGGTATGTATATCGCCAGACATCACACATCACTTTAATCTCGGGTGTTTAATTTCCTTAAATGAAAACAAAACGCTTGGTATTACAGCTCGTTGTAATACATGACGTCATAAATGATGCATGACCTATGTGAGTGTGTACTAATTCACGTCATTCTTAGAGATATCCAAGCCCTTCTGCTGACGGGGACACCATATATGGACTTTACGTGTTTTAGGGAATCGAACCTGGGTGTTCGACGAGACGAACAAACGCTATAACCAGTGGACTAGCCACACGTCCATTTATTGTTATGACAATTTATAATTTCAAGCCAAGGTTGTCTTCAGTGAATTCATTTTTGGAGCAACGTTTCATATGTGTTTTCCAGATTGTTATTTTTCAAAAACAGAATCTGTCATTTTCTGTTTTTCGTGAATGAATGTGGCAAGTCCTCAATAAAAATGTTCTCCATTGTCTTGGAAAGTAATCATCAATTACCTCTAGCTCAGTAGCTGGTCTTATATTTGGACACAACCGCCTCGTGTTTTTAGGCGGATGCTGTTGTCATGGCTAGATGTCATCTTCTGTACCGGAACTCAGCCTCGGTTGGAGCCGCATACTTCGACAATGTCTCCCTCTACCGACTGTCAGATGACGTCACAGATTTCACCCAATGCCAAATAGACATGTTGCAAGTGTCTCCACAGCCTTCTAGTAGTGGTGTGTCAACTTTATTTCTCTGAAATAATTTAGCGAATCGAAATTTCTTAGCACTTGCTGAACAGTTCCATAAAACTTTCATCGACAACGTTTACAGCACGTATTAAAGAACGTAGACCTTGAAGGACCCTACCTGTTCGTGATCGGAGGTGCAAAGGTCAAGTCAATAAATAACACCCCTCTAATCGTCATATTTCTACTCTGTCAAAAAACATCTCAAAAACGAAATGGATGGCAAGAAACCGTGTGCTATTTAAAAAAATGCCTTTTATCTATTGTGCTTGTGTTATAGCATTAATGCAACTATACAATGATTTCTGTGCTTTACCTTCTCAAAATATCTTAGAAGATGTCAACATTAGATTCAGTTTAATGATTTAACTAATTGGTTAACACACGCTAAACGTTTCCATAAACACTCATCAATAAGGCCATGTACTTACTAACAAACGTAAATTAAGAAGGATGCTACCAGTTCGTGATCAGGGTTGTATAGGTCAAGTCGCTTAATAACACCCCGTTGTCGTCATATTTGTACCCTGAAAACGAACAGTATCACTATTGTAGGTAATACTAGATGGAATGCAAGAAACACAATGCCATTTAAAGATCCATGTTTGATTTGTTGTTCTTGCTCCACAGTTTCTGATATAGCATTTATGCAAAGGGTCTATGATTTATATGCTTTGCCTTTCACATAACAATTTCATGAAAAACGTGTGTCGCCAGCAGGATTCGAACCCGCGAAGTCGGCACTGAAGGCTAACGAAAGTAGTCTTCTGCCACGGCGACGAGACACTGGGTCCTCATGGTCTAACCTATACATCATAGGTTTGTAGCGTGCCAATGGGCGCCTTAGATGACTGGGTCATTCATGCCCCCAACCCCAAACCTCATTTTCATCGAAAGTCCCTGTTGTGGACTGTTATCCTACACAGCTACCATACTTCATCTGTAAGTCTTCTTATAACTTAGGGTGTAACACAGCGATCCGTTTACCCTAGAACTGCCCCCGTACCTTTATAGACGGTGTTATCTAATAGGTTTTATTTATTTTGCAGAATGTACGAAAATGGCAGTTCCTAACTTTTCCTTCGAGACCACAGGAAACTGGTTTAATTATGGTGTAGGCTGGACACCAGACGATACTCAGGCTCAAGATGGCGGCCGATCTGCCAAAGTGACCAGTGGCGGGGCTTACCAGGAGTTCGTCTTCCCTTCCCCGTGAGTACATCCCAGGGGTAGAACACGTCCCCGTGAGTACGTCCCAGGGTAGAACTGCCCCCCCCCCCCCCCCCCCATGAGTACATCCCAGTGAAGAATGAGTTCTCGTGAGTACATCCCATGATAGAACTGGTCCCCGTGAGTATATTCCAGTGTAGAACTGGTCCCCGTGAGTACATCTCAGGGTAGAACTGGTCCCCGTTAGTACGTCCCAGTGTAGAACCGGTCCCCTTGAGTACACCCCATGGTAGAACTGGTCCCCGTGAGTATATCCCAGGGTAGAACTGGTACTCGTAAGTAAATATCAGGGTAGAACTGGTCCCCGTGAGTACATCCCAGGATTGAACTGGTTCTCGTGAGTACATCCCAGGGTAGAATTGGCCCCCTGAGTACACCCATTGTTAGAACCTGTTCTCGTGAGTATATCCCTGGGTAGAACTTGTTCTCGTGAGCACATCCCAGGGTAGAACTGGTCCCCGTTCGTACGTCTCAGGGTAGAAATTGTCCCCGTGGGTATATCCCAGTGTAGAACTTTTTCTCGTGAGTACATCCCTGGGTAGAACTGGCCCCCTGACTACATCCTAGGGTAAAACTGGTCCCCGTGAGTACAATCCAGTGTAGAACTAGTTCTCGTGAGTACATCCCTGGGTAGAACTAGTTCCCGTGAGAATATTCCATGGTATAACCGGTCCTCATTAAATTCCAGGGTAGACGTTTTCACCAAGAATACATTCTAGGGTAGAACTGGGCCCCATGAGTACATCCCAGGGTAGAACTGGTCACCATGAGTACATTCCAGGGTAGAGCTGGTCCTTTGCCGCTCAAGTCATCGCCGAATGACATCCGTGCGTCATTGTGTTGTTTGCATTAATGTTTTGGATAATTATGTTAATAAACTGCACTATTCATTGTCTCCAACTAAGGGTTCTAATCAATGATTGGTTGGTTTCCAGGGTGAGAAAGTTCATCATCTCCGGCTACAGTAAGAACGTGGGTGGTCGGAACTCCATCACCACACCCTCGGACTACAGCCTCTACTGTGATCTGAAGGTGGCGCATTTCTTCCCATTTTCTTCTTAGTTCATGGATGGTGGTGTGAGTGGGTGAATATGGTACTCACAAGCTTCAAATCGGGGTGAATCATAGATACATGGTTTCTGTCAATCCAAGTGAGAGCAATGCTGTACAGCTAGTCCTGCAACATGACCGTGGAATATATTTATTTTATGAAAAAGAAATAATCTAGAAATGCATACAAAAGCAAGCCTAGCCAACTCAAGCTAGCTCTCTGAAATCAGCATAGGGAATTGTTTTTATTTTTAGAGTCAAGAAGGATATTGTGTAATATAAGATGTTAGTCTACTGTACAGCGAATGTATGGAGCTAGGACGACTGGGCCAATGCATTGTATAACGTTGATTTATGCGACGAAAACAATCATTTGTTCAAGAAAAATGCTGAAATATAATTTGTTCCAGAAAATGCCATAACATTTATTTGGTTTTACAACAATATATAGCTCACTTGACATGCTAGATATCCTAAATACATTGTGTTGTTTGACGCACCCTTTTAGTAAAAATACGGCTGTCTTGAATCGGTGACGAAAAACATGATTTCTCAGACAAACAATTTTGGCTTAATCCACCAAATTGTTTCTCGTGAAAAAATCGAAAATAATTCTTTTGTAACGGTATTTAACACGTTCAAAGTTAAGCACAAATCGTGATTCTATGAACAGACTCGACAACTAGTTATGGCCACTGGCAGCGCGCTGTCTTCACATTCTAGCCTCTTATAATTAAATTTTCGTTGTGTTCATTGAAATTCCAGCATTCTGATTAGCTGAACTGGTCACGTGTTGTTGCATTCATTTCCCAATGAATGTAACAAATTAAGCCACGCCCACCGAGGCGCACTACTTTTATTATTATTATTGGAATCCCAATATAACAGTCGAGGGAATTCCCTTTCTGCTCACGTGTATCGTCATGCACAGGACCATTACCGAAATTCATACATATTCATTGTCCAAAGAACTCTTTGAGACCGAAAGCCGAGAAGGAATGGAGCAGCGAACGTGCAGGCTCGCTCGCCTGTTTTTTCCCGCTTGCCTATGTTCCACAACTCTCATGTCTTCAGGTTTAACTAGCATTTTTTCCAACCGTGTCCTTCCGTTCTCAGGGAACTAATGTTTGAATCTGGCGGTAGCTGACCATGTCATTTGAAACAGCCAACTTCTCCCGAACATATTTGTTCCGTTTCGTTACAGTCTGACTGTTGCAGTTCTTCTCCCCTCTTGACTTGATTGACTGGTCCTATTGGCTTTGTTTTTATCATACTCTCCGTTGATTGGCTACTAACTTTGTAGGCATGCCAAGTCATGTACATAAATTAAACAATCACTTGCTTCATGTCACGCCACAGTATGTATTCCTACACCCGAAATGTTTAATATCGATCTCGTCATTTTTGTCTGCTTTAAAATATACAACTGTTTTTGGTTAAACTATTGTAGATAAAACATGTTTTCGTTGTCCAATTTCATTTTAAGCATTGACTGTGAATTTGTTTCGGTTCATTGAGGTATGAATCGAAAATCCGATGTGCAAACTTTTGTAAGAATCCGCTCCGCTATGCCCATGATAGGGTCCTTCTTGCCAGATGATCTACAATAGGTTTCTCTTCGACACAAACGTGACACGAGTGTTCTATTGGTTCGCAGAAACCATCTGGTTCCTTTTTGTGGGGGCACATTGCTACGTTCACACCTGGTAGGAGCACCTGGCACAGGGTACAGGTGAATGTCAGTCTGTCCAAGGTATGTATATCGCCAGACATCACACATCACTTTAATCTCGGGTGTTTAATTTCCTTAAATGAAAACAAAACGCTTGGTATTACAGCTCGTTGTAATACATGACGTCATAAATGATGCATGACCTATGTGAGTGTGTACTAATTCACGTCATTCTTAGAGATATCCAAGCCCTTCTGCTGACGGGGACACCATATATGGACTTTACGTGTTTTAGGGAATCGAACCTGGGTGTTCGACGAGACGAACAAACGCTATAACCAGTGGACTAGCCACACGTCCATTTATTGTTATGACAATTTATAATTTCAAGCCAAGGTTGTCTTCAGTGAATTCATTTTTGGAGCAACGTTTCATATGTGTTTTCCAGATTGTTATTTTTCAAAAACAGAATCTGTCATTTTCTGTTTTTCGTGAATGAATGTGGCAAGTCCTCAATAAAAATGTTCTCCATTGTCTTGGAAAGTAATCATCAATTACCTCTAGCTCAGTAGCTGGTCTTATATTTGGACACAACCGCCTCGTGTTTTTAGGCGGATGCTGTTGTCATGGCTAGATGTCATCTTCTGTACCGGAACTCAGCCTCGGTTGGAGCCGCATACTTCGACAATGTCTCCCTCTACCGACTGTCAGATGACGTCACAGATTTCACCCAATGCCAAATAGACATGTTGCAAGTGTCTCCACAGCCTTCTAGTAGTGGTGTGTCAACTTTATTTCTCTGAAATAATTTAGCGAATCGAAATTTCTTAGCACTTGCTGAACAGTTCCATAAAACTTTCATCGACAACGTTTACAGCACGTATTAAAGAACGTAGACCTTGAAGGACCCTACCTGTTCGTGATCGGAGGTGCAAAGGTCAAGTCAATAAATAACACCCCTCTAATCGTCATATTTCTACTCTGTCAAAAAACGTCTCAAAAACGAAATGGAATGCAAGAAACCGTGTGCTATTTAAAAAAATGCCTTTTATCTATTGTGCTTGTGTTATAGCATTAATGCAACTATACAATGATTTCTGTGCTTTACCTTCTCAAAATATCCTAGAAGATGTCAACATTAGATTCAGTTTAATGATTTAACTAATTGGTTAACACACGCTAAACGTTTCCATAAACACTCATCAATAAGGCCATGTACTTACTAACAAACGTAAATTAAGAAGGATGCTACCAGTTCGTGATCAGGGTTGTATAGGTCAAGTCGCTTAATAACACCCCGTTGTCGTCATATTTGTACCCTGAAAACGAACAGTATCACTATTGTAGGTAATACTAGATGGAATGCAAGAAACACAATGCCATTTAAAGATCCATGTTTGATTTGTTGTTCTTGCTCCACAGTTTCTGATATAGCATTTATGCAAAGGGTCTATGATTTATATGCTTTGCCTTTCACATAACAATTTCATGAAAAACGTGTGTCGCCAGCAGGATTCGAACCCGCGAAGTCGGCACTGAAGGCTAACGAAAGAAGTCGAGACACTGGGTCCTCATGGTCTAACCTATACATCATAGGTTTGTAGCGTGCCAATGGGCGCCTTAGATGACTGGGTCATTCATGCCCCCAACCCCAAACCTCATTTTCATCGAAAGTCCCTGTTGTGGACTGTTATCCTACACAGCTACCATACTTCATCTGTAAGTCTTCTTATAACTTAGGGTGTAACACAGCGATCCGTTTACCCTAGAACTGCCCCCTTACCTTTATAGACGGTGTTATCTAATAGGTTTTATTTATTTTGCAGAATGTACGAAAATGGCAGTTCCTAACTTTTCCTTCGAGACCACAGGAAACTGGTTTAATTATGGTGTAGGCTGGACACCAGACGATACTCAGGCTCAAGATGGCGGCCGATCTGCCAAAGTGACCAGTGGCGGGGCTTACCAGGAGTTCGTCTTCCCTTCCCCGTGAGTACATCCCAGGGGTAGAACACGTCCACGTGAGTACGTCCCAGGGTAGAACTGCCCCCCCCCCCCCCCCCATGAGTACATCTCAGTGAAGAATGAGTTCTCGTGAGTACATCCCATGATAGAACTGGTCCCCGTGAGTATATTCCAGTGTAGAACTGGTCCCCGTGAGTACATCACAGGGTAAAACTGGTCCCCGTGAGTTCATCCAAGGGTAGAACTGGTTCACGTGAGTACATGCCAGGGTAGAACTGGTCCCCGTGAGTACATCACAGGGTAAAACTGGTCCCTGTGAGTACATCTCAGGGTAGAACTGGTCCCCGTGTGTACATCCCAGGGTAGAACTGCCCCCCCCCCCCCCATGAGTACATCCCAGTGAAGAATGAGTTCTCGTGAGTACATCCCATGATAGAACTGGTCCCCGTGAGTATATTCCAGTGTAGAACTGGTCCCCGTGAGTACATCACAGGGTAAAACTGGTCCCCGTGAGTACATCCAAGGGTAGAACTGGTTCACGTGAGTACATCCCAGGGTAGAACTGGTCCCCGTGAGTACATCCCAGGGTAGAACTGGTCCCCATGAGTACATCCCAGGGCAGAACGGGTCCCCGTGAGTACACCCCAGGGTAGAGCTGGTCCCCATGAGTACATCCCAGGGTAGAACGGGTCCCCGTGGGTACATGCCAGGGTAGAACGGCTCCCCGTGAGTACATTCCAGGGTAGAACTGGTCCCCGTGAGTACATTCCAGGGTAGAACTGGTCCCCGTGAGTAAGGAAACACACACAGACAAATCTAGAATGACTTCCGTGCATCATTGTGTCGTTTGCATTTATGTTTTGGATAATTATGTTAATAAACTGCACTATTCATTGTCTCCAACTAAGGGTTCTCATCATTGATTGGTTGGTTTCCAGGGTGAGAAAGTTCATCATCTCCGGCTACAGTAAGAACGTGGGTGGTCGGAGCTCGATCACTACCCCCTCGGACTACAGCCTCTACTGTGATCTGAAGGTAACGCTTAGGTCATGGATGGTGGTGTGAGTGAGTAAATATGGTTCTCACAAACCAACAATCAGTACGAATCTTGGATTCAAAAACACGATCAATGGATTCCGACAGGCCAAGGGTAGACAACTACGCACAGCGGATGTAGGGCCTGGGCCAATGCATTGTATTACATTGATGTATGCGACAAAAACAATCATTTGTTTAAGAAAAATTCTGAAATATAATTTGTTCCAGAATAAGTGAGTGAGTTACAATTTTAAATCACATCGGCAATATTTCATCCATATCGTGATTATCAAGGGTTATACATAATAAATACATTGAAACTATATAAAAACCTGTCAACGAAGGACAGTCAAGTAACTAGACTTATCACAGAACAAGACTTATAACTAGTATGGAATCACAAAATGGATAACACTATACATAATAAAATACATGATAAAAACGGACTATAGCAACGGGCTATCGCCAGCAACTGAAGGTAGACCACCATACTAGGGACCATGGGGATTACGGTACTTTAGCTTCCTGCATGGACTCCAGCAGGATTTACATCATCCCTCCGGGTGTTGCCGATTATTAACACATTTAGCCTAACAACACATATTCTAAGATTAAAAGACGTGGTAAGAATATATCCATTTTGAATGACGTTGTCTAACATACCCTATCTAAGGGACAATCATTTTACACTACTTCAACCCCCTTCGAGGATAAAACCACTAACAATCTCAGTTATCACATTAATTCTGCCAATCTTAAAAATTCCTGTATTTAATAAACAACATATTAATCTAAATTTATGGAACAATTCAATTTCTTTTAAAAAAACATTAACTAAATGAGAACTTATATAAAAAGATCCTTAATAGATGAAAGAGTTATTCCCTGTGATGGAAAAAATTAAAATAGACAAGCAGGACATGCTTGACTGATTCTTTCTTCACAAGGAAGCAGAATGGAGGATCCTCACAAATAAGCATGTATATATCTCTAATGGCCAATACGACATCGTCGCATAATGACCTCTTCAAATATGGACTGACAATCAACGTACACATGTAGGTGTAACCGATATTTAGCTTAATTTTGTATAATTTATTTATACCTATTTGGGTGTCCCACTTCTTTAGCATTAGATAATTTGTTCCAGAAAATTCCATAAATTTAATTTGGTTTGACAACAATATATTGTTCCCTTGAAATGCCAGATACCCTGAATATATTGTGGTGCTGTTTGACGCATCCTTTTAGTTAATAACATTGACTCGGTGACAAAAGACATATGATTTCTCTAACAAACAAATTTCAGCTTAATGCACCAAACTGTTTCTCGTGAAAAATCGAAAATAATTCTTTTGTAACGGTATTTAACACGGTCGAAGTTGAACATAAATCGTGATTCCATGAACAAACTCGAAACCCATTTATGGCTACTGCCACCGCGCATTGTTCAGTGAAATAAATTCTGAAAAAAAACATATGAATTCTCTATCAAACAAGTGTCAGGTTGATCCACCAAGCTGTTGTCGTGAAAAGGTGAAAATAATGCTTTTATAACGGGGTAACAGTAAAAGTTGAGCACAAGTCTTAAAAACCAGTTATAGCCAGTGTCACCGAGCTGTCTTCCTGTTCTAGCCCCTAATGTTTTCCAGTTGTTCTTTTCAAATGTCATAACCAGGCCCTTAAAATATGTATTCTTTAACACAAACGTGACTAGAGTGACGATCGAGCTGTGATTTAAGGCCGAAAGCCGAGAAGGAATGGAACGGCAGATGTGCAGGCTCGCTCGCCTGTTTTTCGCCTCGGTTCCACAACTCTCATGTCTTCGGGTTTAACTAGCATTTTTTCCAACCGTGTCCTCCCGTTCTCAGGGAACTAATGTTTGATCATGAATCTGGCGGTAACTGACCATGTCATTTGAAACAGCCGCCTTCTCCAGGACATATTTGTTCCGTTTCGTTACAGTCTGACTGTTGCAGTTCTTCTCCCCTCTTGCCTTGATTGACAGGTCCTATTGGCTTTGTTTTTATCATACTCTCCGTTGATTGGCTACTAACTTTGAAGGCATGCCAAGTCATGTGCATAAATTAAACAATCACCTGATTCATGTCACGCCACAGTATGTATTCCTACACCCGAAATGTTTATCGATCTCGTCATTTTTGTCTGCTTTGATATATATAACTGTTTATGGTTAAACTATTGTAGATAAAACATGTTTTCGTTGTCCAATTTCATTTTAAGCATTGACTGTGTATTTTTTTCGGTTCATTGAGGTATGAATCGAAAAACCGATGTGCAAACTTTTTGTAAGAATCCTCTCCGCTATGCCCATGACAGGGTCCTTCTTGCCAGATGATCTACAATAGGTTTCTCTTCGACACAAACGTGACACAAGTGTTCTATTGGTTCGCAGAAACCATCTGGTTCCTTTTTGTGGGGGCACATTGCTACGTTCACACCTGGCAGGAGCACCTGGCACAGGGTACAGGTGAATGTCAGTCTGTCCAAGGTATGTATATTATTATCATTAAACATATTTTATTGTCCAAAAAGACAAAGGGATTGGGCACTCTTGCAGCACTTCTTACCGCCTTCTCGCTAATGTAGACATGTATATCACCAGACATCACACATCACTTAAATCTCGGATGTTTAATTTCCTTAAATGAAAACATTACATATTCATGACATATGTGGGGGAGTATTATTTACGTCATGTTGAGATATATCCCAGCCATGTCGGCACAGGGACACCAAGAATGGGGTTCGCGTAATGGAAGCAACAGAACCCGGGTCTTCGGCTTGACGAGCTAGCACTATAACCAACGGACTAGCCTAACTTCAAGTTGTTGTAATTAATTTCAAGTCTCGGTTGTCTTCGGTGATTTTTTTAAGCAATGTTTCATATGTGTTTACCGGATGGTCTTTTCAAAATGAAATGGTGTGATTAAATTTTGAACATATTTTTGAAACAGAATGTCTCACTATCTCTGCTGACCCGTGAAGATCCGGGGTAGAATAGGTCTTCAGCAACCCATGCTTGCCGTAAAAGGCGACTATGCTTGTCGTAAGAGGAGACTAATCGGATCGGGTGGTCAGGCTCGCTGACTTTGTTAATGTATGTCATCAATCCCAATTGCCTGGATCAATGCTCATGATATTAATCACTGGATTGTCTGGTCCAGACTCGATTATTTACAAACCGCCGTCATATAGCTGGAATATTTCTGAGTGCGGCGTTAAACAACAAACCGACCTACCATTATCTCTTCTGCATTCTCTTGTAGGTAATCATCCATTCCCTTCAGCTCATTGGCTTGTCTTTTATTAAATCACAATCGTCCTATTTTTTAGACGGATGCTGTTGTCAAGGCTAGATGTTATCTTTTGTACCGGAACTCGGCCTCGGTTGGAGCGGCATACTTCGACAATGTCTCCCTCTACCGACTGCCAGATGACGTCACAGATTTCACCAAATGCCAAATGAATAAATAGCAAGTGTATCTGTGGCACCAAGTGTGTTCGTTAACCAAGCAGTTGTGTTGCATTAATGTTTCCATACACCGAAATAATAGGCAACTCCATATACATGTTGATTTGTACAAGATTAGAGAGCCAATGTAAGTTGATCATAAATCAAATATTCATTCAAGGAATATTTACGGACAACATTATTATGGCAGGAATATCTTACAAATTGGTATTTATTCACCAAAACATTACTTGCAGTCCATTCACAGTGTAGCATCATACATTTCCATTTTAACGTGATTTAATTAGAGAGTATTGTCGTGGCTCGCCATGCGATGACGACACCATAGTCCAATAACACTCCTAATTCGGGTCCGAAAACAAGTTTGTTTTCGCAGATATTCGAGGACATTCGAGTAAGCGCAGCTATCAGCTGATTATCCACGAATTATTCGCCATTGTATTTTTTTAGAAACGATAACAAGCGTTTGCAGTGTAAACATGAAGATTATTGTTAAAAAACAGAATAACCTGTATTGTAAACTATCATTACAATATGTCTAAGGTATATATTTAAATAACTAATCATATTTGTTTCATATCGTATATTCTCCATTAGTTGATGGTTTTTATTACACGTTTCTTTTCCAGCGGTATGTAGGGCAAAAAGCTCGCGAAGGTATGTGGTGGTGAGGTGAGGTGAAACGGGGTTTAACGTCGCGTCCAAGATTATTGCACTTAAATAGCGACGTGCATGCACTTGTATGTGTGTGTGTGTGGTTGCTTGTACAAGTCCGGACTGATGCCGATTTATAGTGCTAGCTTACTGAGATACCATGTCGCAGTTTAACATGAATACCCCACTCAGACACAGTATACTGACTCCGAGCCGACCAGTCCTTGTTTTAGCCCCTTAATACCGAGCGCCAGACAGGGTAACAACAAGTACCATCTTTTAACGTCTTTTGGTATGACGCGGTTGGGGATCGAACCCCGGACCATCCGCTCTCCGGGCGGACGCTCTACCATTAGACCACGGTGGCGGTCCGCGAAGGTATCTAATGCGCTCATATGCAAGTTCTGCGCAACATGCATTACCATTTTCCAGAACACCTGGCGTTATCACTGATTTTCATGATGCTTTCATATACGTTTTACCACTATTTTGCCATTTAAGCCCAATGGAATCTGTTATCGGCGGATAACCGAAACCGATTATTCTCTGGCATTGATCTTTTTATTTCCATGGAACCAACCACAAGTTCGTCTTGTGCAGATGCTTGGAACAATCTAATACTGTTTTATGTAGGTTTGTTTATGTTCAGGATGTGCAAGTGTGTTAGTTACCTGGAAAAATGACACAAATAATATGACGTCACAAGAATTATATATATATATATATATATATATATATATATATATATATATATATATATATATATATATATATATATATCCATATCCATGTAATAATCAGTATTAACCTCATGAAGGAGCAAGAAGTCGCCTTTAAACGTCATTACAGATAATAAAGATGCTGGGATAAAGCTTCATATCCTGAAGTATTAATTGTGTTTTAAGAAAGTCCTGTGCAGAATATATTTCAAAGGCTGTCTGCACACTTCTCTGGACAAACAGGTAGCTTCATCCTCCGAATCCTCGTACACAACGCCTTTATAGGATGTAAACTAAGTTAAATTGACAGGATACTCACAATATATTTTCTTTGCAATAAAGCTTTTGTGACATCCAGTCTGAATCGACATTGATGAATACCATGTAACTAACATGTGTTAAATACGTAACGTATGTTAAGTGTACCCTTCTGTTTCTGTTTCGATAATGATGTATTCTGTGCCTTGATTGATGTATCACCAGGGGGATGTGAGTAGATTCCGTACTATATTCGAGTACGTGTTGAACCAGAGGTTGCCATTTGTCTCCACTTGTAAATGACACGATTATACCGTCAAATAAACAGATCCAAAATGAGAGTGACCTATGATAAATAAATTAAATCATAAATTTTATATTGTTTAATCGACCTGTGAATTGTGATACATTCTTTTTCAATGTTCAAAATCGGAAGCCTGTTGTTCGGGCAACCGATTGTGCAATTTCAAGAGCGGCTCCGATGGAATGTCCATATCCTAGGGAATTACCAATGTTTTGCGCTAGATCTAGTGCTGAGCGTCCCGGATCTTGTCCAAATGCCAGTTGATTACCAGGAATATATTGTGGGAGTCCGAATCCTCTCTGAGACTGGGCGGTTTGGGCATAATCAAAAGCATCTCCAACTGTATTAATTTCCGGAATTGCATACCCTGGATTGCCCTGACCAATCGCAATTGCCGTCCCACCAACACCAGCCTGTGCGACACCTACACCGTTACCACCACGCCCTATTCCAACTGCGGTCCCTGCCTCCCCAGCCCTGGCAGAACCAACGCCAGTGCCTCCATATCTTGCACTTCCGATTGCCACTGATTTTCCTCTTCTACCAGACTGCCCAACGCCTATCCCATTGCCGTCCTGTCCGGCAGTGCCAATACCATACGCCGTACCAAAGTCTCCAGAAACTCCAGTACCCACTGTACTGCCACGAAGACCAGCAGTACCTATTCCATAAGCTGTACCCCGTGTTCCAGCTGTGCCAAAACCAACGGAAGAACTATCGCTTCCTGCGTTGCCAATACCCATGGCAGTTCCTCTATCACCAACCTTCGCTACACCAATTCTAGCATCTCCTCTTCCAGCTGATCTCAGGCCAAAATTCAGAGTACCGCGATTATATCCAGGGTCTATTGCACCTCTATTGAGTCGTCTTATATCCAGTGTGTTATAACCAAGACTTCCTTGTGCCGTTCCTGTTTCGCCTCTTCTCCCAGTAGAGCGTCCCAGACCTATGCCGGTTCCTCCTACACCAGCTTGGCCTATTCCGATTCCTCTGCCCTCTCGACCAGCGAGTCCCACGCCCACTCCAGTACGTCCATCGCCAGCACTGCCCACACCAAGACCAGTTCCACGGTGTCCAGCTGTTCCCATTCCGATATTAGCAGATCTTAGACCGGGAACTCCTAGGTTCAATCCAGGAAGACGTAGCATGGGGCTCGAAGCACCTACAAAAAAAGAGAATGCTGCTCTGAATACGCTTAACCACATTTATAGGTAAAGGTGGATGTTTTGTTAATTATATCTTACTTGCATTGGGGGCGGTCGGGTAGCCTAGTGGTTAAAGCGTTCGCTCGTCACGCCGAAGACCCGGGTTCGATTCCCCACATGGGTACAATGTGTGAAGCCCATTTCTGGTGTTCCCAGCCGTGATATTGCTGGGATATTACTAAAAGTGGCGTAAAACCATACTCACTCACTCACTTACTTGCATTGAGTTGTCAGCAAATAAATACACGACAGAAGGAAATAGTGAGTGAGTGAGTATGGTTTGACGACGCTTTTAGCACTTTTACAGCAATATCACGACGGGGGACACCAGAAAAGGGCTTCACACATTGTACCCGTGTCGGGAATCGAACCCGGGTCTTAGGCGTGACGAGCGAAGGCTTTAACCACTAGGCTACCCGACCGCCCACAGAAGGAAATATTTTCTTAGTATCTTAGTATCACCTAATATTGGGAAGATTGGAAGATAATGTTATTTAAATGCAAAAGATTGAGGAGAATCAGCCCAAAGAACTATGCAACAATTTGCGATATATTATCAATACATTCTGAAATAATTACACATGTAATTTTGCGGTCAAACACCGTTGTGTCCAACTTTGATGTGTCTATCTAACATTTGTCTCGAAGTAAAAGCTTGGTCCCTGCGTATTCGTTCTTTATTCATCATCTTCGGTTGTGTCGAACCTCGGGTAACTCGAAGTATTTACGTAGGTCCCTTCAACTTCGACACAACGGTCTTTGACTGCATTTAATTTAGTTTTTAACGATGTACATTATACATTTCATGAGTCTTCATTTGTTTAGTGAGTGGATGTTGTTTAATGACAGTGTCACCACTGCAGCTACTCGTAAATAATACGAGTCTAAACAAAGTTAACCATTGCAAAAGCATCGGAAAGCATGAGCAGGGATCCACTTTGTCGGGTTACGATGAATCGAATCACACATCGTGAGTACTGGATCAACATTGTATTCGGCTCTTACAACAAGCATATGCTGCCTGCAACTGGAACCCAGTTAGCCACGGAATCCCAACGGTCTGGGACTTAATGAAAAGAGTTCACGAGTGAGTGAGTGAGTTGGGTTTAACGCCGCTTTTAACAGTATTCCAGTTATATCACGGCGTGTCAGCTTAATGTGGGAAGAAATCCCGACAAAACATCAGGTGTTCCTTTACTTATATCGAGGAGTATATATGTGTTTGTATCTCTGTCACAACACAGAGGTAGACCAGTACCAATGCAATCCTTCATCAAAGTGAGGGAGCACGGGTGGCCCAAGGCGCCGCGATTCGCTGTGCAGAGTTGCGTCCCTTGGGCACGCCAGAAACCTATGATTGTGGGTTCGAATCCCGGTTCGCCCCGATTATGTTTCCAGGTTTGTCAGCACCATACCCGTGCTCGTGCGTTTCACCGAAGTGGTAAACGTCTGAGACCTGCATCACTTCGGGCTTTCCTCCCACATTAGCTGACACGCCGTGATATAACTGAAATACTGTAAAAAGCGGCGTTAAACACAACTCACTCACTCACTCACTCTTCCAAGTGATCCAATTAGCATAGATAAATATCCTGGAAACTTATCTTCTTATCTCACTAACGAGATGGTATAAATGTCAGCACGGTTTTCGACATTAACTATCCTTTTCATCAAATCGCCTATTTTAATAATAATGTTTCAGATGACATGCATCAACCAAGTCAGCGAACCTGACCACCCGATCCCGTTAGTCGCCTCTTACCACAAGTAAAAGGCGACTATGCTTGTCGAAAGAGGCGAATAACGAGATCGGGTGGTCAGGCTCGCTGACTTGGTTGATGCATGGCATCGCATCCCAATTGCCCGGATCGATGCTCATGATGTCAATGTCTGGTCCAGACTCGATTATTTACAGACCGTCAACACATACTGGAATATTGCTGAGTTCGGCGTTAAACAACAAACAAATAAACAAAAATCTAAATTCTCGAAAGCGTTTGAATCGGTACCGTTGGTAGTCAAAGCTAACGGTATAAATCTTAATGGTGTCTTGTGTTTGTAGTAACTAGTTCTGATAACTTGAGCGATAACAAATGAGTCGCGTCAACTCGGATGAGATCTTTATTACAGGTGAGGTGAGGTGAAATGGGGTTTAACGTCGCGTCCAAGATCATTGCACTTATATAGCGACGTGTGTGTGTGTGTGTGTGTGTGTGTGTGGCTGCTTGTACTAGTCCGGACTGATGCCGATTTATAGTGCTAGCCCACTGAGATACCATGCCGCAGTTTAACATGAATACCCCACTCAGACACAGTATACTGACTCCGAGCCGACCAGTCCTTGTTTTAGCCCCTTAATGCCGAGCGCCAGACAGTACCATCTTTTAACGTCTTTTGGTATGACGCGGCCGGGGATCGAACCCCGGACCTTCCGCTCTCCGGGCGGACGCTCTACCACTAGACCAAGGAGGCGGTGATCTTTATCACAAGATGAAGAGTCAGATGTATTATGAAGGCCTAAAGACGGAGGGCGTAGACACTTGCGTTTTGGTCAAACCAACAACCACAGGTATGGTTCTCAAAGAGCAGTGGCGGTGGGGTAGCCTAGCGGTTACAACGTTCGCGAAATCGAAGGTCCGGGTTCGATTCCCACATGGGTACAATATGTGAAGCCCATGTCTTGTGTCGCCTTCCGTTATGTTGCTGGAATATTTCTAAAAGCGATAACACTCACGCACTCTGTGTGAACAATGATCTTATTTGGAGCATATCTGGGATTTCAATCCAGGACTATCGCGTCCTGTCAATAATATCTGTTATCAGTTAGTAATTCTGTCAGTGTTGGTCATTGTAAATATACAGTAACTAAGTATTTTAACATGTTCATCCAACAGAAGTGCGTCATGGTGAAAAAACCAACAATGTCGAGAAGGTATTCAATATAAGTTAACGAACCTAGGGGTTCCCATCTCTACGGAAGCGTAGTAGGGCCACGGTTAATTATTTTTTTTGTCTAAGTATCTCCTACGTAGGTCTTATTATCTCCTACGTAGGACTTAATATCTCCTACGTGGGACTTACTATCTCCTACATAGGACTTGGTATATCCTAGTACGTAGGACTTAGTGTGGACTAGAATAACTATCTCCTACGTAGGCCTTAGTATATCCTACGTAGGAGATAGGAAGTCCTACATAGGAGATACTTAGACAAAAAAAAATTCGCCGTGGCCCTACTAGGCTTCCGTACATCTCTTACCTGCATAACGTGATTGTTGAGATCGAGGTTGACCCCACTGGTTATCATACAATTGACCTTGACCGCTCTCGACCATCAGCCCAGCAATATGGAGGAGAATAGCAATGGCTATGTTGGAAACCATATTGTCTGAAACAGTCAAAACAAATATTTCAGTCGTACATGTTTATATTATGAAACTTGAGGATCCATTTATATTTGAAATACAATTTTTACATTACCTATCTCAATGAACACTTACCGCCGCCATATAGCTGGAATTTTGTTGTGTGCGGCATTGAACACAAACAAAACAAACACATTCAACAGTTTAGGAATATCTATCGAAAAAAAAAGGAAACATAATAAATGTTGATATGCGCCATATTTATGGACATGAGTGAGTGAGTGAGTGAGTGAGTAGGGTTTTACGCCGCTTTTAGCAATATTCCAGCAATATCACGGCGGGGGACACCAGAAATGGGCTTCACACTTTGTACCCATGTCGGGAATCGAACCCGGGTCTTCGGCGTGACGAGCGAACGCTTTAACCACTAGGCTACCCGACCGCCCCTTATTGACATGAGTGTGTGAGTTGGGCAGAACACTGCTTTTAACACTATTCCAGTTATATCACGGCGTGTCGGCTTAATGTGGGAGGAAAGCCCGTAGTGATGCAGGTCTCAGACGTTTACCACTTCGGTGAAACCCACGAGCACGGGTATGGTGCTGACAAACCTAGAAACATAATCGGGGCGAACCGGGGTTCGAACCCGCAATCATAGATTTCTGACTCTACACAGCAAATCGCGGGGCCTTAATCGACTGGGCCACCCGTGCCGCCCTTATGGAAATGAAAATCACCTAATGACTATATCTTTATGTGTATTAAAGATATAACCGTGATTGGATATATCCTTCAGCAAATAAAAGCGACATAACCCTTCACATATTCATAAGAGATCTCTGCTAAAAGCAGATTCGATTTTACTATCCCGACGTCTATGAATCAGTATCGAATAGTGATGATGCCACGTGTTCGCGAAAAGATGAGCGCATCCTGCCCTACCGATGACGTCCGTAACAAACACATGCAAAGGCAAGGCAATTGTTCACCTGAAAAAACAACAACATGAGAACATATGGTACAAGCCGAAATAGGGAACTGCATCAGACATATTTGTTACTAGTGCGTCAAATTTGGAAATGTTCTCCACGTGTCCACCATAAAACGTTTTGAAAGCTTTACTGAGGCCTTGAACGTTGTAACCTTGATCATTAAGCTTCTGAGCAAAGTCTGCAGTCTGTATTGCTCATCATTAAGGGAAAGTTCACTATTGGAAAGCTAAAGTCATCTCTCTTGTCACATTGTCTTGTAGAGAGTGTTTTGTCATTCTGAATTTTTATGCATACATAACAGACGCGGCTGTGTCACTGGTCGCCTATATTTCTAGTTCAGGTGGATAAATCAAAGGAAGGGAATTGGCTATTTGATTGCTATTGAACGATATCAAATCATATATTTCTAGTTCAGGTGGGTAAATCAGTGGAAGGGAATTGGCTATTTGATTGCTATTGAACGATATCAGATCATATATTTCTAGTTCAGGTGGATAAATCAGTGGAAGGGAATTGGCTATTTGATTGCTATTGAACGATATCAGATCATCGATATACTTGAAGCTGAAGTTAAACTTCCGGGCCAAATTACCTTGCTTCGACTTTTGAACAAGAGTCGTATGACGATCTTTGAAATCTTCGCGGAAATAGCGTGCTCGAATGTACCTAAACATTGGGTGGTAGAGCGTCCGCCCGGAGAGCGGAAGGTCCGGGGTTCGATCCCCAGCCGCGTCATACCAAAAGACGTTAAAAGATGGTACTTGTTGTTACCCTGTATGGCGCCCGGCATTAAGGGGCTAAAACAAGGACTGGTCGGCTCGGAGTCAGTATACTGTGTCTGAGTGGGGTATTCATGTTAAACTGTGGCATGGTATCTCGGGGGGCTAGCACTATAAATCGGCATCAGTCCGGACTAGTACAAGCAGCCACACACACACACACACACACACACACGTGCATGCACGTCGCTATCTAAGTGCAATAATCTTGGACGCGACGTTAAACCCTCTTTCACCTCACCTTCACCTAAACATTGTGAAAGGGCTGGGACTGCTGGAATGTTACTCGAAACAAAGGGAAAGTTGAAGTCATCCCTCTTGTCATATATTCTTGTGAAGAGTGCTTTGTCACTCTGAATGTATATCCATAAATGTAACTATGTGACAAACGAGAAGGTGTCAGTGGTCTCCTTTCTATTCCCACTGGGTAGATCAGTGCAAGGGAACTGGTTATTTGATGGTTAGTTAACGATTGCAGATCATCCATATACCTGAGGCTTAAGTTAAACTGCTTGGCTAAATTGCCTTGTTTTGAGACTAAACAGATCAGCAGGAACGGGAGAACAGTTGGTACTTCCTTGGGATGCTTAAATTCGTTCCTGAATGCCTTACCCCCCAAATCATCCATTGATGGGATCGATGAGGAAGTCCAGAATTTCAAACATTGTTTTCTCAATAAACTTCAAATGACACCTGCTTTCTTTTTTTTTTTTTCTTTTTTTTTTTTTTTTGGGGGGGGGGGGGGGGTAAATTGACCTCGACGTCTGAATTTTGAGAAGTATCAAAACCTAGGGTCATCAAAGAGACAATGAATGAAGCTTGTCCTATGGGATACCACGATCTCACACGTACAAAGTTGAACAGTTGACAAATCAAATATCTTGACAGAATTGAACTTGGCTCTTTTCTGGGATTGTTACAATTCAAGCAAATCCTTAAAGTGTTTGAGAACGCACATGGTATTAATTCCACTTGTCTAAAATACTTTCTGTGAATGTAAAGAACGTCCTTTCTTGATTGTATTTAGGATAATGGTTAGTCTTTGAGACAATGGAATGACAGGTCAGATTCATTGACTTGGTTGATTGCGTGTCATCGTAGGTGGGCAGTTGTTCACAATATTAATCATTGGATTGTCTCGATCATACGGTTATAACGAACACGCTTATAACGAACTGACGATATAACGAACTATTGGTTTGATCCTGTCTATTTGCTGTACAGTAAACTACGGTTATAACGAACATGCTTATAACGAACTGACGGATATAACGAACTTACTTTTTTGGTCCCGACTATGTGCTGTAGTTATGCTGTATATATGATTATAACGAACTACGGTTATAACGAACTAAAATTAGTGGTCCCTTTAAGTTCGTTATAACCGTAGTTTACTGTATATATTCCGTACATTTGCTTGTAACGAACTACGGTTATAACGAATTACATTTAGTGGTCCTTTTGAGTTCGTTATAACCGTAGTTTACTGCAGCTGGATTATTGCTGGTTGTGGTGTTAAGCATTATTCACTCATTTGATACAGCTACAAATGACCATTATCACTTTTACGATAAAAGTGACAAGTATATGAACTATGTCGTCATGCTGATAGCCAAATGAACAAACTAACACTGTGTTAAAACAAGTGAATCACGAACAAGAACAGATGCTTGAACAAAAGCAGTAGTCAAACTGAAATGTCCACTAGATTGTAATCACCCGTCGTGAAATATGGTGCTGGCTTCAGTTTGGGGAAAACTATACTGGTTTTTTTTATTATTTGCTTCAAAACGAAATGAAGTGCAAAAGAAAAATGTATGTGAACTGAAACCCCAAACAAAATATTTGTTTTTAAATATGTAGCATGTCCAGTGAACGAATTACTGCTTTTTCTTAATTTTAAAGTTAAAACAAATACACTTAATGAAACTACACTCTAATACTAAGACTATCGTAGAATTTATTAGAATAATTAGGGGAAATGATTTTTAGCGCTGAATGCTTCATCGCAAAAGTTTTAAGCAAAGGGACATGATTTACTGTCGGACATGTAAGAAAAAGACATGACATTTATTATCCCCGCGGCAGCAGAGATCATGACTGACAGATGGCGTGTGTTTGTGTTGTCAGATTAGCTGGCTCCAAGTATCTCACTCGATGATGAGTTTTAATGATAAGCTCATGATGTAGTCGGAATTGTCCAATCGACTCTGCTTTATGCAGAGATTTCTATTGAATATGGAAAGGGTGTGGTCGCTTTATTATCATTAATTCGTGCGGCATTATTTATGCCTCAGCAAGGATTTCATACGTAGTCTATTTGTTTGTTTTCAGTTTGTTTGTGTGTTGCCCAACGCTGCCCTCAACAATATTCCAACTATATGACGGCGGTCTGTAAATAATCGAGTCTGGACATGACAATCCAGTGATTGATATCATATGCATCGATCTCACAATTGGGATACGATGACATGCATCAACCAAATTAGCGAGCATGAACACCCGATCCCGTTACTCGCCTCTCACGACAAACATGGGTTGCTGAAGACCTATCTTCACTGGATATTCTCCCCGGATCTTCGCTGTTTTTTTGTCTTGGGTTTAAACACGTTTGTGACATTGTACATATTAGTTATTCCAGAGTCTTGCTTTAAGTCACTGGTTACGAAAGCCTATTTGTGCTACTATTGCGGCATTAATTTATTTTTTAAATGGAAATTTCTCGTTACCACGGTTATTTTCTCGAATTTCTAGAATTTTCTTTTACAAAAATATAATTTAAAAAAAGGGGGAAAAAACTCGAAATTTCGAGAGAAAAATGAAATTACAAGAAATTTGGATTTAAACATACATATATACAACCAAAGTGGCACCATTTGGCTTTCGTTACTGGTTTGTCGGAACCAGAATCAGTTATGTAAAACGTCTCCCTCGATATAACTGGAATATTGTCATGCGTTAAAAAACCCGTTAAGTCCCAATCGCCAATCGCTATATCACGTTAATGGACTGTGTTTGCATAAGGATATCATAACTATTAACTTAATATCTATCATTGATATGTCCATGAAATCGAATAAACAAAGAGACGTTTTGTTTGTTTGTTTGTTTATTTATTTGTTGTTTAATGCCGAACTCAGCAATATTCCAGCTATATGACGGCGGTCTGTAAATAATCGAGTCTGGATCAGACAATCAAGTGATTGACATCATACGCATAGATCCATGCAATTGGGATACGATGACATGCATCAACCAAGTCAGCGAGCCCGACCACCCGATCCCGTTAGTCACCTCTTACGACAAGTATAGTCGCCTTTTACAGCAAGCATGGGAGACTGAAGACCTATTCTACCCCGGATCTTCTAGTTCATTTACAGAGAATAAGGACGATACCCATTAATCATAGTTGCAAAATAAGGACGATAAAATACTGGATTAAATTAGTTAAAGTGCCTGTAACAAGATATCCAATGACATGCTTTTGCATGTTATTACGCAGTGATCAACAAGGGCTATTGCTGTTAAATATCAGCATCATTCACGTGGTTATGGTAATACATGAAAAGCACAGGACAGGGTATACCATATCATTTCATAGATGCCTTTACTCAGACCTTGAAAGATATGTAGATTCAAAATTGGCTTTGTTCTCTACCGACCCGTGAAGATCCGGGGTAGAATAGGTCCTCAGCAAACCATGCTTGCCGTAAAAGGCGACTATGCCTGTGGTAAGGCGACTAAGGGGATTATGAATAGACATTATTGACTGATTAGTACTTGGAGAAACATAAAAAAGAAACATGTGTATTTATACCCCATGGTGATAAATCTAATACAAATAGCACTGTGATTATTATCGCTGCAGGGGGAAGATGTCACGTTGTGATTGGGGCGTCCAATCTGTCTATTGTGCATCAAAACAACTGGAGAGGTTAATTCCTTTTATCTCTGTTTTGTCCTCTTGTTTAATGCCGCACGGAGCAGGATTCCAGCTATATGAGTGAGTGAGTTGTGTTTAACGCCGCTTTTTACAGTATTTCAGTTATATCACGGCGTGTCAGCTTAATGTGGGAGGAAAGCCCGATCCGGTGCGGGTCATAGACGTTTACCACTTCGGTGAAACCCACGAGCACGGGAATGGTGCTGACAAACCTAGAAACATAATCGGGGCGAACCCGGATTCTAACCCACAATCATAGGTTTCTGGCGTGTCCAAGGGACGCAACTCTGCACAGCCCCGTACCAGCCCCTACCAGCCCCCCACCAGCATTATGACACAGACAATCCAATGATGGATATTATGAGCAACGACCCACGTCGTCTGAGATCAGAGACACGCCATCAACCACAGACACAGATACAGACACAGACATAGACCAAATCCATTAAATCGCATAGGTTGCTGGTGATGATTCTATTCTGGACTCGAACCGTGAAGATCCGGGGTAGAATAGGTTTCATCAACCCATGCTTGCCGTAAAAGGCGACTATGCTTGTCGTAAAAGGCGACTAACGGGATCGGGTGGTCAGGCTCGCTGACTTGGTTGATGCATGTCATCGTATCCCAATTGCGTGGATCGATTATGTCAATCACTGGATCGTCTGGTCCAGACTCGATAATTTACAGACAGCCGTCATATAGCTGGAATATTGTTGAGTAAACAACAAACAAACTAATCCGGACTCCCCACTTGTTCTAACGTCTGTCATGCCATGTGATATCACATTGAATGGGCCGTACTTACATGACATGTATTTATATGTACTAAATGGTAGCTTTTACCAACATGAAAACAATCCCGCAAACATATAAAAATAACTGGTATCTATGGAAACATTTAAATACATGGCAAAAAGTTGCATAACAAGCATGCAAACAGACTGGAAACAACAAATTGAAATGAAACTGATCATGTACGTCCACAGTCAACAAGAGAGAGCAGTGGGCAGGCAATTAACAATATTATACACAAATAAAATTTATATAATCAATGTACAAAAGAATATTCTTCATAAAAGTGTACATCTATGTTTGATGGTGGCTAAAATGAAACAAACAAAAAATGGTTATTCGATGGTGTTTTCAGCCTAGTAACGTTTTGAAAACGTTTGTAACGCTTTCGTCAAATCCCATTTTAAAGTGTAAAGGTTCTTTTCCCGTGTGAGTCATTGATCTGTCCGCGCGCCGAACGAACGTTTCAACCACACAAAAACATTCATACCCAGTGACATAATATGTTTATGATTTCATATTTTATATGCGATAGATGATAAATGTTAGATAGATACATACCAGTTAACTGTCAGGCTGAGGCTACTGATGTTGGTACGTCCTACCCAGAATTCCTCCTCCTCTCACAGAGTGGAAGTCTTACCAATTGTCATTTTTGTCTTTATCTATTTATTGGATGAATCAGCGAGACAAATGGCGTTGTGCCCTATTTATGATTTTACACTTGACAGAGGTTCAATCAATCAATCAATCAATCAAGTCGCTGTGGCCTCGGGTTACGTTGAGAGGCATCCTTCGGATGAGATCGTGTTGAAGGCTGAATTTAATGATAGAACATTGTCCCGGGTGAGCTTTGGTAGCATCGTAAATGGGATGTCCATTTACAATGGATCGGCACAACTGTTGGTCATGGTGTATATACACAAGAGTGAGTGAGTGAGTATGGTTTTACGCCGCTTTTAGCAATATTCCAGCAAAAATCACGCGGGGGACACCAGAAATGGGCTTCACACATTGTACCCATGTCGGGAATCGAACCCGGGTCTTAGGCGTGACGAGGGAACGCTTTAACCACTAGGCTACCCGACCGCCCCTATATACACAAGAACCTCTAAAATACTAAAATAAGGTTGGATGAAGGTGAGGATTGTCCTGTAAACCCGACAGAGGACATTTTGTTAAGATATAAATCCACTGATGCTTGAGAGGAGGGGGTGTCGCATTCATATTGATTCGCATTTTTGGCTAGGGGCCAGCGGTCGCATTCTTTTGGAGACGCATTAATTTCACGTTTTACAGTATTAATTCAGTTACACGATCATAAACGTTATAGTGGGACAAGCTGAAAACTGATCATTTCACATCATTGAATACATAATCTGTGTCGGTTCATACTCAGAGGCAGACCTTTTCCTATTCTGGGGAGGGGCACGGTATTTTTATAAAAAGAATAATATGTTTCCGAAAATGCTGGGGAATTGTCCTGAGGTTTTACCTAACAAAACCGTTCACTCGAAATGCAGGGTGGTGATGTGGAACATATTGTGTTGTGGGTAAAAACAATACTTGTTGTCACGCACACACATACACACACAAACACACGCATGCACACAATCACAAAAAATACACACAAACACACACACTCACTCACACATACAAACACATACATACAGTCACACACACATAAGCACAAACTGACACACACACAAATACACCACGAGGTATATAATATAGTGTATCAACACATACACACAAGCACACACACACATACTCACAATACACACACATACACTCACGCACACACATACACGTGCACATAAACACACACATGTACACAATCACAAAAACATGCACACAAACACATTCACACACACATACCCTCACACAGACATACGCTCACACACACAAACACAAATACACACAAACACACACACACACACACAAACACTCACACACATATGTATACACTCACACACATAAGCACAAACTGACACACTCACAAACACACACCACATGGAATAATATATAATGGGTCCCTCCTATTACCCAAAATGTATATGAAGTATACTGAGTCAAATTAAAAACTTCACATTTTAAAAAATAATCCCATATATGATATACAACGGACAACTGTATCAGAGAAGGTAATTTTTAATCATTAATGTCCAAAGAAGGATTTTAATTAACGGTGGTAACCATAATTTGTTCCAAGCACCTACGGTATTATTTAAATCATAAGTCCCAAGCACGAGAATCTGATGGCACACGAGTTCAGTAGCGTGTATGGCCACCATGTGCGTTGACAACTGCCACACAACGCCTCCGCATGGACCTTGTGATGCTTGTGAACACATGATTGGGAAAACGACGCCATTGTTGCTGCAAAATGGTGCCAGGATCTTGCAAATTCTGTGGTTGGTTCTGGAGAGTGCGCAGACTTCTGTCAAGAGCATCCCAGACGTGATCGATGGGATTGAGGTCGGGAGACCTTGACGGCCAGTCCATAACGTTGACTCCCGCAATCTGAAAGGAAATTCCTTGTCAAATTTGCTTAGTGGGGTCTGGCATTGTCGTGTTGGAGGATCAAACCGGGTCCATGTGCTGCCATAAAAGGCAGAGGTTCTGGTGCCAGTACCTGGTCGCGGTAAGCAGCAGCGTTGAGGTTGCCACGGATGACAAGAAGCCTGGAACGTGCATTGCCACAGAAAGCACCCCACACCATGACACTTCCGCCTCGAAATCTGTCAACTTCCTGTACACAACACTGGGCGTAACGTTCATGACGGCGCCTCCACACCCTCGCCCTACCATCAGCAAATCGAAGATTAAATCGGGATTCATCACTGAAGACGACTTGATTCCAATTCCTCTGAGTCCATCGTAAGTGTCGCTGTGCCCACAATTGACGTTGACGTCTGTGTAATTGAGTCAGAATCGGCCCGCAGTATTGCCGTCGTGCTTGAAGGTGAACAGTTCTCAGAGGGTTTCGAACAGTTTGCGCACTCAGTCTTCCCCTAAACAGTTCATTTCTGGTTGATGTAGCCGTCAAAAATCGGTTACGGAGGTGACGTAAGACAATCTGACGATCCTCTGCATGTGACGTCACACGTGATCGACCTGGCCGAGGGCGATCAGCGGTGGTACCCGTTTGCTGTAGACGCGTATGTAAATCATAAACAGTCCGTAGACTACAACCCATCGTCCTTGCGACTTCAGCTACGGACGTTCTCGTCTGCAACATGCCGATGGCACGTTCACGTTGCACATTTGAAAGGCGTGGCATGACAAATGGCCGTAAAGACTTTTGTTTTCTTGTGTTTTTTGTGTTTTTTTAATGACTGCTTACAAGTATGGCTAAAAACACGTGCGGTATTATGGCCACGTGACCAGTTGCACGTGAAAAACCACTTTTGCCACTATAGTGCTGTGCACATGATTTTGATCGATTCACCTGCACAAAAACGGGTGTTATCTGAAGACAATACGTGCCCATTACTGTTTAAATACACAATAAGGGCCCACAATGATAACTGGTCAAAATTTTAGGATTGTGAAGTTTTTAATTTGGTTCAGTATATTAACACCAGGTGATATTTTGTCTTTACAACTTTATGGATAACAACTTCTGGTTTATTGCATATAGCGACGTTTCAATGTATATTCTTGCACCGTTATCAAGTTCCATTCCAGCTCCAGAATCTACATCGAAACGTCGAAATGTGCAATAACCCTGACGTTGCTATCCGTAAAGTTGCATGTTGCCATTGTTGTGTCCTCTTTGGTACTTTACTTGTGAAGACTGGTTCAATAGTGAAGACATATCTTGTAATTAGTTTCTTCTGTTGCTCTTAACAAGATCCAAGATTGTGTGTCCTTCCGCTTCTGTCACTGCGCTCTGTATCTCCCCTTTAGAACATATTTTTTTCAGGCGAACAATTGACTTGCCTTTGCATGTGTTTGTGTCGGGTGCCACCGGCGGGGAGTGATACGCTCACCTTCTCGCGAACACCTTGTATCATTACTATTTCAAAGTGATTCATAAACACATGCTCATGATATCGTTAGAATTGTACAATTGACTGCTTTATGCAGAGATTTCTATTGGATATGGAAAGTGTTTTGTCGTTTTATTTACAAAACGTTTTTAAAGTAAACCTGTTTATCCCAGCTATTGTGCCAATTTCACAGGCTATGTTTCCTCCACATTTATAACACGTTGTTTCTGGTAAGGGGTCTTTGCCTCTTGGTCCCATAGTGAGTGAGTTGGACTTAATATGTGTACATTATTGCAGTTATATCGCGACGTGTCAGCTTGACGTTTATTTCCAATACATAGCAACATCAACAGAGACAAAAAAACATTTTCCATACATAATCTGAGCGTGATTTCAAAGAGCACGAAGTGTCTCTTGCTCAAAAGTTGTTTGATTAGGTGAGGTGAAATGGGGTTTAACGTCGCGTCCAGGATTGTTGCACTTATATAGCGACGTGCATGCACGTCTGTGTGTGTGTGTGGCTGCTTGTACTAGTCCGGACTGATGCCGATTTATAGTGCTAGCCCCCTGAGATACCATGCCGCAGTTTAACATGAATACCCCACTCAGACACAGTATACTGACTCCGAGCCGATCAGTCCTTGTTTTAGCCCCTTAATGCCGAGCGCCATACAGGGTAACAACAAGTACCATCTTTTAACGTCTTTTGGTATGACGCGGCCGGGGATCGAACCCCTGACCTTCCGCTCTCCGGGCGGACGCTCTACCACTAGACCACGGAGGCGGTCTTGTTTGATTAAGGAAACAATATTCAAGCTTTCTTAAGATTATATGGTGTAGATGAGGACATTTCCAAATTTGACAAAAATCATGACTGATGCAATCACCTATTTTGTCTTGAACCGTATGTTCCCGTGCTGCTTTATGTGAACAATTGACGTGCCTTTGCATGTGCTTGTGACCTGTTGGGCAGGATGCGCTCACCTTTTCACCAACACGTGCTATCATCAATATTCCAATTGGCTTGCCTTTGCATGTGTTTGTGTCGGGTGCCACCGGTGGGGAGGGATACGCTCACCTTTTCGCGAACACCTGGTATCAGACCTGTGAAGATCCGGTTTAGAATTAGTCTTCAGCAACACATTCTTGTCGTCAGAGGCGACTAACGGGGTCGGGCTCGCCGACTTGGTTGATGCAAACCTTGCTTGTTTTAACAAAACGCTTCAGCAACCCATGCTTGCCATAAAAAGCGACTATGCTTGTCGTAAGACGGGATCGGGTAGTCAGGCAATCTGCCTTGGTTGATGCATGTCATCGTATCCAAAATGCGTTGATCGATGTTCGTGGTGTCAATCACTGGATTGTCTGGTCTAGACGCGAATATTTACAAACCGCCGTAAATAGCTGGAATATTGCTTTGTGCGGCGTTAAAGAAAAAAAACATAATTTTTATATAAAAGATTAATAATTCATCTTGTCATTCAGTGCAACACAACATTAGCACCTTTTTGCTCACCATATACAACATTTATATTGCCGAACACACTTTTTATATTGGAAGAGACCCGTGAAGATCCGGGTTAGAATAGGTCTTCAGCAACCCATTCTTGCCGTAAAAGGCGACTATGACTGTCGTAAGAGGCGACTAACGGGATCGGGTGGTCAGGCTCGCTGACTTGGTTGATGCATGTCATCGTATCCCAATTGCGCTGATCGATGCTCATGATATTAATCACTGGATTGTCTGGTCCAGACTCGATTATTTACAGACCGCCGTCATATAGCTGGAATATTGCTGAGTGCGGCGTAAAACAACAAACCCAAACCAACTAAATTTTACCTCGAAAGATCACAATTGTATTATGCGTTGGTTTTAGTCATATTTGATTAATGAGTGGCTGCAGACGTCGTTTGAATGTAATTGATCATTGTTGACAGAGACAGAAACACTAAAACGCTTTACCATACGTAATGTATCCTACATGTATGTAGGTATTTTACTCAAAGAAACATGATTTATTTGTTTTGTGACGTTCCATTTGACAAATTATCCAAGTTTGATAGAAATACTGCAAGTTCAAGGGTATAATAGTGATAATGTTGATAATAGCACAAACATGTCCCGCGGTTCCATACCACTAGTGGTATGTCATTATTTAGTTGGTTGGTTGGTATGCTATTTAACGCCGCATTCAGCAATATTCCAGCTATATGACGGCGGTTTGTAAATAATCGAGTCTGGAGCAAACAATCTGGTGATTAATATCATGAGCATCGATCCTTGCAATTGGGATTGATGACATGCCTCAACCAAGTCAGCGAGCCTGACCACCCGATCCCGTTAGTCGCCTTTTACGACAAGCAAAGTCGCCTTTTACGGCAAGCATGGGTTGCTGAAGACCTATTCTTCGGGAAATAACCGAGCGCGGCGTTAAAGAACAAACGAACAAACAAACAAATAAACAAACAAACAAATAAACAAACAAACAAGACCTGCAGGGAGCCGACGAAAATGAGGAACAGGTGGCTGATTATGTGTCATCGTACATGGGTCGTTGCTCATGTTTTCAGTCACTGGTTAAAAGAGTCCTCCATTATGTATAGGCTGTCGTAAATATGCTACCGGCGTCGTTCATCCACTTCCCATAATCACGAGATTAGTCGACGTGCACAGCCTGGAGGAATTTGTCAAGGTGTCATGATGTGAACGGATAAGAAAAGATCCAACTTCTGATTTTTATAACACTCTTTATTGCCCTACAGATTAAGCATCGAGACAATTTGTCAAGTCCTGATTTTTCTGACTTCATGCGTTTGACATTTCAGACGGTTAAGCCCAGTATTAATGAGCATGCATTATAACAAAAATAATATTGCACTGTTTTTTTATATATATTATGTGCAATCATTCAGTGAGCGATATATCATTCAGGTCTACTTATTTATAATCTGACTCTGATTTAACACTTCCACTTTTAACGCCCATTTCTGGTGTCCCCCGCGGTGATATTGCTGGAATATTGCTAAAAGCGGCGTAAAACCATACATACTCACTCACTCACTCACTCACTCACTCACTCACTCACTCACTCACTCCACTTTTAACATTCGCTCATAACCTTTCACCATGATATTATTCATTGCAACGTCGAAACACCGTACGCAACATTTGTCACTCAATCTGTCCAGATATGTATTATAATAAAAAAAACATAGAAATTTCACCGTTTACAAACGGCAATAACATCTTTACTCACCGACAACCAGAGTTTTCCATGTTTTATGCAAGTGTGACACTGCTTGGAACATTGTGAAGAGTGAGTGAGTGAATAGTTCAGTAGCAGAAACATTAGTGATATTATTTGATTGTATCGTACTGGTAACCGATGACATCAAAATGGTCTGCAGCGAGACATGTTTTACATGAGAGATATCACTTGATCTTACAGAAGCGATATTTCTTGTGGAAGCTAAGTTTGAATGATAAATGTTTTGCGTCACGTCGGCAATACTTCAGTGGTGCTGTCCATAGACAAAGTAATGCAATCATATTTTCTACTAAATGCTATCATCAAAGGACAGTGAAATAACTAGTAACATCAAATTGTTTTATTGAAACTAATTTGTCATTTACAAGTTATTGCAGCGTTAACATACTGTATTCGTACGATGTGTTGATATATACCGCTACAAAGAAATATGAGGACATCCCGTCACAGGTCATGTCGTGCAACCTCGAAAAGGTTGCCACGCGGGGCATTCCGGACGAAAGGGATGTTTCCAACATTTGTCACGGAAGAGGCTTCCATAACCCATGGAAAGTACTGCCATGCCATCTCGGCCACCTGTTAGACTTTCCAGTTTTCTAAACCGTTTTAAAATTTTGAATCGAGAATTTAGTCAAAATATATTTCAAAGCGTAGCCTGGAATGGAAGCCGTCATTTTGAACTTGTGCTCAGATCCTGAAAACTGCTATGTGATTGGCCAATGTCGACTTCCTGTTAATCATTTCATTGGTCGGTCAAAGTTCGCGGAAGGTCGTTCTGACATGATCTGTGGAGGGATGTTCTCATATCTTTGTGTATCGCAAGCGAGCAGTAAGATCTGATATAATGAGGTTGATATATGACTTATTGTGTATAATTGAATGCACATTTTCCTCCCACATGCAGTTTTGTAGGGGACAGAGACACGGGCTAGGTCCGGAGCAAATCTCACAAACCGTTCAACTTTACCTTATGACATTTTGCATGCACATCAGACATGCACTGAACTGGTGTTTTCGCTATTAAGGACATTTTTTTATTTCTTTTTTTATTTCAACAAGCTGGTTCAAAAGAGTGTATGGATCGTTTCCGGACCATTCAATATGTCTTGGTGAAACTTCGTAAGCAGATCAAATGTCATCAAATCCTCTTGGCATTCCAGGTTAAAATAGGTCCCCAGCAACCTATACCTGTTTTGAAAGCAGACCGGATTGGGTCGTCAGGTTTGGTGACTTGGTTGATGCAGTCTTTATAAACAAAGCAGTGTTAACAGTGTTTATGAGCAGCAATTCGGGAATTATTTATAAATAATTACTTTACTATGTTGTTCTGGATTAAGTGGTTAGAAAATAGTATATCGTTATGTGTCTGTTTATGTTGTGGGTTTATTTCTGTTCCAGCTAATGGAAGGGCTTGTGATTTGGAGTGACCTCCCTTAGTTGTTTCCAGGCCACGATCTGTCAAAGGGCTGGACACCTTCGTTACCCCTTTGTATAGAGAGCTCTGCAATGAGGAGTTTGTTTACAGTTGCCGAAGCATTTGTGGGACTTACTACATCATACAAGCTCCTTATGGAGGCCTGGCTGTACGATATATGAAGGGGCCTTCCACGATGTGACTTATCATTTGCTCAGCGCGGACGAGACACCTATCTGGACTCACCGAATGTTCTGCCTGTGTTGAATTCGCCATACTTCTAACCTTCTGTTTGATAGCGGCTTCAACTACTCTCGTTGGATAAAAGATTTATTCACAGAGCCGTACACATGTCTGACATCGACAATGCATGAATGTCAACAGACACATATATTCAAACATCAGGGGCAAACATCATTTCCGGTTAACATACATGTATAAAGCATATAATAGTGCCAATAAAACGTCCATAAAATATCAATACACAGTAACTTAAGTTTACATTCTAACAGCCTGCTTCCAACATTGGTTCCTAGATTCAAGAAAGGAGCAAGTACTTCATTGTGGACAGTCGGCTGTGACAAATTCTTGTCATTGGTGATGGTATCTATTTGCTCAGTGCGGACGAGACACCTATCTGGATTCACGGAATGTTCTGTCTGCTCCCAACATTGTTTCCTAGATTCAAGAAAGGAGCAAATACGTCATTGAGGACAGTCGGCTGTGACAAATTCTTGTCATTTGTCATGGTACTGACTTGTACAAGAAGGCTTGACGTATGTTGCTGCAGTCACATATTTGACCCATGGTGTTGCCTTTTATGATTGTAAACCCGGTCCTGTGGGTGTCAATAAAAATTGCTAAATATTCACTGATCTTGTGTTGTTATTTACTGATTTATATATTTACTGACAATATAGTTCTGTATGTACTGATATCTGGGTTAACTTTTACGTTTCATCTTTGGAATCAACACGTGACATTGTCTAACCTTGCTACGAGTGAAAAGCTCTGTCTATTGAAAAGTATCATTGCTCATTTACGTCCTTGGACGACACACACAAACCAATCAGGATTATGATTTGTTATGATTATTATGATCAGGTATATGACATGCTGTTTGTGATTTTATGCACATATTGAAAAGGGCGGGGTTATAGATGATTTTCTCTTCTTGTTTTATTAACGTCCGTCTCTGTATATCCTTGTAGAAGACACAATGTCGACACACATGACATCAACGATAGTCCATCATCTCCATGGTTACAGCTCCACGTACCACGGCTTGTAACTGCCCTCATCCGCAGCAGGAAACTAGCATCATATAAAGACGAAGAAGTGAGAACAGTTTATCAGGACAAATATGATCTTTGCCAAATATGAATATCACATGTGCACCAGTACAAATTCATGTTTGAATATAATCTTGCAGGCAAAGTTGGAGCTTGTTTCTTGATTACAGTGAGTCCGCTTTTAGCAATATTCCAGCAATATCACGGCGGGGGACACCAGAAATGGGCTTCACACATTGTACCCATGTCGGGAATCGAACCCGGGTCTTCGGCGTGACGAGCGAACGCTTTAACCACTAGGCTACCCGACCGCCCCTCTTGATTACATGGTATGTTTAATTATCTCTTTACTTTACATATTAAAATATATACATGCAGCAACGAGGGTTCTTGAGATCCTGGAACACAGTTAGGCTGGTTAGGCTCCTCATCCACTCAGGGCCCTTACCCCATCTACAGGCAGCCCAAACACCAAATGGAACTTTAGTAGTAGTAGTAGTAGTAGTAGTAGTAGTAGTAGTAGTAGTAGTAGTAGTAGTAGTAGTGAATTGCATTGTTTCTGTTGAGATTCAGCAGAAGTTCAAAGCATTGTGTTTTGGCAATGGTTAACTATAGACTAATCCTGCATGGTATGGAACTTTCTAGAAGGTAATTGGACTATATAAGTGGGCAAAATCGGGGCTCTCTCATCTCACATTACATCAACACCAGCGGTTGTGTGAAGATCATTGTTTTCACCCTGAATATCCAGCCAAGGTCTGTTTTGGAAACTTGACCACTGTTGGTGAATATTATTATCACCGATATTTGATTATTACCACTGCTATTGTATTTTATACTGCCATAGTAATTGTTATTTGTACTGCCACTCTGATGTGTACTGCCATACACAATTGTAGATTGTATAGCAGTTCTTCTTCTTCTTTTTTTCACACTGAATTCTTTTGCGTAGAGATTTTTGGGTTAACTTTTTATTTTTTGTTTTTTATTTGGAAGTCGACACGTAACAATGTGAAGATGATCAAATGAAAAATACGCCATTTATGAAAATTGTTGTGCTGTGACAAGTGTAAAAATACCGGTCTTTCGTGACAAACAGCTTCGACAAGCCAAATTTCTATCTATGAAAACAAACTGAAGACTGCATCAACCTGTATTAGTACACACGTTGCATGGCATATTCAATACTTGTATTGACGTATATAACGTTTTGTTCTATTCTGTTTGACGGAGCGAGGTTTGTTTGTTTCTTGTTTAAAGTACGCCGCACTCAGCAATATTCCACCTATATGACGGCGGTCTGTAAATAATCGAGTCCGGACTAGAAAATCCAGTGATTGACATCATGATAATCGATCCATGCAATTGGGATACGATGACATGCATCAACCAAGTCAGCGAGCCTTGACCACCCGATCCCGTAAGTCGCCTTTTACGACAAGCATAGTCGCCTTTTACGGCAAGCATGGGTTGCTGAAGACCTATTCTGACCCTGATTCTCACGGATCATGACGGAGCGATGATTATATGCGTAGTACTCTCACCTGTTTAGTAAACCTATCCTTACACGCCATCCTGATTTTTTCTGGCGTGGCTGGACTGTCCAGTTGGAAGGCCCGGCTCTCCCCCGCGTCCAGTCTTGCAGACTTGATGGCGTTCTTCATGGCGAAGAACACCGACGAGGCCAGAAATAGCGGCGGCTCACCTATACCCTGACAATCACAGATATAATGAGATAAGGTGAAATTGGGTTTAATGTCGCGTCCAAGATTATTGCACTTATATAGCGACGTGCAAGCACGTGTGTGTATGTGTGTGTGGCTGCTTGTACTTGCCGATTTATAGTGCTAGCCCACTGAGATACCATGCCGCAGTTTAACATGAATACACCACTCAGACACAGTATACTGACTCCGAGCCGACCAGTCCTTTTTTAGCCCCTTAATGTCGAGCGCCAGACAGGGTAACAACAAGTATCATCTTTTAACGTCTTTTGGTATGACGCGGCCGGGGATCGAGCCCCGGACCTTCCACTCCACTCTCCGGGCGGACGCTCTACCACTCTTACAGATATATGACTGCGGTCTGTAAATAATCGAGTCTGGACCAGACAATCCATTGATTGACATTATGAGCATCAATCCAATCAATTGGAATACGATGACATGCATCAACCAAGTCAGGGAGCCTGACCACCCGATCCCGTTAGTCGATTCTTACGACAATCACAGTCGCCTTTTACGGCAAGAATGGGTTGCTGAAGACTTAATCTTGCCCGGATCTTTCCAGACATCATTGCTATGAGTTTCGGGTAGTAATTTGGACCATGGCATCATTTACAGAAATACTCCACAGTGTTTTTGCCTGTCCCCATTGAAAAGGTGAGAGTAAAAGTGAAAGTGTGAGAGTACATTTGGGTTTTCACTGGTACTTCCTGCTGAAAAAACATCGACATTAATTTGTTTGAAAAAAAACTCAAATTTTACACCATGTGGCCCATGAGCCAGCAATTAGTTTCCTTTACTAAAAACTCATTGTTATTACATTGCAAAAACACAAACATTGATATCATGACACATTTGTTTCGTGTTTTTGTTGTGCGTGTTTATTGTTTAACATTCCAGTTATGTGACGGCGGCGAGTTTTACACATTCGGTGAATCTCATGAGCACGGGAATGGTGGTGACAGCATGATTTGCTATATCTCTGTAAGTCGAAAATATTTCCCTCAAAAGTGAGTGAGTGACTTGGGTTTAACGCCGCTTTTAACAGTATTCCAGTTATATCGCGGCGTGTCAGCTTCATGTGGGAGGAAAGCCCGAAGTGATGCAGGTCTCAGACGTTTACCACTTTGGTGAAACCCACGAGCACGGGTATGGTGCTGAAAAAATTAGAAACATAATCGGGGCGACGCGGGATTCGAACCTACAGTCATAGGTTTCTGGCGTGCCCAAGGGACGCAACTCTGTACAGCCAGTCGCGGTGCCTTAGATGAATAGCGAATCGTGGTGCCTCAGACGACTGGGCCACCCGTGCCCCCATTTCCCTCAAGAATCTGACCTTTGATGAGTACACTGCACGGGGGTTGACGCTGTCCTTGAGCAGCGTCACGTTGAGCTTGACTGGGATGTTTCTGAAACCAGGAATCTTGTATGTCCCCGGACCTCTTGTGAGAATAGAACCCGAAGGATTCGTCTTGTGTTGTTCTAGGCAGTACAGGCCATAGCCCTGGAACAATGTAGAATTAGAGAAAGAGGATGTTGGTAGGCCTTTCGACAGCAAATGCGCAGCAGCTGATACTCTGACAATTTTTAGAAAAACATACATTTACTTAAGGGTGAGTTAACATTCAGTCAGCCAGTTGGTTTTATTGATGCTTTGAACAGCCGAGTGAGTGAGTGAGTGAGTGAGTGAGTGAGTGAGTGAGTGAGTGAGTGAGTGAGTGGTTTTATGCCACTTTTGGCAATATTCCAAGAATATCACGGCGTGGGACAACAGAAATGGGCTTCACACATTCGATGCATGAGATGCTTGGGAATCGATGCTTTGAATAGTATTTCAGTTATGTAACGGTGTGTCAGCTTGACGTTAGGAGGAAGGTCTGATGTCGTGCCGGTCGTAGACGTTTACCACATAAGTGAAACCCGCGAGAACGAGTCTGGTGCTTGTAAACTTAGAAAAAAGTATCAAAACGCAAAGGGGACTCGAACCCCTGATCACAGAATTCTGGCACGGAACTTGGCACAGCGAATTGCGTCGCCTTTCATTGGACCACCCGTTCACTAGGCAATGTTTCAGCCAGGTACACGTAACGACTAAGCCTAATAGCAACCACTATATAATATGGAATGTTTGCACAGAATGGCAATTATATATAAATGGCAGGTCTTGATTGTTAGAGTGTTGCTGATAAGGTATATGCATATATCGGCTATTCCAGCTATACCAGGGATGCCTGTGAACAACTAAATCTGGACCGAGAACTGCAGTGGTTGATGGAATGAGCAACGATTTAAGCTCCGGTTAGGAGGACATACAATCAGCCACACTCCACGGGTAGAATGTGTCCCCAGAACCCCATTGTTGGTCGTAAGATGCCACGTAATTGGGAACCCGTGGGGGTTGCGGTTCAAAACTGAGCCTCAGCAACCAATGCTATTGTTGTTTGTTCTTCAACGCCGCACTAAGCAATATGCCTGCTTTTTGACGGAGGTCTGTAAATAATCAAGTATGGACCAGACAATCCAGTGATTGACATCATGATCTACGCAATTGGGATACGATGTCATACATCAACCAAAACAGCGAGCCTGACCACCTGATCCCGTTAGTCGCCTCTTACAAGCATAATCGCCTTTTACGCAAGCATTGGTTGCTGAAGACCTATTCTACCCCGGATCTTCACGGGTCCAGGAACACATGGACGTTAGAGGAGACGGAATTGATCGGGAGGACAGACTCGGTGACTTGGTTGATGACAGGACAACGTACCCCAACTGTCGTACTCAATAACATCAGTCGGTGATTCATCTCGATTCGTTATCATATATATAGCTTGAATATTGTTGATGAAACAACAAACACACACGTTGTGCCTACCAGATCCTGGAACCAGGGAACTGCATCAACTCACTTGCATGAACGCGCCCTCTATTTGCCCGATGTCTATTGCAGGATTCAAACTTTTGCCAACGTCCATAACTATGTCAGTTTGTAGAACCTGAAATCATTTATCACAGCCACGTTAATTATAGTGAGTGAGTGAGTTGGGTTTAACGCCGCTTTTAACAGTATTCCAGTTATATCACGGCGTGTCAGTTAAATGTTGGAGGAAAGCCCGAAGTGATGCAGGTCTAAGACGTTTACCACTTCGGTGAAACCCACGAGCACAGGTATGGTGCTGACAAACCTAGAAACATAATTGGGGCGAACCGGGATTCGAAACCACAATCATATATTTCTGTGTGCCCCGTTGGTTGAGTGGTTGGATGGTTTGTTGTTTAACGCCGCACTCAGCAATATTCCAGCTATATGACGGCGGTCTGTAAATAATCGAGTCTGGACCAGACAATCCAGTGATTAATATCATGAGCTTCGATCCACGCAATTGGGATCAATAAAATGCATCAACCAAGTATGCGAGCCTGACCACCCGTTTTGTTTGTAAAAATTATTTTAATTGTTCTTTTTCAGAAATGTTGATATTATTCGTTGTCATCAAGAACAAAGATTTCAATATCAACTCATTTATTGGATATCTTTCGACATACACGACTTCGATACATCCGGAATTTACAGAACCATCATATATGTATCCGCGTGTATGTTTTAATCAACATCGACCTTAAAGAAACTATAGATGTGGAGATCTAGATGTTGATTAATTTCAATTAAAATACAAAATTTATTATAGCATATTTTTTTTCTCAGGCAAAGGAGTTAACCGACTATCAAAGTCTAGTTTCCACCCTTGCCGAACTAGGCTGACATTCCGACAATCAGAATCCATGTCTCATATCACTTTCATTTGCTTCAGGGCGGTCGGATAGCCTAGTGGTTAAAGCGTTCCCTCGTCATGACGAAAACGCCGTGATATTGCTTGAATATTGCTAAAAGCGGCGTAAAACCATACTCACTCGCTCATTTGCTTCAAACAAAATGGTGGCGCCCAGTCATGACGATCTGATCGATAATCAAGATCTACAATTGTAATAAAATAGGTCTTACTTCGCGAAGTGCATCAAATCACGCGAGCTGCTTCATAATAAACCCGAAAAATAATTCAAAATATCTGTCGACGCCCAGTTGGCGGTACACATGATTGGCAAATCCTGCCGACGACCGAAATCTGCACGTTGAAACCCATGTTGTTTACGAACCGGATGTCTATTTCGTTACACGATTGTGATTGGACTATGAATAGACTCGTTAGTCCAGCCAAACTCCATAATTTCAGCCGAGTTCTGCAAGGGTGAAACTGGACTTTTAAACTCAGTTACCTCCCTTGCCACAGGAAGAAGGTCAAATTCAAATGTGGCGTGACTGCAATACTGTTCAGACTCACCTGGTGATCGCCGGTGAGACAGTCTATCTCGACCTCCGAGCAGGCCACGCCACACGTGAAGTAGTTGAACATTCTCCCCTTGTTTGTTACAGGATCGTGGTCCAGCCCTTCAGTTCTGAATCAAAGCCAAATTAAAATAAACTTTATCCCCTACTGTTCTGGCACCTTGATATTTGGTTTGTTTGTTTGTTGTTTAACGCCGCACTCAGCAATAATCCAGCTATATGACGGTGGTCAGTAAATAATCGGGTCTGGGCCAGACATTCCAGTGATTTATATCGTGAGCATCGATCCACGGAATTGGGATCGATGACATGCATCGACCAAGTCAGCGAGCCTGACCACCCGATCCCGTTAGTCGCCTTTTACGACAAGCATTGTCGCCTTTTACGGCAAGCATGGGTTGCTGAAGACCTATTGTACCCCGGATCTTCACGGGTCCGTACCTTGATAAGATATACTTAATCAGATATGAATTAATCAGTTGCATTCCAACTAATGTTACCATGAGCCAGACCAACAATAATTGAACTGAAATTCTATTTGTCACCAAATGTATCTTGCTGATATGGCATAACAGATTAACTATGGCAATAAGAAAGAATCAGGTGGTCCTTTCTTCTTTTGATTTGCATGTAAATATATAAATTGATACCGCGGCATTCGATTGGTGAACAGCCCATGAAAAACTACTCTTTCCTGATTGGCTGATAATAGAATGCTGAGGGCTTGTAATGCATTATTGAAACCATTCTGCTGTTAATGAGTAAATAAGCAGTCTGTGAAGATTTTATTGTTGACGTATGTATATTTACGAATTGACTTCACGATGCTTTTATTATTATTATTTTATGGGAGTATAAAGGAAACACATGTTGAAACGTGGAGTCTTTTGAAATCCCGATTTACACGTTTATATCCATATATAAACTCCAAATATATATTGAAGTCAATTCGTAAACAATCGCCCGCCGTGATATTGCTGGAATATTGCTAAAAGCGGCGTAAAACCATATTCACTCACTCACCCACTCACTTAAACAATCGTACCTATGATATCCTGCCGCTGAGAGGTGGACTCTGTCAAAGTAGGCTGTGTTGACCTGTAAATCATGTTGAGACACTTACGTCAACACAAGTACCACACACAGAAACATGTAAAGGTTCTACCACTTTGATAGACTCGTTAGTGATTACTTTTGAAACCTTGTCCTCAGCACTAACACAACCCGTTGATATTGAACTCAAATAACACCTCGAGGCCCACGGACTGGTCAAGACACCAGACACAGCATAAGTAGTCCTTCTTATTGGTCAATATAAACTGCTAGGCACAAGAAAGTATACACCCATGCACTGAGGATGAGTCAGTGAGGATGACCCACTCGATCCCGTTACTCGACTCTTACAGCAAGCATGGGAGCTGATCATGGACAAGACACAGCATAAGTAGTCCTTCTTATTGGTCAATATAAACTGCTAGGCACAAGAAAGTATACACCCATGTTTGTGGTGGCTAAAGATGAAAGGGGGCGGTCGGGTAGCCTGGTGGTTAAAGCGTTCGCTCATCACGCCGAAGACATCTGCCCTTGTAACTATCAGTATATTTCAGCTGTTTCTATTTTGAAGGAGCCAAATATGTATTGTCTTTCGGCGTACAATTGCGATTATTTCTGTTCAAAAATGCCTATAACGGTATATTTACATCTGTTAAAGTCATCATCATCATTATATATATAAACACTTTCTCAATCATCAGCAAACAAATGGATACTTCCAAATACTCTGGGGGCACGGGCGGCCCAGTCGTCTGAGGCGCCACGATTCGCTATTCGCAGAGTTGCGTCCCTTGGGCACGCCAGAAACCTATTATTGTGAGTTCGAATCCCGGTTCGCCCCGAATATGTTTCTAGGTTTTTCAGCACCATACCCGTGCTCGTGGGTTTCACCGAAATGGTAAACGTCTGAGACCTGCATCACTTCGGGCTTTCCTCCCACATTAAGCTGACACGCCGCGATGTAACTGGAATACTGTTAAAAGCGACGTTAAACCCAACTCACTCACTCACTTAATTGATATATAATGTTTTTGACATATTTCCTACATGTAGCATGACTATATTCTCACCCAGTCCTTAAAGGTTCCTTCTGGTTTCGCTTTTCTGTAGGGGGAGAGTCGCTTCGCCAGGATCTCACAAGCGTTCTGTTAAACATTGAACCCCTTGTGAAACGTGTTAAATATCTGTGGACTGTTATAATATTTCGTAATTCATTTGATTCAATGTCGCTTAACACAGTTATACGTTTGTTTGTTTGTTGTTTAACGCCGTCCTCAGCAGTATTCCTGTTATATGACGGTGGTCTGTAAATAATCGAGTCTGGACCAGACAATACAGTGATTGACATCTTGATCATCGATCCATGCACTGAGGATGAGTCAGTGAGGATGACCCACTCGATCCCGTTACTCGACTCTTACATCAAGCATGGGAGCTGATCATGGACCCGTGAAGGTCCGGGATAGAATAGGTCTTCAGCAACCCATGCTTGCCGTAAAAGGTGACAATGCTTGTCGTAAGAGGCGACTAACGGGACCGGGTGGTCAGGCTCGCTGACTTGCTTGATGCATGTCATCGTATCCCAATTGCGTGGATCGATGCTCATGATGTCAATAACTGGATTGTTTGGTCCAGACTCGATTATTTACAAACCGCCGCCATATAGCAGGAATATTGATGAGTGCGGCGTTAAACAACAACTAACCAAACAACCAGCTGATCATGAAGACCCACTCTAACCCGGAACACCATGGGTCAGTATCTCAGTTGTGCCATTGATAATAGGCATTTAGTTGGTAGCAGAACATGAATACACGACACTTTATAAGGATTGAATACAGCAAGTGTAGGCTTGTGCTTGAGATGCATGCAAAGATGTCTGTTAACTTTTGAGGACCAGTTTCACTCTGCCATCTTCCATGTCCAACGTACTGCTTATTAAACCGTGTATATATCCCAGGCAGAGTCTATTGAAAACCAATATGCGTTTTATTTTCTTAGAAATTTCGAATAAAGTTTGTCTGTCCTTCGTGAGTGAATGCTTGAAGTCCTTCGTCCCTTACACCATTGATTCACGAAGGACCGAAAATTTTCTAATTATTTATTCTTCTCTGTGAGTCTGAGGGGGTACAACCTGCACGGCTCCACCGTTGAGGTCCGAACCCGTACTAGCTGCTGTTGGACAGGTCATGTGGATTTTGTCCGTGCACGTGTCGTTGATGTACACTTGCGAGGCTGGGATCCCAAGGGCTCGACTGGCGACCTAAAACACAAAAAAAGTTATAATGGCGCCTCTTACATGTGAACAGCGTTACAGAACTCAATAATTAAAATGATATCTCTTATAAAACATTTCATCGTCACACTCTTGGTTCTTATTATTAACTTTGTTTGTTGTTTAATGCCACACTCAGCAAATATTCCACCAATATGACGGCGGTCTGTAAGTAATCAAGTCTGGACCAGACAATCCAGTGATTGACATCATGAGCATCGATCCACGCAATTGGGATACGGTGACATGCATCAACCAAGTCAGCGAGCCTGACCACCCGATCCCGTAAGTCTTACGACAATCATAGTCGCTTTTTTACGTCAAGCATGGGTTGCTGAAGCATTTTGTAAGCACAAGCAACGAGTGCTGGGGATAAATGCTGAACTTTCTCTCCACGGCGTTCATCACCCGCATGCATAGGCACGTGGTCCTGTGCACAGCGCACAGATCCCAAATAAGGTGAAGCTAAGCAACTTCGGTCTGGGAGAGTAGTTGGATGGGTGACCACGTTCAGCGGACTCCTGAGAGTGTCTAGGGCTTCGGTTCTGCCCCACCCTGAAGCACATATACCACATATGGTGTCTCCTTGGGCAAGTGACTTTGTTCGTAATGTGCCTCTGTTCACTCAGCAGTGAGTGGGTACCCGGTAGGATGAGATGGTAATGTGGCTTTTAACCTTCTAGCGCCTCACAGGCAGGGTTGTATACTCCCCAGGGAGCTGAGAGTGACAATCGAGTGCTCACTGATCCATTGACCGGGCTAATAATAGTGTAGCGCTATGAGCATCCACTCGGTGAATGGAATCTGGCGCATTATAAATGCACTTATTATTATCATTATTATTATTTTTATTTATAGCTACTATTGTGTATTTAAACCCTATGTCGATATCAACATGAGGTGCCGTTGCATGTACAACGTAACAAATCTGAATGTTAAACAATGTCCATGGTTTTAACTATCAATAATATGCAGAAGAAACGATCCGTTGTTTCGTTATGTTGTACACCCCACTCAGAGATATCCCGACTAAATGACGTCGCCCTGTAAATAATTGGGTCTTGAACAGATAAACTCGATATCAAGAGCTTGATCCACGCCACCGCCGGGGTACGATGACACGCTAAGACACCAAGCCGGACCACCGATCGATTTTCTATTACGACCAACATTTTATTTTATTCTCCCTGCAGTGTTTTATTGTGCGATAAACAACACCCACTCGTCGTTTCTTTCTTAAATACATGTACCTGTATCATCTTTGTGTGAAGTCCCTGTCCCATCTCTGTCCCACAGTGGGCCACCAGCACTGACCCGTCCATGTAGGCCGTAACAAGAGCACATGCCTACAACAAAACACATCTCCTGAAGAATCAACTATCCAAGTTCAAAGCAAATATCATAAAAGCAATTCTTATGTGATCTCGTATATTACATATGAATGCAGTGATCATTCCGAGTGTATTTGTGTCATGTTTCATATTTTGTGTAGTGTTCCACAGTATACGCTAGTGTTTCTTACTTTGTGTAGTGTTTCATATTTTGTGAAACATTTCATACTGCGTAGTGATTCATATTTGGTGAAACGTTTAATATTTTGTGAAGCTTTTCACACTTTGTGTAGAATTGCATACTTTGTGAAGTGTTCCATTGTATGCTCAATGTAGTGTTACTTTGTGTAGTGTGTCATATTGAGGGAAACATTTCATACTTGTGTAGTGTTTCATATTTTGTGAAACATTTCATACTGTGTTGTGATTCATGTTTTGTGAAACGTTTCATATTTTGTGAAGCTTTTCACACTTTGTGTAGAATTGCATACTTTGTGTAGTGTTCCATTGTATGCTCAATGTAGTGTTACTTTGTGTAGTGTGTTATATTTTGTGAAACATTTCATACTGTGTTGTGATTCATATTTTGTGAAACGTTTCATACTGTGTTGTGTTTCAATATGTGAAACATTCATACTGTGTAGTGATTCATATTTTGTGTAGTGTTTTATATTTTGTGAAGCTTTTCACACTTTGCGTAGAATTGCATACTTTGTGTAGTGTTCCATTGTACGCTCAGTGTAGTGCTACTTTGTGAAGTGTGTCAGATTTCAATGTTTCAGACTGTGTTGTGATTCATATTTTGTGAAACATTTCATACTGTGTTGTGATTAATATTTTGTGTAGTGTTTCATATTTTTTGAAGCTTTACAAACTTTGTGTAGAATTGCATACTTTGTGAAGTGTTCCATTGTATGCTCAGTGTAGTGTTACTTTGTGTAGTGTGTCATATTTCAATGTTTCATACTGTGTAGTGATTCATATTTTATAAAACGTTTCATACTGTGTTGTGTTTCATATTTTGTGAAACATTTCATACTGTGTTGTGTTCCATATTTTGTGAAACATTCATACTGTGTAGTGATTCATATTTTGTGAAACATTTCATACTGTATAGTGATTCATATTTTATAAAGCGTTTCATATAGTGGTGTGATTCATATTTTGTGAAACGTTTCATACTGTGTTGTGATTCATATTTTGTGAAGCGTTTCATATAGTGGTGTGATTAATATTTTGTGTAGTGTTTCATATTTTGAGAAGCTATTCACACTTTGTGTAGAATTGCATACTTTGTGAAGTGTGCCATAGTATGCTCAGTGTAGTGTTTCTTACTTTGTGTAGTGTGTCATATTTTGTGAAACGTTTCATACTGTGAAGTGTTTCATATATAGTGAAACATTTCACACTTCGTGTAGTGTTTCATATTTTTTGTAGTACTGAAGGCAGGGCGGGACAACTTCGGAATGGCCAGGAGTCCGAACTTGACCACACAGAAGGAAGGGAGCTACAAGAACATGTTTTATATCACTTGAAAGATCTCGAGGAGACGAATCCATCTGCATACTCTGTGTAGTGTTGCATAGTAAACTCTGTGTAGTTTCCCATACCTTGTGTATTGTTTATCCGTCCGAACCGTTTCATACGTTGTTTAGTGTTTTAAACTGTGTATTTGGATATGACAGCAATAATTATGCATCAACTAAACCAACGATATCATGTAACCATTCTTCTTTTACAGAAAACAGAAAATGAAAAGATGTGAATCATCGGTTAATGTAAGTGCAAAATGTACAAAATATAATGCCATCAAATGGTCAGACGAAACTCAGTTACATACTAAATATAACATGTGTGACTTACCTGATTGAAGAAATTAGTAGGCTTCGGATAGGAAAGGGCGTATTTTGTTGGTATTAAAGCAATCCCCCTCTTCTTCCATCGATGAGCCCTGAAATACACGTGCATTTACATAGAGAAAGTTAGTTTTATCTTGTTGAAATGAATTGATTCTGAATTGGAATCATACGAATAACACTAGACAGTGTGTACTGTAAAATAACAAGTATCGCTATAGAGGCCACGTGAAGGCCTAACAGGATAGAGGCCAGCGTACCAGCGGGTCAGGTACCGCCACGATTTCTACAGTTCATAAATATAAAGGTACCATCAGGCTAGAGGAATGTCAGGGTAGCCACAGGTCATTGACACATTCGTCAGAGTATCCGTTAGTTATGGAAAAGTCAGCGTACCCATAGGCCATGGACACATTCACACATCTACAGTGAGTGGTAAGAGAAAAGTCAGGGTGCCCACAGGTCATGGACATATTCCTCATGATATCCACAGTGACTGGTAATGGAAATGTCAGGGTATCCTTAGGTCATTGACACATTCCTCAGGATATCCACAGTGACTGGTAATAGAAAGGTCAGGGTGCCTTCTGGTCATCTACGCATTCCTCAGGATATCCATGGGTCATTAAAACATTCGTTAGGATATCCACGGGTCATTTAAACATTCGTTAGGGTGTCCACGGGTCATGGACACATTCGTCAGGGTATCCACAGGTCATGGACACATTCGTTAGGGTATCCACGGGTCATTTAAACATTCGTTAGGGTGTCCACGGGTCATGGACACATTCGTCAGGGTATCCACAGGTCATGGACACATTCGTTAGGGTATCCACGGGTCATTTAAACATTCGTTAGGGTATCCACGGGTCATGGACACATTCGTCAGGGTATCCACAGGTCACGTACATATTCGTCAGGGTATCCACAGGTCATGGAGACATTCGTCAGGGTATCCACAGGTCATTGACACATTCGTCAGGGTATCCACAGGTCACGAACACATTCGTCAGGGTATCCACAGGTCATGGACACATTTCGCAGGGTATCCATAGGTCATGGACACATTCGTCAGGGTATCCACAGGTCATGGACACATTCGTCAGGGTATCCACTGGTCATGGAAAAGTCAAAGTGCCCTCAGGTCAGGGTACTCACAAGCATAGATCAGGGGGAAAAGCCGGATACCAAATGTCATCGAAACGACAGGTATTACAGGTCAAAGTCAGGTATTCCATAGATCTGGTAAAACGGGCTACCAACAGATCAGGAAAAACGAGGAAAAGGGTAGGTACACTGGTGGGGTACAAGACAGCGTACCAAGAGCGAGTGGGTGTGTGCATTGGGCGTTACATCGCTTTGAACAGAATTGCAGTCATATTATGACGAGTCAGCGAACTGTGATGCAGGTCTCAGACATTTACCACGTCAGGGTACCAAGATGTCAAGGACATTCAACGTCTGGGGGCGCACAGTTTCTTTCATTGTTGTTCAACGCTCAGCTATATGCCAGCTATATGACGGCGATCTGTACAAAAATCGAGTCTGGACCAGACAATCCACTAATTGACATCATGAGAATCGATCCACACAATTGGGATACGATGACATGCATCAACCAAGTCAGCGAGCCTGACCACACAACCCCGTAAGTCGCCTCCTACGACAAGCATAGTCGCCCTTAACGGCAGCATGGATTGCTGAAGACGTATTCAACGGTAAACTATTGGAATAACTGTTACGACACTGAGATCACAAGTCATGGAACAGTCAGATGTGGACATGAACAGGTTGCCATGAAGAGATCAAGTTTCATATTTCCGTACACAATGTTCCAATTGTGATACAAAGTGTCACTACGGAGATCTTCATATGTTAAGACCGGAGTAATGTGCCCAGGAAATAAGCTTATCAAGCTTTGTAAACCAGTACAGAAAGTTTTGACTCACTTGTTGAAGTCCTCCACCTCCTTCTCCCTTCTCGTGTACTGAGACTGCACCATACAATCCTCCCACAGCTTTCGTATGTTGGCCCCCTTCACCTCCTGCCCATAGTACGTCAGATCCCCTTCATGGTACAAGTTAATGTGCCGTACCTACAGGAACAAGTGAACTGGGCCAACTGTTTGTTTATTGTGTAACGCCACACTCAACAATAGCCCAGCTATAAGACGGCGTCTGTAAATAATCGAGTCTGGACCAGACAACCCAGTGATTAATATCATGAGCATCAATCAACGCACTTTGGATCGATGACATGCACCAACCAAGTCAGCGAGCCTGACCATCCGATCCTGTTGGTTGGTCGCCTTTAACGACAAGCATTGTCGCCTTTTACGGCAAGTATGGGTTGCTGAAGACCTATTCCACCCTGGATCTTTACGGGTCTAATATCACATGGCAGGACAGACCTTAGAACAAACAGGGAGTCCGGATTAGTTGTCAGCGAGTCTGAACACCGGATCCTGTGTGTCGCCTCTTACGACAATCATTGGTTGTTGCAAGACCAATTATAACCCGGATCTTCACGGGAAGCATACACGGTAACAGTGATAATAAGTAAATACAAAAGAGACTAAATACCGTCTTCTTGAACGATCAATTGTCCTGACGCATTGTACGACAAGCATGGGTTTCTGAAGTTCTAACCCGGACAAACACGGTGTCTTGTGGATACAAATAAAGGGAACTATGTTTTAAACTTAACTTATTTTAAGAGTGACATTAAATGATAAATACATTATTCCCCTCGTGTGTTTTCGTATCGTAAACATCACACATTAGGAATTGGCTATCATAATACAATGAAATTCATTTCAAATATATGATGTTTACGACACGAAAACACTCGAGGGAAAGAGTGAGTGAGTGAGTTGGGTTTAACGCCACTTTTAACAGTATTCCAGTTATATCGCGGCGTGTCAGCTTAATGTAGGAGGAAAGCCCGAAGTAATGCAGGTCTAAGACGTTTACCACTTCGGTGAAACCCACGAGCACGGGTATAGTGCTGACGAACCTAGAAACATAATTGGGGCGAACCGGGATTCGAACCCACAATTATAGGTTTCTGGCGTGCCCAAGGGACGCAACTCTTCACAGCGAATCGTGGCTCCTTAGACGACTTGGCCACCCGTGCCCCCCTCGAAAACAAGAGCCTCCACAGGCACACATATATGTAGGTACCTTATGAAACTCTTGGAACTTGACAATATGATAAAGTATGTTTAACTCATTCTATATTAATGTAGTGTGGGATTGGGTGAGTGAGTAAAGTTTAATGTCATGATATTAAATATATATGACATCAGTGGAACGATCGAAGGAATACCGAAAGGGTTTCGCGTTTTGAAGCAATGTTGGGAATAGAACCAGGATCTTCGTCCCATCACTGGGCTACTTCACTGACCCCTAACGATGATAAGAGAAAGGATGTTATATGATATACCTCATGCTGTTCTTTACCGACGACATCAGCAACAGCATCCATCAATGTCTCGCTGACCAGCATAGCCTGTGGACTCCCGAACCCTCTGAAAGCAGTGGCCGTTGGGATATTGGTCTTGCACTTGTACCCCACGACCCGGATGTTGGGCACGTTGTAAGCGTTTTCAACGGTCAACACTGCACGTGTTAAAACCTAGTTGAAAAAACACAAAATTGATTCACAGATGAAGTATGATGCTATTGTAGGATAACAGTCCACAACAAAGAAATTGTATGATAAAAACGGGGGTCACGGGTGGCCCAGTGTTCTAAGGACCCAAAATTGCTGTGCAGAGTGCGTCACTTGGGCACATCACAAACGTATGATTTTCAGTTTGATTCCTGGTTCACCCCGATTTTCTTCGAGGTTTGTCGGCGCCATACCCGTGCTCGTGGGTTTCAACCAAAGTGGTAAACGACTGAATTGCCTCACTTCGGGCTTTCCTCCCACGTTAAGCTAACACGCCGTGATATAACTGGAATACTGTTAAAAGCTGCGTTAAACCCAACTCACTCAGAAAATTGGTCCGAGGAAGTGATTATGCCCTGGTGAGTGGGAAGACTAATGATCGGGTAGATTAATGCACAAATAGCCAGCTGTACCAGGCCATTGCAGCCACTGAAAGTTTTCATAATTAGTTTGCTAAATTGTTTAGCGACGCACTCAGCAATATTCCAGCTATATGACGGCGATCTGTAAATAATCGAGTCTGGACCAGACAACCCAGTGATTGACACCATGAGCATCCATCCACACCATTGAGACATGATGATATGCCAGCATTATGCCAGCTATATGACCAGACAATCTGAACAAGACAATCCAGTGATTGACATCATGAGCATCGATCCACGCAATCGGGATCGATGACATGCATCAAACAAGTCAGCGAGCCTGACCACCCGATCCCGTTAGTCGCGTTTTACGACAAGCATAGTCGCCTTTTACGGCAAGCATGGGTTGCTGAAGACCTATTCTAACCCGGAACTTCACGGGTCGACTCCAGAGGGCAAACAAGAATGCCCAAATGCACGTTGTTTCTTTATTATACATATTTGGATAAAAACTGTTCGAAGCTTCATGTGTTTGACAAACGCTCCCCAAGGGTCGCCCCTCACATGCATACGTACCCCTACTGTGAGATCCAGCGTGCACCCACTGTTGGCGTACAGCTTCACGTCCAGGGCTTGCAGGCGACCCGCGGAGCTGAATCCTGCCTAAACACAATGAAACAACCATTCAGTAATTGCATCAGTATTATTAGTTTTATATCATTCACACTACTGTTTGCCTTAAGGTTACCGACCACCGCCAGGAGTGTGAGGTGCAGTGGGTTTACATCTTCCCGAGGCAAGAGGGTTAACTGACTTTAAAAGTCCAGTTTCCACCCTTGCCAAACTAGGCAGGAATTACTGGGCTCGATCGTAGCGCCACCAGTGGCTAGTGCCAGTTATGTTCCTTCTAAGCCTCTCCTATGGACCAATCAGATTCCACCTCTCGTATCACTTGCGTTTGCTTCACACAAAATGGTGGCGCCCAGTCAGGATGATCTGATCAATGATCAAGATCTATATTGTGATAAAACGGGTCTTACATCGCGAAATGCATCAAATCAAGTGGGCACCTTGATTCAAAACGTGAAAAGGTTTGGAAAAATATCTGCTGACAACGAGTTGGCGTTGCATATGCTTTGCAAATCCTGCAATCGACCGAAATCTGCACGACAGTTTACGAACCGGATTTCGATTTCGGTGCGCGATTTTGATTGGACTATGCATGGACTCGTTAGTCCAGCCAAAATGTAACCCCATAATTTAATGCCGCATTCAATATTATTGAACTTATACTCTACGTCTATGCATGTGTGTGTATGTGGCTCGTAGTGCGAGTCCGGCCGTATGGCGGTTTTATTGTGCTTGCCCGAGATACCATGCATGGATACCCCACTAAGACACAATAAACCGTCTCCGAGCCTATCAGTACTTATTTTATCCTCTAAAATGCCAGCCACCAGGCAGGGTAACAAGAAGTAACATCGTTTTTCACAGTCAAGGGATAAAAAATCGACCTTACGCTTAAAGGTGAGGTAGTTGAGATGAAAAGGGGTTTAACGTCACGTTCAAGAATATTTCACTTATATATAGCGATGTGGTGTGTGTACGATGCCACAATTTAACATGAATTCCTCACTCAGACACAGTGCACTGACTCCCAGCTGACCAGTCCTTGTTTAGACCCTTAATGCCGAAAGGCAGGCAGGGTAACAACAAGAGCCATTTTTAACGTCTTTTGGTTTGACGTTGTCGGGGATGGAATTCCCCGACCTTGCGCTCTATCAATAGACCACGGAGGCTTATGTCAGCAACAGGGGTTATATCAACAGTAAAGTCACACATTACAACCAATGAATCCTTGTTTGAGTTGATTCTTACGATTAGAATGAGCATTGGGCATTCTTGTTTGCCCTCTGGAATCGATCCGTGAAGATCAGGGGTAGAATAGGTCTTCAGCAACCCATGCTTTCCGTTAAAGGCGACTATGCTTGTCGTAAGAGGCGACTAATTAACGGGATCGGGTGGTCAGGCCCGCTGACTTGGTTGATGCATGTGATCGTATCCAATTTCGTGCGTCGATGCTCACGGTGTCAGTCACTGGATTGTCTGGTCCAGACTCTATTATTTACAGACCGCCGTCATATAGCTTGAATATTGCTGAGTGCGGCGTTAAACAACAAACAAACAAACGAAGGTAAAGTAACACATTGTAACCGCCGAATTCTCATTTGAGTTGATTCTTACTATTAGAATGTGCATTGGGCACTCTTTCTTTGCCTTTTAGAAACACCACTTTGAAATGCAAGGAGGGGTGTGTGTAGTGGTGTGATGGGATTCGATCCACGGACCTTCTGATCCAAGGTCGGACGCCTTGTCCACATGACCAAAGAGGTTAACCCCGTCAGCAAGCTGACAAGGTAAGGGATGTCATCTGTGGAACGACGCCACGCCCAGCTACATTATGTTATTCCAATACCAGAAAGAGTCATTTCTTTCATTGACACAATTTTACAGTTATAGATATTAGCAAGGACAAATTATACAGTTGAAGGGGCGGTCGGGTAGCCTGATGGTTTAAGCGTTCCCTCGTCACGCCGAAGAGCCGGGTTCGATTCCCGACATTGGTACAATGTGTGAAGCCCATTTCTGGTGTCCCCCGCCGTGATATTGCTGGTATATTGCTAAAAGCGGCGTAAAACCATACTCACTCACTCACTCACTATACAGTTGAAGAAAAGTGACCATTGTTGAACATGCCTCACTTGAAACAATGTCACAACAATTCATATTTTTCCAGGGGCGGTCGGGTACCCTAGTGGTTAAAGCGTTCGCTCGTCACGCCGAAGACCCGGGTTCGATTCCCGACATGGGTACAATGTGTGAAGCCCATTTCTGGTGTCCCCCGCGGTGATATTGCTCTAATATTGCTAAAAGCGGCGTACAACCATACTCACTCATTCACTCACTCACTATACAGTTGAAGAAATGTGACCATTGTTGAACATGCCTCACTTGAAACAATGTCACAACAATTCATATTTTTCCAGGGGCGGTCGGGTAGCTTAGTGGTTAAAGCGTTCGCTCGTCACGCCATAGACCCGGGTTCGATTCCCGACATGGGTACAATGTGTAAAGCCCATTTCTGGTGTCCCCCGCCGTGATATTGCTGGAATATTGCTAAAAGCGGCGTAAAACCATACTCACTCACTCATATTTTTTCATACGTGCACCCACAATGATGAAAGACAAAACATGTTGTACCTTATACCGGGCAAAGAAGGCATGTCTCCCTCCTGTGAGTACCATAGCCATATCATGTTTCTAAAAAGATATCCACAACTACTGAACGTTTTTGACTATTGACAAATGTGCAAAAATTCAAGATGGCCGCCAATGTCAAGATGGCCGCCAAGTATGTGCACCCACAATGATGATAGACAAAACATGTCGTACCTTATACCGGGCAAGGAAGGCATGTCTCCCTCCTGTGAGTACCATGTCTTCATCTCTGTCCAACATGCACCTCACTGGACGGTTGACTCTGCAACAAAGAAAATGGTCACTATAAGAACCACAGCATAGTCTTTGAACAAACGTTAGCTTAACACTTGACATCAGTGGGTGTCCACGTATGGGGATTCCGGGTCAGAATACGTACCCTATCCCGGCTATACCAGAGTTGTCAATGTCTGTGAGCTGTGAACCACCTTATATAATTATTTACCACGACCAGTTGGTTGTTTCACGCTACACCCAGCAATGTTCCAGCTTTTTGACGGTCTGTGAGGTGTGGGTGTTTGTGTGTGTGTGTGTGGGTGTGTGTGTGTGTGTGTGTGTGTGTGTGTGTGGCTGCTTGTACTAGTACGGACTGATGACGATTTATAGTGCTATCCCACTGAGATTTCGTACCGCAGTTTAACCAGAATACCCCACTCAGGCACAGTATGCTGACGCCGAGCCGACCAGTCCTTGTTTTAGCCCCTTAATGCCGAGCGCCAGACAGGGTAACAACAAGTATAATCTTTTAACGTCTTTTGGTATAATGCGGCTGGGGATGGAACCCCGGACCTTCCGCTCTCCCGGCGGACGCTCTACCACTAGACCACAGATGCGGTCGTTATGACGGTTTGCAAATAATCGAGTCTGGACCAGACAATCCAATGATTGACATCATGAGCATCGATTCATGCAATTGGGATACAATGACATGCATCAACCAAGGCAGCGAGCCTGACCACCTGATCTCTCTTACGACAAGCATAGTCGCTTTTCACGGCAAGAATGTGTTGCTGAAGACCTATTCTACCCCGGATCTTCACGGGTCTATGTTCTAATAAGTAAGCATTGTTACATACTTAGCAGCGGCCACAGCAACAGGGAGCGCTACAAATGACGTGATGCTTTCCTTCCCTCCAAAACCACCACCTGAAAATAATTACCAGCATTTACAGTTTTTGTTTGTTTGTTGTTTAACGCCGCACTCAGCAAATTCCAGCTATATGACGGTGGTCTGTAAATAATCGAATCTGGAAACTCAGTGATTGAGACAATCCAGTGATTGACATCATGAGCATCGAACCAGCAATTTGGATCGATGACATGCATCAACCAAGTCACCGAGCCTGACCACCCGAGCCTGACCAGTCGCCTCTTACGACAATCATAGTCGCCTTTTACGGCAAGCATGGGTTGCTGAAGACCTTTTCTACCCCGGATCTCAAGGGTCTGGACGATCCAGATATGATGAGGAACGCTCCACGCCGTCGGGGCACGTTGTTACGCCATCAACCAAGTCGCAGAGCCTTACCATCCGATCCACTATGTCGCCTCTTACGATCAGCATAGGTTGCTTAGGACCAACACTATTCCGGAGTTCCCACGGGTGACCTTGTGCTGCGAAAGCCCGTTGCAGTGTGACACGGAACACATCAGTAAGTTATCGTTAAGCACATTTACTAATCTCACCTATACGTTTAACTCTTGACACTATTTTGTTAGCCGGAACGCCAAGTGCAGCTGCAACTTGATGCTGAAATAAACCCATGACATCAGTCAAGTCTTGGCTTGTCCTGCCTTCTCAATCGATAAATCTACCATAATCCATATTGTCTTTGAAAAATTAATTTAATACATACAAAATTAAGACATGGTGATGGTGAATTAAAAAATGACATATTTGGAGAAGGTTTAAAAGAGTATTCAAAATGCCGATGAGGCAGCCCATGTTAATATTCATATTATTTTTTTAATTGAATGTCCAATTTTGAATTAGCAAGAAGCGAATTGGTGCGCTCACTATTGTTAATTGTGAACGATACTTGTGATGTTAATATTGACCTGATGGCATTTGGCAATGCAGCTTCACCTAATCATGTCATCGAAAACATCTTTAGGAAGGTACAATGTTTAGAAAACAAAAGGGTTTACTTGAGAAATCGTGTTGATGTATAGTAACTGTGCTTCATATAAAGTTCAATAAAAATACATTTATTCAGAATTTAAATGAGGCATATTCATGAAGACATCGTCTCGACTTTGAGGTCGTGATTAACAATTTGCACGTGCATGTTCCAGCAGGGCGCACAATTAGGATGTTTGCGTGTTTGTTGGGCGCATGATACTCACGAAATGTGAACAGCATTCAATGATTGTTTAGCTATCAGGTGCTTTCGCAATGCCACTGCTTGCTATTAATCAATGTCTACACGCCGTGGGTATGCTTCAAACAGGAATGGCGCAAACACAATAATGGCAATTTAATGGCAATGGTAATGGCAATTTAATGGCAATGGTAATGGCAATTTAATGGCAATGTTAATGGCAATTTGAATGCCACCGGGAATACCGTTCGAGATCATTTTCCACCCTTTTAGCAATTGCAGGCATGTAACGTCGCGTTGCAGTAGAATAATTCCCGCCCACACGTTGTAACACGCGTTGTAACATGCTGTTTGTGGGCGGCTGTTTCTTTATAGTCCAGGCAAAATAAGGTTACACTTAGACGGATTGCAACAGAATTTATTTCACCACAAAGCTTCCCTACAAGGTCCCGAAAACAACATACTAAAAGCTCCAAGCAATCCCAGTTTGGGAAATATGTCTAATTTGCATAATCCGATATGGCCACCAGTTATCAATATATCTTCCATATTTCAGATGAGGTTCAATGTTTTAATGAAAAAAGCATGTGCTGCATTGCGAAATAGCCCTATTTTGTTTCTAAAAAGATATTCACAACTACTGAACGTTTTTGACTATTGACAAATGTGCAAAAATTCAAGATGGCCACCAAGTTTCCTAAATGTGTGTTTACACTGTTGAATCTTTTAACCCTTAAACAGTGTACTAGGACTTATATGCATTTAACTTGCTACGCTAGCTCACTGAAGTATAGTTAACACTTTTGGATAGAAACTCCGTCACCAGAGCCCCCTGGTGGCCTAAAATTCCAAGATGGCCGCCAAGAGTTTGATGGCAAGACACAGAATATTATGCACTGTTGTTCTCTGATGACATATTTGAGTGATTTGAACTTCTTCATTGGGGAAGCAGACCTAAGGATGCATGTAGAATACTCAATCATTTGCATAAATCCAATATAACTACCAAATACCAATATGTATCTCTTAAATGACGAGTTTTGGCGACTTTAGATATCAATGCTGATTGTTATTGTCTGAATCTACTTATCAACATGACAATAAACGCTATAACAAGTTTCGTTTTCATTCATGTAAATACTTGTTGGAAATAAACCTCTCAGAATTCACCCAAAACCAGTTGTTTCACAAGAAGTTAATGAGTCATCTCCCCTGTAGTTCATTTGTGGAAATCAAATAAAACCACCAAATACCAGAATTTGAATATAAATCGGAAAACGTTTGATCCACTTTTCATTCAGTGGTGAAATAAATTATGTTGCAAGTTGAGTGAAAAAATGGCCTAGATTGCCTGGACTTTTAGACCTCTTCCCCAAAAGAACATGTCTGGGATGAGAGTGGAAGACGCCTACGACAGGACTAGAACCGGCAGGTAACGCTAGCTCAGTTGGATTAATCTTTCGTTGTCATTTCGAAAACCACCCCCAGGTTGTTTTCAATATCATCAGCCGTCAATGCGCCGCCGCAGGCTCGTCTGTATCAACGCAAATTGTCACACCCGATATTGACATGGTTACTTGAGTTGTTAAACGAACTCCCTTTCTGGCCATGTCGTCCATTCGGAGCACATTTATTTGAAGCACAGTTACTTTTGTCCGCTAGTATACATACGTTTCTCGCTTTCCCTTCTTTCGTTTCTGTCATTTAATGTATTTATTGTAAATAACCATACTTGTAAATCTATTGGAGAGGTCGTTCTAATTTGTGATAATTACGCCCAATCCTTTTCACGAGAATATAATAAATTTAAACTAAAACCGACAACAGAGACGGCCTTCAGCAAGAATTCCGACAGATGAGGCCAAGTCAACTTATTCTTCTAAATGCATCCTAATTAAATGATGTTCAGAGGTCAGGGGCGGTCGGGTAGCCTAGTGGTTAAAGCGTTCGCTCGTCACGCCGAAGACCCGGGTTCGATGCCCGACGCCGTGATATTGCTGGAATATTGCTAAAAGCGGCGTGAAACCATACTCACTCACTCACTCACTCTCTCAGGGGGTCAGTTTTCAAACCTGAATTCCAGATGGGAATTGGGTACTGGAGATAATTTCCATCCCTCCCTCCTCATTGGTTGGTCTTGCTGCAGCCACGTTAGTCTCCAAGTAAAAATGTTCTTGTGGACCAATCCGCAGTTCGTCCTCTATCACGTGATCTGATTCGCGGAAACCAAGGTCAAGGTCACCGTTTGTCACACTTATATTGGGATTGAAAAACGAGTTTTCCTGAATCGCTTGCTGGAAACGAAAGGAAAAAAAATAAAAAATCAGTGATATAACATGTTCGTTACTATCGCTCTAATTTCATGTTGTGTCTCATATGGATCTCCATAGCCTAGGTGCATAATACTCCTAAACCCATTGAAGACTTAGGATACCGCAAGTAATAATGGATACAACAAATTAATATCGCTCTAATTTGATGTTGTTGTTCATAGGGATCTCCATTGCCTACGTGCAGACTACACTTATACTTTTCTCATGTAAAAAATATTGTTTACGTTAATGCTCTCTTACAATTCAAGATGCCAGTAAAATCAAGCCTCAGAGAACGTGTAAACTTTGCTGCTTGGGATCCGAAGCCCAAGATGCCAGTAAAATCAAGCCTCAGAGAACGTGTAAACTTTGCTGCTTGGGATCCGAAGCCCACGATGCCAGTAAAATCAAGCCTCAGAGAACGTGTAAACTTTGCTGCTTGAGATCCGAAGCCCAAGATGCCAGTAAAATCAAGCCTCAGAGGACGTGTAAACTTCGCTGCTTGGGACCCGATGCCCAAGATGCCAGTAAAGTCAAGCCTCGGAGAACGTGTAAACTTTGCTGCTTGGGATCCGAAGCCCAAGATGCGAGTAAAATCAAGCCTCAGAGAACGTGTAAACTTCGCTGCTTGGGATCCGAAGCCCAGGACGCACCGTTAAACTCAATTTCACCTCATTTCAACTGTTATATAACCACGTGACTGGGCACTGTCTTTTCGACAGATATACTGAACTCAAAAGAAACGCGAAGATGTTTGATGGGTGATATCTTCAAACAGACGTGATGGCAAATTATTAAACAACGTTCTATTTTATTTCACATGATACTATTCACCAACCCGCAACTTGGGATAATTGCACGAACTTCTCCGGGAAATGCATAAAACGTGGAACACTTTTTTATAACCAGAAAGTTTGGGAACGTATTAATTGATTCATCGGACGCCTTGTCATCTGGTCTCAAACAATAGCTTTTGGTTTTCTTGTTTGACTTTAAGTTAGACACAAAAACACCATGACGAGGTGAGGTGAAATGGAGTGAACTAGCGACGTGTGTGTGTGGGGGGGGGGGGGGGGGGGGGGGGCTGCTTGTACTAGTCCGGACTGATGCCGATTTATAGTGCTAGCTCACTGAGATACCATGCCGCAGTTTAACATGAATACCCCACTCAGACACAGTATACTGACTCCGAGCCGACCTTGTTTTAGCCCCTTAATGCCGAGCGCCAGACAGGGTAACAACAAGTATCATCTTTTAACGTCTTTTGGTATGACGCGGTCGGGGATCGAACCCCGGGCCTTCCGCGCTCCGGGCGGACGCTCTACCACTAGACCACGGAGGCGGTCCGGAAACCGGACGAGGGCAGTCGGTCTTACTGAATGAAGCAAGATGGAGCATGCCACGGATTTCCAGGCACCTGGGTGTCCATCATTCCACAACATACAGGCTTCAGGCACATCATCAGCTGACCAACACTGCAGACTATCGTCCATTAGTGGCCGACCGCGTGTGACGTCAGATAGACAAGATCGGTACATGGTGACGTCACAACTACGGGACAGATTCATTCGTGCAACCACACATGCTCGAGTGACGTCAGAGACTCACTACAGACCAATCAGCGGCCACACCCGTTACTGAATGTGATTCAAAAAGACTTTTAAACGTCACCGTGACCTTAAATCCTACTTGAAGTTCATGAAATGCTGTCTTATGTGAAATTAAATATGTTGCTATCACCCTGCCAATTTTAACTTGTTTCTGTTGAAAACTTTCATTTCTATGGCATGTAACTTTTACCACTTCAAATTCACGTTTCTTTTGAAGTTGAGTGAATGTTAAAACGTGCATATTGTTAACGATCTTTTATTCATTTCCCAATATTAAATATCAAAGAACCAAACAAAATTATTATTTGATGATAAATCCATTCATTACCAAAAGATAAGATCCGGGTTAGAAAAGGTCTTCCGCAAACCATGCTTGCCGTAAAAGGCGACTATGCTTGGCGTAAGAGGCGGCTATAACGGGATCGGGTGGTCAGGCTCGCTGACTTGGTTGATGCATGTTATCGATCCCAATTGCGTGGATCGATGCTCATGATATCAATCACAGACTCGATATTAGAGACCGCCGTCATATAGATGGAATATTGCTGAGTGCAGCTTTAAACAACAAGCCAACAAAGAGATAATGTACGTGTTTTCTCCTGTCTCAAATGTTGAACACATGTTCACGTGATGAGTGTACCTCAATGGTGATGATGGGAGTCAAGTCTTCATATTCAACCTTGACAGTTTTGGCCGCTCTCTGAGCCTCGATCTGAGTTTCTCCCAGGATGCAAGCAATGATTTGACCTTGGAATATTACCTGAAAGAATAGGGCGAAGATGATATGATATATGTATGTTTCAGACATCAACTACTTGGTAAGGTAGTTTTCTGCTGATTATTGTCTTACCAATGGTGGCGTTTAAACATGTGGAGCCTCAGGTCGGGACTGGCTCAGTTGGTCGGAGCTGACGACCTCCACACAGTGGCTTGTGACTACCTGCTCTGGAGTGAGTGAGTGAGTTGGGTTTAACGCCGCTTTGAACAGTATTCCAGTTATATCACTGCGTGTCAGCTTAATGTGAGAGGAAAGCCCAAAGTGATGCAGGTCTCAGACATTTACCACTGCGGTGAAACCCAAAGCACGGGCTTGGTGCTGACAACCCAGAAACATAATCGCAGCGAACCGGGATCGAACCCACTTTCATAGGGTTCTGGCTTGCCCAAGGGACACAACTCTGCACAGCGAAATGCGGCGCTCTAGACGACTGGGCTCCCTCGGGATCACACAAAATACACGTAATAAACACGTATGTTCACCTTACATACTTAGGTAATACCTGATTTCAGCTAATAGAAGCGTACTGGTGACATCAATGGAGCCTCTGATGGTAGGGGTGGTAGGGTAGCCTAGTGGTTAAAGCGTTCGCTCGTCAAGCCGAAGACCCGAGTTCGATTCCCCAGATGGGTACAATGTGAGAAGCCCATTTCTGGTGTCCCCCACCGTGATATTGCTGGAATATTGCTTAAAGCCGGGTAAAACCATATTCACTCATTCACTCAATGGCGGTAAATTTTGACCTCATTTGACCACCGGTGGAGTACTATATACCCTTTCGGCCTTCTAGTGTATCACTGTTTATGTCATTTGTCCAAATGATGGTAATCTGTTGATCCCTATTGAACACATGGGCCCACTTGCACAAAGCGATCTTAGCGCTAAGATGATAGTAATTCACATGCTTTAACATAGGCCTACAATAGTCTTAACGCTGAGATGATCGTAACTCCCATATTTTAACATAGGCTTACAGTAGTCTCAGCGCTAAGATAATCGTAACTCCCATACTTTAACATAGGCTTACAATAGTCTTAGCGCTAAGATGATTGTAACTCCCATACTTTAACATAGGCATACAATGGTCTTAGTGCTAAGATGATTGTAACTCCCATACTTTAACATAGGCATACAATTGTCTTAGCGCTAAGATGATCGTAACTCCCATACTTTAACATAGTCTTACAATGGTCTTAGTGCTAAGATGATTGTAACTCCCATACTTTAACACAGGCATACAATGGTCTTAGTGCTAAGATGATTGTAACTCCCATACTTTAACACAGGCATACAATGGTCTTAGTGCTAAGATGATCGTAACTCCCATACTTTAACATAGTCTTACAATGGTCTTAGTGCTAAGATGATTGTAACTCCCATACTTTAACACAGGCATACAATGGTCTTAGTGCTAAGATGATTGTAACTCCCATACTTTAACATAGGCATACAATGGTCTTAGTGCTAAGATGATCGTAACTCCCATACTTTAACATAGGCTTACAATGGTCTTAGCGCTAATATGATCGTAACTCCCATACTTTAACATAGGCTTACAATAGTCTTAGCGCTAAGATCGCTTTGTGCAAGTGGGCCCTGAAGGTAAAACGTTGATTTCTTTTGACCATCTGATCATAGTGATGTTTACTGTTGACCTCAATGCACCAACTGATGGTCTTCAGGTTCCGTTATGGTAAAATGTTACCATTATTGGGCAAACTGAAGGCATTCAGTTACCCTACCTGCTGATGTATACTGCTTACCTCTTTAGAAGCAAATATTTCCATTTCATCTTGACTCGCAACACCAAATGTTGTCAGTGCCGGGATGTCTTTAAAGCTGACAAAGTCCACTACACCAGGCATACTTAGTGCCTCCGAGGCGTCGACTGATAGGATTTTAGCATGTGCCTTTGTGCTGAATACAAACGCAGCGTATAGTTCACCTGGAAATATGATTGTGAAACATAATTACCGATCAGGTATGCCTGTATGTAGTATGCATTGTTTTACTGTACATACAAGGGCCCACTTGCACACAGCGATCTTAGACGATCGTAAGCCTATGTTAAAGTATTGGAGTTACGATCATCCTAACGCTAAGGTCGCTTTGTGCAACTCTATCCATTAAACAGGAAGTCAGTGTATTGCACTCACTGTTGGCAGAGTACCTCTGGATCGTTTGATGAAGGGCCAAGAAAAGAAATCAAAATGTTTTTAATTACATGTACAATTAGGTTATGTATTATTTATTTTCCAAAACAACTTTCAAGGCTATGTGCAAATTGTTCACAAATGTTTCAATACTATTAAGAGATATTTTTGATTTTCCACAGAATTTTTAGATTAAAAACCATCAGACAATAAAAGCCCCACATTGTGATTTGAAACATACGGATTTGTCTTGGTCACAACCCATACATTAAGGATTGAGGGCAAGACTGAGTCTATGCATCTGGTTTGGTTTGGCTTGGTTGGTGTGTTGTTTAACGCCGCTCTCAGCAATATTCCAGCTATATGACGGCAAGCCCGGTCGAGTCTAGACCCGACAATCCCGTGATTGACATCATGAGAATCGATCCACGCAATTGGGATCGATAACATGCATCAACCAGGTCAGCGAGCCTGACTACCCGATCCCGCTAGTCGCCTCTTACGACAAGCATAGTCGCCTTCTACGTCAAGCATGGGTTGCTGAAGACCTATTCTACCCCGATCTTCACGGGAAGTCTATGCATCTGATATCCCTTGATTCGTGTCCGTGATATCCATGATTACGATAGCAACATAATAGAAATCCTAACCATCAACCATAGACAGGTCATGTGAAGGACAATAATCCTAACCATCAACCATAGACAGGTCGTGTGAAGGACAAAAATCCTCACCATCAATTTTAGGCGGGGCATGTTGAGGGACTGTGATCCTTACCATCCGCCATAGACAGATGATATATAGGGAAAATCGTCCCTACCATCAACTATAGACAGGTCATATGTAGGGACAATCGTCCTTACCATCAGCCATAGCCAGGTCATGTGGAGGGAGAGTGATCCTTACCATCAGCCATAGCAAGGACGCGTGGAGGGAGAGTGATCCTTACCATCAGCCATAGCCAGGTCATGTGTAGGGACAGTGATCCTTACCATCAGCCATAGCCAGGTCATGTGTAGGGACAGTGATCCTTACCATCAGCGATAGCCAGGTCATGTGTAGGGACAGTGATCCTTACCATCAGCCATAGCCAGGTCATGTGTAGGGACAATAGTCCTTACCATCATCAATAGACGGGTCATGTTTCGGGACAATAATCCTTACCATCAATCATGGGCATGTCATCTATGTACACAGCCTCGCCTGTGGTCTGCTGCAGCGCGGATGTGTGTACGAGTGGTCTTCCCACTGCATCAGTCGGGTCTTGGTCGTCTGGTACAGCCTCGTACAGTTGTACCCCCTCGCTGACCCTTCGCTCAATGTCCTTCACAGCGTCACTGGGGACAATGCCTCCTGGTGTCTGTTGGGAGATTAGCCCCTTTATTTACCTTTGCTCTATAGACATCACAAAGTTAAAAAAATGTACAATTAATAAAGAATGTCATGATGCCAAACTGAAAGACATTTTATCTGTTTAAATATGCAGCATATATGATGTTGCTAAGTGATGAAGACGTTTTTCAACACGGGATTTAAAATATACTTACTCTTTATTTTGATAAAATTTGTCCTTAGCGTGTTATCCCATATCTGCTGACCTACTTACAGGAAGTAATTATGTTGATAAAATGATCCGAGTCATTTCAAAACAAGCAGGGGGCGGTGGGGTAGCTTGTGGTTTAAGCGTTCGCTCGTCACGCCGAAGATCCTGGTTCGTTTCCCCATATGGGCACAATGTGTGAAGTCAATTTCTGGTGTTCAATAAAAATCTTGTTCATGGCTAAAAGTGGCGTAAAACAATTTTCACTTACTCACTCACTCACTCACTTGCTCGCTCACTCAAATCAAGGATAATTTGTGAGTAGTTTTGAGCGAGTGAATGTTGTATTAACTTAAGTGAGTGAGTTGGGTTTAACGCCGCTTTTAACAGTATTCCAGTTATATCACGGCGTGTCAGCTTAATGTGGGAGGAAAGCCCGAAGTGATGCAGGTCTCAGACGTTTATCACTTCGGTGAAACTCACAAGGACGGGTATGGTGCTGACAAACCTAGAAACATAATTGGGGCGAACCGGGATTCGAACCCACAATCATAAGTTTCTGGCGTGCCCAAGGGACGCAACACTGCACAGCAATCCGCCTTGGACGACTGGGCCACCCGTGCCCCCCTATTAACTTAAGAGTCGACAACAACCAATCACAGAGAAGTCATTACGTAACGGAGAAAAGCCAGTGGTTGATAGCTTGAGTCACAATCAACGGCATTATCCTAAAACGATCGTACAACCACTACCAGGTTATAAATTTCATCAGGTCGTTCGACAAGACTACTTTTGCTGTTTCAGTAACGCCGTACTCAGAAATATTCCAGCTATATCACGGCGACCTGCAAATAATCAAGTCTGGACCAGACAAACCAGTGAGTGATATTATAAGCAACAGTCCAGGCAATAGAGGTACGAAGACATTACAAGCATATGTTGCTGGAGAACAATTCTTACCAGGAATCCTGTTGGGTGGTGCACTTTGGGTACTCATAATTGAGAATACAGGTATATGGGAGCGTTTGACTGTAACTCACAGGTGAACATAAATGTTTTAAAATCATACCGCTATCTTTGTTGAGTGAGTGAGTGAGTGAGTGCGTTGGGTTTAACACCGCTTTGAACAGTATTCCAGTCATATCACGGCGTGTCAGCTTAAAGTGGGAGGAAAGCCCGAAGTGATGCAGGTCACGGACGTTTACCACTTCGATGAAACCCACGAGCACGGGTATGGTGCTGACAAACCTAGAAACATAATCGGGGCGAACCGGGATTCGAACCCACAATCATAGGTTTCTGGCGTGCCTAAGGGACGCAACTCTTCACATCGAATCACGGCGCCTTAGACGACAGGGCCACCCGTGCCCCCTTATCTTTGTTGAACGGGCCCCTGAGTGATCAAGGTGAACGAATTGGCTGTATATTTTCCTCATAACGGGAATCGAAGCTTGACCTTACGTGTAACGATTGAATACCTTAACTGCTTTCCTGCTGGGAGTCTTTGTAATGAGTGGTTATTGCATAACGCCGCACCAGCAGTCTTGCAGCTATTGAGGGCACGGGGGCCAGTCGTCTAATGCGCGGCAATTCACTTTGCAGAGTTGCGTCCCTTTGAAACGCCGGAAGTCTGGCGTCGTGGGTTCGAATCCCGGTTCCCCCGATTATATTTCTAGGTTTTTCAGCACCATACCCGTCAATATTGCGTTTCAAGTGATAAAGTTCTAAGACCTGCAACACTTCGGGCTTTCTTTCCACATTAAGCTGATACGTCGTGATATGATAATCGATTGAACTTATGAGCAAGTCATCGAGTCAGACCACCCTATCCATTTGATTGCTGGGTCATCATATGGCTGAGGTGAAGTTTTACCTCAGGGTTTTTTACCTGGAATACCCCCGGGGTTCACGTTAATAATGAAGTTTAAATGATTATTTTGTCTACGAAATGCATCGTTGTCATAATTAATGCATGATGACCTGTTGCAGTCTTTGTGTGACGTCAGTGTAGAACTTGAAAAAGAAGCTGGTTGTGAGAGTACGACGATATTCTACCATGCCACCTGGTGAGCCGGGGGATAAAGGGAGGTCACTCGCCAAATGTTCACACGTCCTCTCCAGCAGCACATCATTCCAGGTCCTGAGGTAAAGGAAGCGGCATTAAAATATTTAAAGGTAATTTGAACGTGACATTTGAATACTGGTGAGGTGAGGTGAAATGGGGTTTAACGTCGCGTCCAAGATTATTGCACTTATATAGCGATGTGCATGTACGTGTGTGTGTGTGTGTGGCTGCTTGTACTAGTCCGGACTGATGCCGATTTATAGTGCTAGCTCACTGAGACACCATGCCGCAGTTTAACATGAATACCCCATTCAGACACAGTATACTGACTCCGAGCCGACAAGTCCTTGTTTTAGCCCCTTAATGCCGAGCGCCAGCCAGTACCATCTCTTAACGTCTTTTGGTATGACGCGGTTGGGGATCGAACCCCGGACCTTCCGCTCTCCGGGTGGACGCTCTACCATTAGACCACGGAGGCGGTCCATTTGAATACTGAAGGAGCCTTTGAAAAATCATTATGAACATCGCGTTTTTGGACGGAAGGCATTTCATATGCATTGAAAGAGTCTATTTTACATTACTTGGGTACTCCGGGAAAGTGTGATGAAGACCATGTGGTGTTCCATTCACATCTTGCCCTTACGGACGTCAAGTTTTCTGTGAAAGAGTTGATTTAATGTTTTTATATTGATATATAACACGGGAAGAGCGGATTTCTATCCATTTCAACATCAGTCAGAAAAGATAGAGACACTAAAAAATGGGCGGGGGGAGAGGATGCTTAACGTCGCACCGCACCGCACCGCACCGCACCGCACCGGAGTGGAGCGGGAGCGGGGTGGGGTGGGTTTGGGTAGGGTGGGTTTGGTCAGGTTGGAGTGGAGTGGAATGGAGAGGGAGAGGTGGTGGAGCGGATTTGAATGGAGTGGGAGTGGGGTGGGGTGATGTCTGGTGGTATAGCGTGGGGTGGAGTTGTTCGGAGTGGAGTGGAGTGGAGAGGAGCGGAGAACTTGGTGGAGTGGAATGGAAGTGGAAGTGGAGTGGAATTGAGTGGACTGGAGCGTGGTGGGGGTGGGGTGGTGTGAGGTTTGTCGGGGTGGAGTGGAGTGGAGAATTTGGTGGAGTGGAATGGAAGTGGAAGTGGAGTGGAATTGAGTGAACTGGAGCGTGGTGGGGGTGGGGTGGTGTGAGGTTTGTCAGGGTGGAGTGGAGTGGAGAACTTGGTGGAGTGGAGTCGAGTGGAAATACTATGTTTCCTTACTGTTGTTTCAGTCCTTCCATTGCCCTCTTCGCCAACACGGTGGTTGGAGCCATGCCGCCGTATGCCAAGATAGCATCATCCACCACATTGGTCCCTGGTTTGAATCTGACCATCATTCCAGCGTTCACAATGGAGATGTCGTCATCTTTACGGTGAGCCTGTTTAAATCCGCTGAAGTACTCGTCCTGAAAATCAGACAGACACATTCTGAAAACACTATTTTCTATTGAACTTACATGAGGTAGATACTCATGAACTACATAACAGCTAATTGCCAAATGTTAGATTGATCTATGCGTACCGACAAGCAAATGTGTTACAAGCCTGAACGAGCTTATTACTTCAGTTTAAACATTGTGTGATACAGGGTGATACACTCTTCTGTTCTCTGTACATGTAAACTACTTCCTAGAAATTAAAACACTGCATCACAGATGACGATGTTTTTTTGGTTGTTGTTTAACGCCGTAATCAGCAATATCATAGCGTTATGACGACGGTCCGTAAATAATCGAGTCTGGACCAGACAATCCAGTGACATTATGAACATCGAAATACGCAGTTGGGATACGATGACATGCATCAACCAAGTCAGCGAGCCTGACCACCCGATCCCGTTAGTCGCCTCTTACGACAAGCATAGTCGCCTTTGACGGCAAGCATGCATATGGGTTGCTGAAGACCCAATTGCGTGGGTACATTAAGCTGACACGCCGTGATATAACTGGAATACTGTTAAAAGCGGCGTTAAACCCAACTCACTCACTCACTCACTCAAGCACAGGGTGTTGGGATCTGTGGAAGCCTGACCTATTTTTTCTTCTTCGTTCTGTCATTTATTTACCTCGGATGTAAAGGGAAGGTGAACCGACAACAGAATCTCTTTGGGATGCACTGCTATCTTTCTGTATCCTTTAAAAAAGTCTCCGTCCATCCTTACCGTCCTTTGAGGTTCACCTGTTGGAAGTACAGATGTCGGGTACAGGAGAAACAGATGACTGGTTAGTCATACATTGTTTTTTTGATGATATTTAATTCGCTTTGTTTTCCAATTTTTAGTTTACCAGGGTCGGATACAAGGTTTCACTTATTGTCATTGTCCATATTGTAGCTATACTCAAAATATTCATGCATAGTACATTCATAAAAATATACCTATTAATACAATTTGTCTGCGACAAAATAATTATGGTGGAAGGACATCAATCCTAAATCAACGCGTGTATGGCTGCTTGTACCAGTCCGACCTTTTGCCGATTTTGTACATGGACTCGTGTTTCTGCTTGTGCTAGTCAGGCCTTATGTCGGCTTTGTGCACGCACGTGTATTAGCTGCTTATACTCGTCCGGCCTTTTGACGGTTTTGTTCAGGCCCATGTGTGTTGCTGCTTTTATTAGTCCTGCCTTATGTCGGTTTTGTGCACGCACGTGTTTTAGCTGCTTATACTATTCCGGTCTTTTGCCGATTGTGTGCATGTACGTGTGCATGATTGCTTTTACAAGTCGGGCCTTTTACCGGTTTTGTACATGCACGTGTTTAAGCTGCCACTTCTAGTCCGGCCTTCTGGCGTTATTGTGCATGCACGTGCGTGTGGCTGCTTGTACCAGTCAGATCTTGTGCATGCACATGTTTTTGACTGCTTTATGAATCAGGCCTTATCTGGATTGTGTGCATGCCTGTGTGTGTGGCTGCTTTTACTAGTCTGCTTTATGCATGCACGTGATTGTTGCTGCTTGTACACGTCGGGCCTTTGACGGTTTTGTGCATGCACGTGTGTATGGCTGATTGTACTAATCAGGCCAGATGTCGGTTTTGTGCATGCCCGTGTGTGTGGCTGCGCTACTAGTCAAGCCTTTTGTCGGTTTTATGCATGCACGTGTTTTTAGCTGCTTGTACCAGTCCGGCTTTTGTCGGTATTATGCATGCACGTGTTTTTAGCTGCTTGTACTAGTCCGGCTTTTGTCGGTATTATGCATGCACGTGTTTTTAGCTGCTTGTACTATTACGGCTTTTGTCGGTTTTATGCATGCACGTGTTTTTAGCTGCTTGCACTAGTACGGCTTTTGTCGGTTTTATGCATGCACGTGTTTTTAGCTGCTTGCACTAGTACGGCTTTTGTCGGTTTAATGCATGCACGTGTTTTTAGCTGCTTGCACTAGTACGGCTTTTGTCGGTTTTATGCATGCACGTGTTTTAAGCTGCTTGTACTGGTCCGCCTTTTCTTTGCACTAGTCCGGTCTGTTGCCCACTTTATCGTGCCAATCAACTGGGATGCCATGAGTCAGAGTAACATGGATGACCCACTCAGACACAAAAAGGACATCAACTGCATTTAATCTGAACGCTGTCAGGTGGTGCTGATGTGCAAACACAAAAAAATCACGTTAAATCACATAGACGTATCTGTACTTAACAATGAGTGAGTGAGTTAATATTTAAAGTCACATCGGCAATTTTCCAGCCATATAGTGACTAAGTACTTAACAATGAAACCTGTGAATGTCCCATATGCAATGCACTGTCTTTACAAGTCGTCAACAGAGCTAACAGCTGTGGCGAGATGTACCTTTACTTCCGACCGTGAGCGTTGCACCTGCAGCCATGAGGAGAGGGATGAGATCAGATATAGGACTTGCAGTCATGATGTTGCCTCCAATACTCTGGAATAATGACCAAAAAAATCAAAATACATAAGAAATAACAGTACAGATATGCAAAAACGTCGTATCAAAACTCATAGGAATGAATTATCTTTTCAGGTTAGAAGAGAGAGCGTGACCAGCCGTTCCAATAAGTCGCTTCTTACGACCAGCATAAAATTTAGATTGATGGGGATTTCTTACCCAGAATCTCCACGGGTATACTTCAATTAGAGTGACATTATGGTTGATTTCCGGACTGTGTCCTTGACTTTGACCAAAACTCGTGCTGTGTGCCCAGCCGGTGTCGTGTTTTATGTTAAGTATGGATAAGATATATGGATGAAAAGCTTAATACAATTAGGAGCGACGTTTCTGTGTCAGGTTGATTGAGATGTCTTTGATTTTGTCCCATTGGGTGCTGTGTCTCCAAAGATGACTCCCAGTCAGCTTTATCAGACCACATCCGTGACAACACCAGCCACAGCATCCAGTGGGACAAATCAAAGCCCTTACAACCAATCTCAGAGACTTCAAAATCACAAAACTCCAAAAAGCCATCAACATCAAAATATGCCAACCATCAATCAAACGTGATCATGGCCATTACATATCCCCGACATATCATCAACTCATCACTGACCCCAATCAGTCCTTTTGTTTTTACTGCTACCTTCACCTGTGAAGACGTTTACCTTATATCATCCCTTTCGTGTACATAACAGGCACCGCCTCCGTGGTCTAGTGGTAGAGCGTCCGCCCGGAGAGCGGAAGGTCCGGGTTTGATCCCCGGCCGCGTCATACCAAAAGACGTCAAAAGATAATACTTGTTGTTACCCTGTCTGGCGCTCGGCGTTAAGGGGCTAAAACAAGGACTGGTCGGCTCGGAGTTAGTATACTAAGTCTGAGTGTGGTATTCATGTGAAACTGCGGCATGGTATCTCAGAGGGCTAGCACTATAAATCGGCATCGGTCCGGACAGGTACAAGCAGCCACACAAACACACACACGTACATGCACGTCCCTTTATAAGTGCAATAATCTTGGACGTGACGTTAAACCCCATTTCATCTCACATAAGAGGCTTCGCTTCAGTGTAACTTCATCCTATTCTACTCAATTGTATAAACTTTGCCTCCTACCTGTATATATTCTTGTCAATCACTTGCTTGATAACGATGTTAAAACTTACACCGAAACGTCGCTCATAATTGTAATAAAGAAGTTGTTCATCCATATATCTTACTCATACTTAGTACTTCAACTTCTAAATGCCTCTAAAAGAAGAGTTTTATGTTCGCCGTGTGTGTCCGTGTTCATTATGTCAACTCACCGCCACGTTCCTTATCTGATGCCCTGCAAACCACCTCAGCATCTCAACAAAGGCACTGAATGAGCGGGTCTTGCACTCTGCAAGGTAACCACATTTTGATTTAAAGATAGGGAGGACGAGATATGAAAGAAACCAAGAAACCCTTCCCATTATCATAAGAAATCTTTGCTATAAGCAGAGTCCTTAGTACGATTCCGACTATATCATGGGCATGTGTTTATGAATCACTATCAATTAGTGATGATACCAGGTGTTCGCGAAAAAGTGTGCGTATCCTGTCCCACTGGTGGCAACCGTGTCACTACTGCTGCTGCTACTACTACTACTACCACCACTACTACTACTACCACCACCACTACTACTACTACTACTGCTACTATTTTTACTACTATCTCTTACTACTATTACAACGTTTACTAAAACTACTGCTACTACTACCACTACTTTTACTGCTCCTACTACTACTAGTACTACTACTACTACTAGTACTACTACTACTTTTACTACTATTACTACTACTACCTCTACCACTACTACTACTATTCCTACTACTACCTCTACTACTACTACTACTATTACTACGTTTACTACAACTACTACTACTACTACTACTACTACTATTACTACCTCTACTACTACTACTACTACTACTATTACTACTACTACTACAACTGCTACTATTTTTACTACTATCTCTACTACTACTACTACTATTACTACTTTTACTACAACTACTACTGCTACTACTTTTACTGCTACTACTACTATTACTACTACTTTTACTGCTACTATTACTATTACTACTACTACTATTACTACTACTACTACTACTACTATTATTATTACTACTACTACTACTACTATTACTACTACTTCTTCTACTACTACTTCTACTACTACTACTTATGGTTTATGAGTTTCATATTATGGCGACATATAACTATGCCATATATGACTTTAACATAAGAAATTTTACGACCTCCAAAAGACATTTTCCGACCTGGCAACTCTTTTACTGCCTTCCGAAGCACCTCGTCCATGGTTGCCAAGGTAACTGACGCTCCCAGTGTTATTCCAGTGGTCGTATGCTCTACAAGGTTCAGTTCCGCAATGTTCCCTGCAGCAACTAACACTGGGTAGTGCATATTCTTAAACTTGGTCTCAATTCCTGTAAAATAAATGCAATGGAAGAAGTATCAAACGATTAGGCAACGTTGCAATCTCATTAAAATCAGATCTTAGTTTTCGCTACCGCTAAACAAAGATCTGAGGACAACCCATTTCGGGTCACGTCAGAACGACGAATGAAATGACCGACGAGAAATCGACATTAGCCAATCAGAAGGCAGCTTTCTCGAGCTTTACGACACTAGTTTCAAACTGGTGACTACGCTTCGAAACATATTTTGACGTATTCTCGGTTAATAAAATTAAAACTGATAAGAAGAACATTCTGGAATGGCTTATAGATTACCTAGATTGTATGGATATAATCATAACAACCGTAACTGTCGTTCGGAAGACCCCGTGTTAAATATTTCGTGGTTGCATGATAAGAAAACACATTCCGACTGTCATTTTCAGGATCTGGTAAGCGACGCTCTGATTGGCTGGATGAAAGGTCGTTCTGACGTGACCCGTAATTGGATGTCCTCAGATCTTTGTTTAGCGGAAGCGAGAACTAAGATCTGATTTTAATGAGATTGGGCAACGTTGCTTCTTTTCGTGATTTGGAAATATATAGGTTTGAACTGGGCAAATGTATGATTTATATTATGTTTACTGTCTGCGAAACAAATAGTGAGTGAGCTGGATTTACACCGCTCTTATCAGTATTCCAGTTACAACATGGCGTGTCAGCTTCATGTGGGGAGGATGCAGGTCTCAGACGTTTACCACGAGCACGGTATGGTGCTGACAAACCTAGAAACATAATCGGGGTGAACCTTGATTGGAACACACGATCATAGGTTCCTGGCAAAAGTAAGGGACGCAACTCTGCACAGAGAAGGGCGGCGCCTTAAACATCTTTCAGAGGCAAGATAGTTAACTGACTATAAAAGTCCAGTTTCAAACCTTGCCGAACTAGGCTGGTATTGTGGTGTTAGATTTTGGCTGGGCGAACGAGTCTATACATAGTCCAATCAAAATCGCGCACCGAAATCGAAATCCGGTTCGTAAACTGTCGTGCAGAGTTCGGTCGATAGCAGGATTTGCACAGCATGGGCACCGCCAACTCGTTGTCAACAGATATTTTCCAAACCTTTTCATGTTTTTAATCAAGGTGCTAACGTGATTTGATTCACTTCGCGATGTAAGACCCGTTTTATCAAATATAGACCGGTACCTTGATTGTCGATCAGGTCGTCCTGACTGGGCGCCGCAATTTAGTTTGAAGCAAATGCAAGTGAATCGAGAGGTGGAATCTGATTGGTCCATAGGAGAGGCATAGAAGGATTAAACTCGTAACAGCCACTGGAAAGAGCCCAGGAATTCCAGCCTAGTTCGGCAATGGTGGAAACTGGACTTTTAAACTCTCTTGCCTCGGGAAGATTCACCTTAAACGACTGGCAACCTGTCCCCGGCTGGGCATTAGTCCGGACTAGTACACGCACGCATACACGCACACGCACACGCACACGCACACGCACACACACGTGCATGCACGTCGCTATTTAAGTGCAATAATCTTGGACGCGACGTGAAACGCCATTTCACCTCACCTCACCTTATACGCCCAGAACGCGTCTACAGCAGATGCTTGTTCTTCGCGATATGAATTTATTCGGTACTTTGCAAAACAAGCGTAACATCATTTTTGAAATTTAGAAAATATGGTCAAGCAGAAAGACCTTATCATACCTCAACCTTTTCCAGCTCCGTATACCTGTGCATTAGATTTTATCGTTGACCTCCCTAGAACTAGTGTAACAACGCGTATCTCTATACGTATATACAAACCTATTTCAGAATTCCCAATGACAAGTTTAGCATTGGGGAAATTAGCCTTGACGTCCAGAAGTTCTACCAGGGTTGCCGGCCGGTACCATGTCACTCTGTCGCTGGTGAATTTCAGAGATGACTGGTAGAACTCGGACTTCGTCTACATGAACGAGAGGCAAAACAGTACTGAGATTGTAAACAGTCTGTTTGGTTTTTATGCATTATGTTTATGGTTGATTTGGTAGCATGGTTTAAATTTAGATAATTTTTGAATATTGCGTTTGTTGTTGTTTAACGCTGCACCCAACAATATTTCAGTTGTATGACGGCGGTCTGTAAATACACCAGTGCGGACCAGACAATCCAGTGATTGACATCATGAGCATCGATCTACGTAACTGAGATAAATCAACCAAGTTAGCCAGCTTGACCACCCGATCCCGTTAGTCGCCTCTTGCGACAAGCATGGGTTGCTAAAGTCCAATTCCAAACCGGATCTCACGGGTTGAAAATTGCGTTAAAGTAAACAACACAAAGACATACATTAGACGTAACTGCACAGATATATTATGTGTTATTTCTGTTTCGTTCGGACCGTCTCCGTGGTCTAGTGGTAGAGCGTCCGCCCGGAGAGCGGAAGGCCGCGTCATGCCAAAGACGTTAAAAGACGATAATTGTTGTTACCCTGTTTGGCGCTCGGCATTAAGGGGCTAAAACAAGGACTGGTCGGCTCGGAGTCAGTATACTGTGTCTGAATGGGGTATTTATGTTAACCTGCGGCATGGTATCTCAGTGAGCTAGCACTATAAATCGGCATCAGTCCGGACTAGTTCATGTACAAGCAGCTACACAAACACATACACCTACATGCACATCGCTATATAAGTGCAATAATCTTGGACGCGACGTTAATCCCCATTTCACCTTACCTCACCTCACCTTTTTCATTCTGAGTCATGCTAATACGATTATTGCTACATGTGAATATATTTAATACAAACCTTCAGCTCAGGTGGAAAGATGGGTTCCTGGGAAGGATCATACGCCATATGCCTGTTTGTCATTGCGTCAGAATTACCAGTGTCTCCGTGTGTTGTACCATTTTGAACTCCCTTGTACAATGAAACAAAACTATTGTTATCATTATTTACATTTTGATGCAAAATCACACATTGACGGTTTCGAGTGTTAAGTGACTAGTGCTAAGCAGCAAACAGAAAGCCTTCTGTTTCACTTTCAGGCCAGCCGACTTCATCCAAGCGAAGGACTCTGCAGGGTTGCTGATCTACTCAACACACTGCACATAAACCCGATGCAGTGGTCGTTCAGATACCCTCCCCTTGAAAAATGGAGTCTAGGTCGATTTGATATGGCACTTCGCTTGGTTGACACTCATGTCTGTACCATCCAGCAGTACAGAACCATAAACAAAATCAACACTGGCAATGAAATGATGTCCCACATCCCTGACTCGTTTAAGTAGATCCGTATGCTTTCCAGTTTGCATTCTCAACTCCCTGGGGACGCCTAAGGGCGTTAGATGTTTCTTACACCCACGGGTACCCATTCCCTGCTGGGTGAACAGAGGCACATTCGAAATAAGTCACTTGCCCTGAGTGACACCACACGTTTTGATATTTGTGTTTCGGGTGTATGTACGTATTTGTGTTTCCAAGAGCTGGTCATCTACTATTGGACGAGTAGGTTCCTTAAAAGTGAATGTACTGTACAGTAGGGGTAGTGACAATACGGTAAAGACATTGTCCATAGGGTGAATAACAACCTGGTCACTCGCGGGTGACCAGGCTGACCGGCTGTCCACTTCGTCCCGTACAAATAAGACTACATAACTCCCTGAATATTTCATACCCGCTACACATGTGACATATTGCAATTGTCGGTTCAGGTGAGCTAACAAACTCATTTACAGTGTAGCTTGCCAGTATTGGCTTTTTCAATGTGACCCACTCAGACGGTGTCTACAGAGTCACTTGACCGACTGGATAGTGTTCGTGGTGATTGTACTTGTTCTTCAATGACAATGTACATGCTCACCAAACTGGGTGGAAACGCTCCTGAAGAGGAACATGTCTTCAGATCAACAGCTTTATAGCTACTTTGTCATGTCTCACAAGTCAAATACTTTCCCGAAGTAGGTCACGAGCCAAGTAATAAATATTCAGAATATTTCAACTGCTTTTTCAAGAGGCTTGACGTTCTACAGAGACAGATGACAAGTTACACAAGAGCACACAATTGACCTGTTGAGCTGTCTAAACTACAAGCGCTTTCTTAACGTTTCTCAACTCAAATATCATTTATGACAATCTATAAATATATTACCTACTCGCGTTGTGAAAGATATATTTCTTTAATACCGGGGTGGTACAATATGATCATAAATAGTGCACATAAACTGCCCTTATCTACACTTGAACATGGGATTTGACCAACACATTACAAACGTTATGCAAAGGTTACGCGGCTGAACTGTATTATAAGATACTCAATGGCATGATGCGCGAAATACTGTCTATGATAACCGAGTCAAATATATCACCATTGAATAAAAATTTCTTGTTTGTTTATTATTATCCACCATCAAACATCTCTGGAAACTAGCCGGGGAGAAGTATGACCATTTAACTAATATTGCAACGCTTGTATTCTATGGATGAGCTCAAATTGTTTCTGAAGAATGCTATTGTAAAACTGTTGCCAATGATTGTAAAGTGACTAGTGCTAAGCAGCAAACAGAAAGCCTTCTGTTTCACTTTCAGGCCAGCCGACTTCATCCAAGCGAAGGACTCTGCAGGGTTGCTGATCCACTCAACACACTGCACATAAACCCGATGCAGTGGTCGTTCAGATACCCTCCCCTTGAAAAACGGAGTCTAGGTCGATTTGATATGGCACTTCGCTTGGTTGACACTCATGTCTGTACCATCCAGCAGTACAGAACCATCAACAAAATCAACACTGACATTGAAATGATGTCCCACATTCCTGACTCGTTTAAGTAGATCCGTATGCTTTCCAGTTTGCATTCTCAACTCCCTGGGGACGCCTAAGGGCGTTAGATGTTTCTTACACCCACGGGTACCCATTCCCTGCTGGGTGAACAGAGGCACATTCGAAATAAGTCACTTGCCCTGAGTGACACCACACGTTTTGATATTTGTGTTTCGGGTGTATGTACGTATTTGTGTTTCCAAGAGCTGGTCATCTACTATTGGACGAGTAGGTTCCTTAAAAGTGAATGTACTGAACAGTAGGGGTAGTGACAATACGGTAAAGACTGTAAACATTGTCCATAGGGTGAATAACAACCTGGTCACTCGCGGGTGATCAGGCTGACCGGCTGTCCACTTCGTCCCGTACAAATAAGACTACATAACTCCCTGAATATTTCATACCCGCTACAAATGTAACATATTGTCGGTTCAGGTGAGCTAACAAACTCATTTACAGTGTAGCTTGCCAGTATTGGCTTTTTCAATGTGACCCACTCAGACGGTGTCTACAGAGTCACTTGACCGACTGGATAGTGTTCATGGTGATTGTACTTGTTCTCCAGTGAGAATGTACATGCTCACCAAACTGGGTGGAAACGCTCCTGAAGAGGAACATGTCTTCAGATCAACAGCTTTATAGCTACTTTGTCATGTCTCACAAGTCAAATACTTTCCCGAAGTAGGTCACGAGCCAAGTAATAAATAATCAGAATATTTCAACTGCTTTTTCAAGAGGCTTGACGTTCTACAGAGACGGATGACAAGTTACACAAGAGCACACAATTGACCTGTTGAGCTGTCTAAACTACAAGCGCTTTCTTAACGTTTCTCAACTCAAATATCATTTATGACAATCTATAATTATATTACCTACTCGGGTTTTGAAAGATATATTTCTTTAATACCGGGGTGGTACAATATGATCATAAATAGTGCACATAAACTGCCCGTATATACCCTTGAACATTGGACTTGACAACACATTACAAACGTTATGCAAACTTTTTAAGGTTACGCGGCTGAACTGTATTATAAGATACTCAATGGCATGATGCGCGAAATACTGTCTATGATAACCGAGTCAAATATATCACCATTGAATAAAAATTTCTTGTTTGTTTATTATTATCCACCATCAAACATCTCTGGAAACTAGCCGGGGAGAAGTATGACCATTTAACTAATATTGCAACGCTTGTATTCTATGGATGAGCTCAAATTGTTTCTGAAGAATGCTATTGTAAAACTGTTGCCAATGATTGTAAAGCACGTGTTTAGGTCTTGTACGATCAATATGAATAACCGAAATGTACTTTGTAACACCATATGTGATATATCGGGTGTAAATGTTTTTGTTAAGTACGTGAGTTTGATTTTACCCCGCTTTTTCGCAATATTCCAGCATATCACCAGAAATGGGCTTCACACATTGTACCATGTCGGGAATCGAACCCGGGTCTTCGGCGTGACGATGATGATGATGTTAATCTTGCCTTATTACTTGGTGGATGTCCAATAGAATGTATAAAGGATTTAAAAGGGAAGTGTGGACAGAAAAAATAATTAATCTAAGCCTCTTTATAAGGAAACGGCAATACCTGCTAAAAATATTGTATGTTTATGAACATGTGTAAATATACCCCCAATTCATATTGTTTGCATATTGTAATATTCATTCATTTGAAGGAAATAAAGAATAGCTATCTATCTATCAACATGGATTGTAGATTGTATGGCAACATTATATCACTGAAATGAGACGGTATGTACAAAATTTGTACGTACCTTTGACTCTGCCCCTGAATTCAACCGACAGCAGTTTTCTCCCATTCCACATCCATCCTGCAATATTTAAGACATGGCGACTACTTTAAAGAAAATATCACCATGGACATAAAACATATCCTTATGTTTAGGTGTAGAATCTATCGTCTGCTGCACACCATTGCCACAGAAAGCCAAGAAAATCTCAAAATGCCAGGGTAGATTTAATGCAGATAATTCTTAAGATTTATAAAGGAACAGTTGTTGATTGTTTGTTGTTTGTTTGCTTGTGGTTCAACTCCGCACTCAGCAATACTCCAGCTATATGACGGCGGACTGTAAGTTATCGAGTCTGGAGCAGACAATCCAGTGATTGACACCATTAGCATCGATCCACGTAATTGGGATCGATGACATGCACCAACCAAGTCAGCTAGCCTGACCGATCAGTTGTTGTATCATATCAAGGGAACATAGTGTGTTGACCTTATTATTTAAACTAAATAATGGCATTCACGTGTTTAATAGCTACTATATGAAAGGGTACGATAAGTATTATACAATATCATTTCTATCTCTAAGGACGACACTCGGTGTACATCTGTGTACAACAGTGTAGGATGTTTCCAGCGTAAAGGCCTACCTTGGCGAAATAGTTGTATCCTTGCAGTATAGGCCTGTATCCAGTACAACGGCACAGATTGCCTGCAATGTAGGATATAACGTCACCGTGACAATTGCAGTGTGGAGAATAATGTAAAGTGACTTTGCTTTCACACCGTTGAGTGAGTGAGTGAGTGAGTGAGTGCTTGAGTGAGTGAGTGAGTGAGTGAGTGAGTGAGTGAGTGAGTGAGTGAGTGGCACGGGTACAGCTAGACACATCACCAACAGCAGGTTTCTGGCTCGCCTGAGGGACGCCACTCTGCACAGCGATTTGGAACGCCGCTCTGCACAGCGATTTTTGGGCGCCACTCTTCACAGCGATTTGGGGCGCCACTCTGCACAGCGATTTGGGACGCCTCTCTGCACAGCGATTTGGGGCGCCACTCTTCACAGCGATTTTGGACGCCACTCTGCATAGTGATTTGGGCTATCACTTTTTTTAGTAAAGTACAGATTCTCTTACCTTCATGGGTTGACTCTACCCAAAATGTACGATAATCTGTACTTTACTCAAAAAAGTGATAACCCAAATATAACATTTATACATTTAACTACTTTCTACTATGTAGTTTTTACAGAGTTAAGTGCATAGAGATATCAATACATAAACATGTCACATAAGTCAAACAATATGGACTGTCGTTTCTCATATCCATGCTGAATAAATGGACATACATATGTTAGGACAGCTCTATTTGTAGATGTAACGAGATTGGGTGCGCTATCTTGTCACTTTTTTTATGTTTGATTAATTCAATCAAATTGGTCGCTTCCAAAGTATTGTTTGGTGGCCGAGAGGGGACATAGCTCTCTCGCCTTCAATAGCGGCCGCGATGCAGCGATAAAGCGATACCACGAGACGAGAAAGCGATAACATGATACGAGAAAGCGATACCACGAGACGAGACAGGGCCTCGTGTTATCGGTTTCTCGTCTCGTGGTATCGCCTTCTCGTTTCGTGTTATCGCTTTCTTGTCTCATGGTATCGCTTTCTTGTCTCCTGTAATCGCTTTATCGCGGCCGTGGCTGACAGAAAGCGGCCACCATGGTATTGAAAAAAAACTGCACACGAAGCTGCTTGGTTGCTTCAGGCCGTTTAAAAACAGATAAATTGCGTGCCACAAAAAAATACATTTTTGCAAGATGCTTTCTTGAAAACATGTATTAAGGCTCACAGTTTTATTAAAAAAATGAATTGGTTTTTTTGCAGATTAACGGATAACTTGATGCATAGTGTACAGGAACATATACCTAGGAGTTTCAGATAATGACGTTTAACTGTGTCAGCGTTAAGTTTATTTACCATCGAAGTTGTCTTCTATCTGTTCTCTGGTTGGCCACGGGTTGTTTCGGAGGAGGGTGTACATGGACATAACGATCCCCGGGGTACAGAAGCCACACTGGGAGCCGTGGGATTTCGCCAGCTGTTCCTGATCACAGAACACCAAAGTGCAGAGCTCTTAATAATAAATACCGGATTATCTGTTTGTACAAACCACAGTATAGTCTGTCTTACAAACCCTGATACAAATATATATCAAATACAGCCCATGCAAGTCTAGAATGTTTGGCAAGTAGTATCTGAAATTGAAGAGAGTCACTGGGCTCCCTTTTATTATATTCTTTATTAAGATAACTGAACAACTGTTTTTTTCTGTACGATATGTTCATTTCAGAGACTAGAAGTTAGTCTAACCACAGTATAGCATTAATGGAAAATATGTGGCATGTGCATATTATTAACTTAATCTCCTTGATCAAATGGTGTCTTCGATTAGTCACTCTGACGTTCATACGGTTTGGCCCCCACTGTTTGAAAGTTAATATCTTAATGAACTATCACAAAGTGAAAGTCAATTCTTAAGTGTAATGGTGACATCAATTAGCTATTAGCATTTGTGTTAATTGTTTACGACCTCAGCCAGCAATATTCCAGTTATACTACTCAAAGAACGTTAAGGTCAACCCGACTCTTTCATATTACTATAATCGGTCATGCCAGTGTGAGTGGGTTGGGTTTAACGCCGCTTTTAACAGTATTTCAGTTATATCACGTCGTGTCAGCTTGATGTGGGAGCAAAGCCCGAAGTGATGCAGGTCTCAGACGTTTACCACGTCGGTGAAACCCACGAGCACGGGTATGGTGCAAATCTAGAAACATAATTGGGGCCAACCGGGATTCGAACCCACAATCATAGTTTTCTGGCGTGCCCAAGGGACGCAACTCTGCGCAGCGAATTGCGGCGCATTAGACGACTGGGCCATCCTTAACACACACACACACACACACACACACACACACACACACACACCCCTCCCCCATGACAGCTTAACTATAGATAATATAATATTAAAGAATCGAGTGGTCTTTAACCTTTTTGAGTGGAATATATTAAGGTGGCATATAGAAAAAATGACAATTGTTATTTAACTCGATATTTTATCGTCATGAGGATTTACGAATTTAGGGAACTGTTATAAAACCTGAAAAAACTAACATACCTGAACTGGGTGCAGTCTAGTCCTGGTGCTCCCGATTCCTTCCACTGTCGTCACAGACAGACCATGCAAGGAACACACTGGCGCAAGACATGCGTTAACGGAGTAGTGCCTGTGCAGTTAAGTATCAAAGCAGACTCACGATATCTGTATTGTCTTTCTACGTCATTCACGTCAACAACGTGAAGTCTCTTGTGCAACATGCCTTGGATATATTATTAATTATCTGTCTATTACCGTTTTCATACCAAGACTTTATCATGAAAATGTTCAGCGACGGCCTTTAAAGATGTACTTTATGCTTTTTTGACAATGTTGACAACGCGCTATGTTAATTACGTTACGACGGCCATAACGCTGCACGTTTCCAGCGGGCTGCACGTTTCCCGGGGGATCAGCACGTGTTGTTGGCAAGAGATTGTAGTGAGTGAGTTGTGTTTAACGCCGCTTTTAACAGTATTCCATTTATATCACGGCGTGTCAGTTTAATGTAATGTGGGAGGAAAGCGCGAAGTGATGCAGGTCTCAGACGTTTACCACTTCGGTCAAACCCACGAGCACGGGTATGGTGCTGACAAACCTAGAAACATAATTGGGGCGTACCCGGATTCGACCCACAGTCATTGGTTACTGGCGTGTCCAAGGGAGGCAACTCTGCACAGCGAATTGCGGCGTCTAAGGCCAATCGTGCCCCCTCAAATCAATGAAAACATGTGACATAGGCACTGAACACACAAAAGAAATATGGGGTCAATTGCGTGACTTTGCCTTGGCGGGTTCCACCGTTCCTAGGGCCGAATTCCAGATTCATCTCATCCGTTAACGGGGCGGTCGGGTAGCCTCGTGGTTAAAGCGTTCGCTCGTCACGCCTAAGACCCGGGTTCGATTCCCGAAATGGGTACAATGTGTGAAGCCCATTTCTGGTGTCCCCCGGCGTGATATTGCTGGAATATTGCAAAAAGCGGCGTAAAACCACACTCACTCACTCACTCTTTATCGAGTGGAGTGGACGGACTACCCCCTAGAAGAGTCAGCCAGGGAGTCCTCCTGCCACGTATCCGTTATCACAATGCCCATGTACGTGGGAATCACTAATAGTGAGTGAGTGAGGGTGTACGCACCTTTAAGCAATATTCCAGCAATATAACGGAGGGATACACCAGAAATGGGCTTTACACAATGTTATCAAGTGGGGAATCTTCGGCGTGACGTGTGAACACTTTAGCCACCAGGCTACCCCCACCGCCACTTAATCACTTGTATATGTTACACGCCACCACGAAAAGATTATGTGACAGATTATTATTGACACTGTTCTTATCAAGCTACGTTAAAGCAAACTCTGAAAAATATGCGCTATACCGATAAATGACATCTTCCCGAGGCAAGAGAGTTAACTGACTTTAAAAGTCCAGTTTCGACCCTTGCCGAACTAAGCTGGAATTACTTGGCTAGATCGTAGCGCCACTAGTGACTATTACCAGTTATGTCCCTTCTAAGTCTACCAATCAGGTTCCACCTCTCTGGTATCACTTGCGTTTGCTTCACACAAAATGGTAGCGCCCAGTCAGGACGATCTGATCGATAATCAAGATCTATATTGTGATAAAACGGGTCTTACATTGCGAAATGCATCAAATCACGTGAGCACCTTGATTAAAAAACATGAACAAATTTGGAAAATATCGGTTGACAACGAGTTAGCGGTGCACATGCTTTGCAAATCCTGCAGTCGACCGAAATCTGCATGACACTTAACGAACCGGATTTCGATTTCGGTGCGCGATTTTGATTGGACTATGCATAGACTCGTTAGTCCAGCCAAAATGTAACTCCTTAATACCAGCCTAGTTCGGCAAGGGTGGAAACTGGACTTTTATAGTCAGTTAATTAACTCCCTTGCCTCGGGAAGATGATAAATGATGGTAGATGGCAATTAGCTTCTCCACTACTACAGTTATCATATTTTCTGTTTAGTCGATGTCATGTATGTAGTTAGGAGTTATTGGTACTTCAGGATACGAAATGGCATCTGTGTGTCTGTCGTATCGGGAAACCATGACAGTACAAGCGCCGCAACCGCCCTCGCCACACCCAAGCTTACTTCCTGTCAGGCGCACTGGAAACAAGAACACGTTCCCATGACAACCATCCTGCATACGATCACATATACCAGAATTCCAATTTCGACACACACATGTTGCATCCTAACGGAAATAAATAACGGAACACGGAAATGGAACATGAAATGTTGACAGCTTCTGTAGCTCATTGATTCTTCATTGGTATAATTTGGCTCTAACATCAATCATATATATATCGGTTCCCAAGTTATGGACCATCTCGTGGAAGGTCAGGCGAATGCGTACTTAGGGGTACAGATTAGGGACAAACAAAATGTCCATATCAAAGACAAACATCGGGCATAATCAAATGTGAGAACATCTGGAGTTCAGAGCTGAAGTCAAAGCCACATATTCTAATCCTGTTCCCGTCCTTTCGTATCCTCGTGGTTTTGTTGATTGGATGAAACAAACAATTCAGGGTATTGACACCTTCACACGAAGAATCATGTCAGACAATAAATCCCACCACCCTCGCTCTTCCCTCAATCGCTCATATTTACCAATTATGATGGGAGGGCGTGGTTTGATTAACGTGGAAGCGCTTAGACCTCATGATAGAATAATTATTGCATTGTGCACTTTTGCACACACTTATTTGTCTGATGATCCTCTTGTGAAGCATGTCAATACTCATGATGAAAACAAGGCATTCCACAGTTTTCTTAAACGAGCCAAGGTTGGACATAATCTCAATGTCAATGTTGATTTTGGTGATGGTTCTGTACTGCTGGACGATACGTACATACGTGAGGTAAATGTTATTGTAAGGTACACACTTCTAATCTATATTTAATTAAGCATCGACAATCTGTAACATCGGCCTGCATTGAAAAAATAACATTTACTTAATGATACATCACAAACAAATGAATAATATTTACAGTGTTTTCGAAGATATTGCAGCAATGTCAGCTCGGGGTCAGGGTGGGCCTCCACCACCTGCAACAGATTCAAGCATCTTACTGACCAGAATTCAGGTATATGATATAGCAGGTCGTATTAGTATTAATTTTGTTTTTGTTTGTTTGTTGTTTAAGGCCGCACTCAGCAATATTCCAGGTATATGACGGCGGTCTTGAAACATTCGAATCTGGACCAGAGAATCCAGTGATTGACATCTTGAGCATCGATCTACGCAATTGGGATACGATGACATGCATCAACCAAGTCAGCGAGCCTGACCACCCGATCCCCTAAGTCGCCTCTTACGACAAGCATAGTCGCCATTTACGGCAAGCGTGGGTTGCTGAAGACCTTGTTTTGTTTGTTTTACTGTCTGTTGTTGTTGTCTGTCGCCGCAGTCGATAATATTCCAGCTATGTGACAATGCCATGTAAATAAACGAGTCCAGACAACTGACCTTATGGACAATGCCCCACGTTACTCGGGAATGATGATAGGTGAAGTGAAATTGGGTTTAACGTCGCGTCCAAGATTATTGCACTTATATAGCGACGTGCATGCACGTGTATGTGTGTGTGTGGCTGCTTGTACTAGTCCGGACTGATGCCGATTTATAGTGCTAGCTCACTGAGATACCATGCCGCAGTTTAACATGAATACCCCACTCAGACACAGTATACTGACTTCGAGCCGACCAGTCCTTGTTTTAGCCCCTTAATGCCGAGCGCCAGACAGGGTAACAACAAGTACAATCTTTTAACGTCTTTTTGTATGACGCTGCCCGGGACCGAACCCTGGACCTTCCGCTCTCCGGGCGGATGCTCTACCTCTAGATCACGGAGGCGGTCCGGAATGATGATAACCAAGTCACCGACGTTGTTTATTTAATATTGGAATATCATTAAGTTTCCAAAATTGAAAGACACACTCGTGTTAAATCCTTCATGTATTTACTTGCATAAAATAATATTTTAACGAACGATGTTTCTCTTGTGTCATCTGTTGTTCAGCAACTGCGATGATGTCAGATAGTTGGCCAGCCTGGTTCCCTGGGTATGCCACACTGAGTAGCGCCAGCGCAGCACACCCAGGGAACCAGGCTGATAGTTTGTATGCCCAGCTTACTGCAGTGCCAACGTTAACTGCGCATGTACCTTTGCGCCATTGACGAAGAAAACCAGTTCCGTCCCAGACATGATGCCAAAAAGGGGCTTTCCAAGGTTGATATTGCTTGTTTCCTTCGAGATGCTTCTCTTTCCCCTGGTTCAGGCGTACTGGCCCGACGTAAACCCTGAAAGCAATGTACAATAGTGAGTGAGTGTGCTTTTACGCCGCTTTTAGCAATATTTGAGACACCTGAAATGGGCTTCACACATTGCACCCATGGGGGAAATGGAACCTAGATCTTCGGCGTGACGAGTAAACACTTTAACCATTTCGCTATCATACCGTCCCTCAATGTACAATAATGGATTTTAATAACTGAGTGAGTGAATGAGTTGGCCGCTGCTTTGATCAGTATTCCAGTTATATCACGGCGTGGCTGCTTAATGTGGGAGGAAAGCCTGAAGTGATGCAGGTCTTAGACTTTTACCGTTTTAGTGAAACCCACGTGCAGGGGTAAAGTACTGACAAACACAGAAAAACAATCGGGCTTCTGGCGTGTCCAAGGGATGCAACTCTGCAGAGCAACTGGCGGGAAACGTGTGTCCCTGATCATCAGAAGAAAGATGAGCCTTTTAAAATGACTGCCTTTCGAAACCAAAACCTAACGCCCCAACACCAGAAACATTGCATGTTCCTCCATGCTCTCTACTCTTGTTTTGATGACATATATGTGTTTGTTTGTTTGTTTGTTCGTTTGTTGTTTAACGCCGCATTTCAGCCATATTCCAGCTATATGACGGCGGTCTTTAAATAATCGACCAGACAATCCAGTGATTGACATCATGAGCATCGATCCACGCAATTGGGATACGATGACATGCATCAACCAAGTCAGCGAGCCTTGCCACCCGATCCCGTTAGTCGCCTCTTACGACAAGCACAGTCGCCTTTTGTAAATGTCAAGCATGGGTTGCTGAAAACCTATTCTACCCCGGATATTCACGGGTCCATATGACATGTATGGAGGATAGGAAAACAAACGGTGTTATATTGTTCAGTCTGCATGGAGCGTTATTTATCAATATACATCGGATATGTTAAAGGCCAAATTTTTACAGATGAATAAGTCACCGAATTGAAGTTGGTATGGCGAGTTATTCGTTCTAAAAATATACAGATAAATTTCCATTGCTAATTGCATACCAACTAAGAAAATGTGACCCTGCCGTGTGACCCTATTTCATTGAAACCTGCTACACACGACAAACATATACACCGATTATATAGCTCTATTCCATATATTACCCTGTCTGGCGCTCAGCATTAAGGGGCTAAAACAAGGACTGGTCGGCTCGGAGTCAGTATACTGTGTTTGAGTGGGGTATTCATGTTAAACTGTGGCATGGTATCTCAGTGAGCTAGCACTATAAATCGGCATCAGTCCGGACTAGTACAAGCAGCCACACAAACACACACACGTACATGTACGTCGCTATATAAGTGCAATAACCTTGGACGCGACGTTAAACCCAGTTTCACCTCACCTCGCCTATTCCATAAGGCGATCAGTCATCTAATACCTGTAATCCAATACTGTGAAGAAGCCTGCAACTCTTAACTGACACATGGAACGCTTTCATCAGCTGCATTCAGCGACACTCGACATGGGGCCCTACGCTCGCCGACACACGATAATTCTTTTACAATGTTATAGTGAAACATGTCGGTAAGATAATTGGTTGTAGCAGGATCACTCGGGGTATGTGGGGTTTTACCGACACTCGACATGGGGCCCTACGCTCGCCGACACACGATAATTCTTTTACAATGTTATAGTGAAACATGTCGGTAAGATAAAGTGGTTGTAGCAGGATCACTCGGGGTATTAGAGGTTTTATGCGTCCATCGTTTGGTTGTATAACATCTCCGGTTCGCATAAAACCCCACGTACCCCTAGTGATCCTGCTACAACTTATATAGTATGTGCCTTGACTTGCTATTCAGTTTTATTAACCCAATAAATACATACCCGTGTCATTTCTTCAAACAGTTGAGACTAGTATTATTGATATTACCGTTCTATACAATAACGACACACGGCATGGATAACAAATATGTCAAGGACACTCAATTTGTAAATGGCAGGGATTCCGGAAAAGGTCGACGTTCGCATTCTTGAGCTGCCTAAAACGAGTGAATGAGGGTCATCTGTATTCGAGCGACATCAAAGGGACCTGCAAACACCATGAACAAACATCAAGGATATCGGGTCATGACACGGAGCCCGGCCACCGGATTGCGATTTTAGTCATCTTCCCGAGGCAAGCTAGTTAACTGACCGCACAAGTCCAGTTTCCATCCTTGCAAAACAAGGTTTGAATTTCTGGGCTCGATCGTAGCTCCACCAGTGGCTATTACGAGTTATGTCTCTTCTATTTCACTCCTATTGACCAATCAGATTCCACCTCTGATATTGCATTTGTTTCAAACATAACGGCGACGCCGAGTCAAGATGATTTGATTCATAATCAAAATCTATTTTGTAATATAACGGGTCTTACTTTGCGAAGTGAATCAAATCACTTGAGTACCTTGATTATAAACATGAAAAGATTTGGAAAATATGTGTTGACGCTAAATTGGCGGTACACATGTTTTGCAAATCCTGCAATCGACCGAAATCTGGACAGCAGTTTACGAAATGCATGTTGTATACGAACCGGATTTCGATTTCGTTTCGCGATTTTGATTGGCCTATGCATAAACTCGATAGTCCAGCCAAAATATTACTCCGTAATTCCAGCCTAGTTCGGCAAGGGTGGAAACTGGACTTTTATAGACAGCTAACTCCCTTGCCTCGGGACGATGGAACATGGTTTCTTTTGTTGGTTGATTAACGCTGTAAATAATCGAGTCTGGAACAGACACTCCAGCGATTGACATCACGATCATCAATCTACACAATTGAGATACGGTGACAGGCATCAACCGAATCACCGAGTCTGACCACATGATCCCGTTAACCGCCTCTTATGACCTGAATGGGTTGCTGGAGATTCTAACCCCGATCTCCACGGGTGTGGCTGTAACGAGAAGCTTCATGATAAGGTACAGGGGACATAACCTCCTCCCGAAATGTACCCAGGGGGGACAGAAATGTAATACACTTAGTCTACCTATACTACTCAAAAGAAGTTAAAGACCACCCGATTCTTTCATATTACTATAGCTAATATGCCATGGCAACCAAGATGACAGTTAAACTATAGTAATATGAAAGAATCGGTTGTTCCTTAACTTCTTTTGAGTAGTATAGTTGATTGAGAATCATCGTATGCCGAATATATATTATTCAAAGGCACTGAACAACCCGTGGTTTGACAGATCGCGAGTCGGTTATGTAATGGCCACAGGGACCTTGTAGGCGAAAAGGTCAGCGTATCCTGTTCCACCGGTGGGACCCGTCACAATACACGCAAGGGCAAGGCAATTGTCCACCCGAGGGAACACATGGCCTTCACACTCCAAAACCTCGGAGTGGTTATCCAACACTTATTGCATAAATTCTGCCCGGCATGTAAAATCGTCTTACTGGCTTCGACCAGACAAATGCGATGATCTTATTTTGATTTACCCAAATAGTTCAAGCCTTCCCCTTAACCGAAGACGGATCTTAGGCTTGAAATGAAGTTTTATAATTGAAATACCGCCTTCGAAGCCTCACTGAGCAAGCACATAATTCTGTATAATTTGTACAGACGAGGATGGACTGAATTACAGGTGGAGGTGAGGTGAGGTGAGGTGAGGTGAGGTGAGGTGAGGTGAGGTGAGGTGAAATGGAGTTTAACGTCGCGCCCAAGATTATTGCACATATATAGCAACGAGCATGCACCTATGCTTGTGTGGCTGCTTGTACTAGTCCGGACTGATGCCGAGTTAAAGTGCTAGCCCACTGAGATACATGCCGCAGTTTAACATGAATACCCCACTCCGACCCCGTATACTGACGCCGAGCGGACCAGTCCTTGTTTCAGACCCTAAATGCCGAGCGCCAGGCAGGGTAACAACAAGTACCATCTTTTAACGTCTTGTTTTAGACCCTTAATGCCGAGCACCAGGCAGGGTAACACAAAGTACCGTATTTTAACGTCTTTGCGCATGACACGGCCAGGGATCGAACCCCGGTCCTTCCGCTCTCCGGGTGGACCCTCAACCACTAGACCACGGAGGCGGTCGTCGGAGAAATAGTATAATTATTAAATGACATCGGTTATAGGTACTGTTCAGCACAACAGCGGTTGATTGACCCGTGAAGATCCGGGATAGAATAGGTCTTCAGCAACATATTCTTGCCGTAAGAGGCAACTAACGGGATCGGGTGGTCAGGCTCGGTGACTTGGTTGATGCATGTCATCGCATCCCAATTGCGGAGATCGATGTTCATGATATCAATCACTGGAGTCAATTATTTTAAAGACCGCCGTCATATAGCTTGAATATTGCTGAGTGCGGCGTTAAACAACAAATAAGAAACAAGCAAGCTAACTCTCGTCGTGTTCAGTACAGTAAAAGCACCCGTAGTGATCTGGTCTACAACATGCCGTTTAATGGGACAGAGTTATATGATGCAATACAACATAGGAAAAACACTGCGCCTGGTCTTCACACAACCGGGGGCACGGGTGGCCCAGTCGTTTAGGGCGCCGCGATTCGCTGTACAGAGTTGCGTCACTTGGGCACGCCAGAAACTTATGATTGTGGGTTCGAATCCCGGTTCGACCAAAATATGTTTCTAGGTTTGTCAGCACTATACCCGTGCTCGTGGGTTTCACCGAAGCTGTAAACGTCTGAGACCTGCATCACTTCGGGCTTTCCTCCCACATTAAGCTGACACGCCGTGATATAACTGTAATACTGTTAAAAGCGGCGTTAAATCAACTCACTTACTCACTCACTTGACACAACCAAAAACCTGCTTGATCAAACCAAAAGCTATGTTGCAGTTTAACATGAATACCCCACTCAGACACAGTATACTGACTCCAGTCCTTGTTTTAGACCCTTAATGCTTAAAAGCTTACTCACCGAGGTGTACAACACGACATGACCCAAAGGAGAAGTCCCAAAAGCTAGGTAACATGCTCCAGTTATCCCGCTTCTGACGCAAGGGAAAGGCGAAGCCCTTAGCGTTAAACCACTGTTGATTAGCGTAGTATGATGTCTATTAACCGGCGCTGTTAATGACTAGTACAGCACAGGGTTAATAATGCTAATGTAAACAACTGTACTGAAGGATATTAGAAAAATAAATATCTGACATTCGGATGAACATCGCGATATTGTTGTGAACAGACACCATGATCAATAAAAATGATAACGAATATTGCACAAAGGCTATTAACTTGAATAAATTAAAACTATTAAAATTACATTTTATCAAGGGAAGCTTTAACGGTTTTAATAATTAATTATAATAATATCATTGAAGTGGATGATAAGTACGCAAATGTAATAAGGATGACTTAGTACAACGAATATCATTACATTTACCAAAGTTACCAACGAAATAGATAATTATATTTTATACCGCGTGATCAAACTTACTTGATTCATTGACTATAAACATTACATTTGGATTATTAAAATGTCTGGATAGAAAATGAGCTTTTGAAAGTGATAGGATGTTGAGAATGTTGATGTTGTTTACTGGGGCGGGGACGAGTCCAAATGTACTACCCACCCCACTATTACCCGACCCTACCTGGGTACCCACTGTAGGTCTCAAGAGATGGGTACAAAATGTCTGATTGGGAATAGTTTAACCGTAGCCCTGGACAAAATGTTTAAGATACACTTATAAAACGATCTGGTCATGCATACACTGAAGTTGAAACATAAAATATTATTCAAATATAAAAGTCAGAAGGAATGGGTGCATAGTCAGAAAGAAATGCGAACATGTGACACATAATGTACAGACAGTTATAGATCACTTTTGTCCTTAAACAATATATCACATGACTAACCACGAGTCCGGGTAGTCCTGTGGGTACCTGGGTCCTACTCAGTACCAACCCGACCCGAGTACCCGCGTTTCCCGTCCCAGCCCTAATGTTTACATTCTCAATACAAGGTTCACACTTTGACATGGGTATTCATAGCCTGACACAAGGATAAAAAGGCCGGTCGAATGTAGCTCTATGCGAGTTGGGTTGCGACATAACTATATTACAAAATGGATGATAAAAATATAAAGAAAGTCCAAGCAAAATTATTAGAACCCACGCGTGCACAGATTATCAAATATGAAAAGGAAAAAAAACACATTAAAAAACTATGCACACATTAAAAAACTACGCTTACTAATCTCTAAAAAAATCATAAAGGCTTATTCGTAAAGACCAATTCACTACCGACCACAAGTAAAGACGAAGAGACAACGTTTCACTGCCAGGAATGTGGTTGCCCGCAGTAATGCAGGAACATCACCATCTTCCCGAGGCAAGAGAGTTAACTGACTTTAAAAATCAAGTTTTCACCCTTGCCGAACTAGGCTGGAATTACTGGGCTCGATCGTAGCGCCACCAGTGGTTATTATGAGTTATGTCCCTTCTATGCCTCTCCCATGGACCAATCAGATTCCACCCATCTTATCACTGCCATTGCTTCAAACAAAACGGCGGCGCCCAATCAAGACGATCTGATCGATAATCCAGATCTATATTGTGATAAAACGAGTCTTACATCGCGAAATGCATCAAATCAAGTTAGCACCTCGATTAACAACATGAAAAGATTTAGAAAATATCTCTTGATAAAGAGTTAGCGGTGCACATGCTTTGCAAATCCTGCAGTCGACCGAAATCTGCATGACAGTAATATTACGAACCGGATTTCGATTTCGGTGCGCGATTTTGATTGGACTATGCATAGACTCGTTAGTCCAGCCAAAATGTAACTCCATAATACCAGCCTAGTTCGACAAGGGTGGAAACTGGACTTTCATCGTCAGTTAACTCACTTGCCTCGGGAAGATGAGTGCAATAGCGCATCCTATTATAATGATATTTCTCGTGTTAGTATACATGTTAATCCGTAACATCAAATTTAAGTTTATAAACAAACACTGTCCTCTTGGTGTGCAAGACCCACCGAGTGGAGGTTGCCTACTGCGACCCCCCCCCCCCCCCCCCCCCCCCAGCTCAGGAATGAAAAACCATTTTATTAGAAAGTATTTTTCAAGATATTTGATACCAAAGTAGCACCAATATTGTTTTATTGAGCTAAAATTTGGGGCTATAATAAATACAAAGAAATTGAACAGATCCATTATTAGGATGCAAACAATTTTTAGGCGTTAAGTCTTTGGCCCCCCGATCATGTCGTAAGAGACGAGTGCGGTCGATGTCCTTTGTCATTTCAGCATATAAGCGTTGTATTACTTATTGGTGTAAGGTTATATCTATGCCTAATAGTCATTACCAAAGAAAGAGCTATAATCTGTTGTATAAAGAAGCTGTAAATGGCATGATTAATTGGGTATACCTTATATAAATTTGTTTTCGGCTATGTTTAGGAAAACCAATCAGTTTCTTATCCAAAACCATTTGTATTTGAATTTGTATCACAATTAAGATATATGCATGAACAAGAATGGCATATTCTATTAGATATTGCTAGTAGTCCGAAAATGCATACCTATTCTTTATTTAAATTATTTTAAAAAAATTAACCGTATCTTCTAAATATCAATATTGATAAATGTCGTACTGCGCTTTCCCGCTATCGTTGTCCTCATACACTCCATATTGAAGTGGGGAGTAACAGTAACAGTTCATTTACACTTACTTTCATGTGGTACCTCCAATGTTTGATCCAGCCCTTGAATGGCCCCTTCTTTTGGGGGGCCAGGGGCCACACGCAGCAGGGGCTCCCCGGCAGACATCCATATATGAATATGTTGGGTGACACAGTAAATGTTCCTGTGTTCGGATATTGGTACCTTGTTCGTTTGACCAAAGTGCTCTGGGCTGCCGCTCTAATGTGTCATTGATGTATGAGTACACACGTCATTTGAGTAGCATGAAGTAATCTGAGCACGAAAATGTCAAACTCGATAAAAGTTGACTGACATTATGCCTGCCACAAAAAAATAATTTTGCTGCAAGGGTTTGTTGACATTTCGGCTCATACTTTAAATTCAAACAGGATATCTGGTTCTGCAGCTGCAGCAGAAAAGATACCTAGTCAACCAACAAATCCCCCCCCCCCCCCCCCCCCCCCCCCAACAAACACACACGCACACCACACACACCCTCCACCACACCCGGATTATCAAACGGTCTCTCATTTTTATGTTATGGAACAAGGCAATGTGTGACCTTTAGTAAAGTTAAAGGAGTGTGACTCTTGTTATTGGCGGTTTTTTGCTGCGATGGTAGCTGTCAGCTAACTACCTCTCCGCAATATATGTGGTTTATATGTAGACCTAGTTAACTCGAAGTCATCATGACCATCGAAAATATTTCCAATTCGAGACAAGCGGAGTGCATAACTATGCCATAGGGTCGGGATTGCGTTTTCAGATGTAGTTACTACGTCATGGAAAACGTCATGGACAACGTCATGGACAACTTGGCCCGACGGCATGGGACAAGACTGAGTGGTTGGTTGTTGAGTGAATTGGGATTAAAGCCACTTTGAACTGTATTTAAGTTGTATCACAACGTGTCAGCTTGGTTTGACTGTTGTTTGTCTGTTGTTTAACGCCACTAAGCAATATTCCAGCTAAGTGACGGCGGTCTGGAAATAATCAAGTCTGGATCAGACAATCCAGTGATTGGCATCAAGAGCATCGATCCACGCAATTATACATGGAATAAACAGCTATTTGCCAAATGTTAGATTGATCTATGCGTAACGACAAGCAAATGTGTTACAAGCCCGAACGAGCTTATTATTTCAGTTTAAACATTGTGTGATACAGGGTGATACACTCTTCTGTTCTCTGTACATGTAAACTACTTCCTAGAAATTAAAACACTGCATCACAGATGACGATGTTTTTTTGGTCGTTGTTTAACGCCGCACTCAGCAATATCATAGCGTTATGACGACGGTCCGTAACTAATCGAGTCTGGACCAGACAATCCATGGATTGACAACTGTGATACGATGACATGCATCAACCAAGTCAGCGAGCCTGACCACCCGATCCCGTTAGTCGCCTCTTACGACAAGCATAGTCGCCTGTTACGGCAAGCCTGGGTTGCTGATGCCTGAAGGGATGCAGGTGTTTTACGTTTACTGTTGTGTTGACACCGGCTAGCAAGAAAGATGCAAAGAAACGTTGAAGCCTAATCAGGGTGAACAGGTGAACCCATGACATTAGGTTTCTGGCCCGCTTAAGGGACGCATCACCATACAGCGAATTGTAGCGACGACAAACTGTGAGAAAGACGTTTCACAGTATACGTTATTAAAGCTCTCGTTGGCTGGTGGAAGCGAAAAAGATAATGACAGTTTGCATTTTGCTCTTTCAAGGTTATAAATTATTGTGAGAGTGATACTGGGCCTAATGTTTAATTCATGAATTCATGATTCATTAATTCGCAACAGATGCGTTACATTAACGGATACATTCGTGTAAAATACCTTGTGCTTGATCCCTCCTGTATAAGGTATATGTTGTGCAGCACTCCAGGACTGCGTTGTCCTTGACCGAAATTTTTAATTAGATCAGTTGAGCACAATCTCCGGAAATAAAATCCACAATGGTAATTTGAAAGTAGTTGTGAGGTCCTAGAGAACCATATTGTCAATCTCCCATCCTCCGTCTGCACGCACTCACATGACACACCTGCTCTCAACTCACGCAGATATGAACCTGTATGGTCAGACCAGGGTTTAAATCACGTGGCCCACTCCAGAAACTCGGTCTACTTTCTTGAGGAGCTATCAGGTGACATTAAGTCTATACATTGACTGACCCCTACTTTCGTTCCGGCATTGTGATACTGGAGATTGACAGTGTAGGAGTAGTCTCGCAAATGTAAGCTGTGTGGTGATTCCCCCTTCAGTGGTATAGTGACGAAACCAGTTCGAGTTATGATGATGTTATTAAGTTCCGTACGTATTCATCCCCTGCAGGTCATGTAAAGAATATGGACATTAAAAAAACCCGCCCTAATCTAACTTATCAGATGATTAAACCTTCAGGTATGGTTGGAACAGCTGTAAGGGTTCATATGCCTTTAAGCGGTTTTATGACAATGCTTTCTCCAGCTAGACCTCGATCTCCTAATAATCGACAAAGTCACAGGGTCATCATTTCCTATTATTAATATTTCAACATGACTACTAAATTTCAAATAATTACAATAATTATTACAGTTGCTGTACAATATGAATAATGCCGTTTTGTGAATTGTTCTGAAGAAGGAGAATTTGTCAGTTTCAGCTCATGACGGAGGGACAGCCTCCGTGGTCTAGTGGTAGAGCGTCCGCCCGGAGAGCGGAAGGTCCGGGGTTGGATCCAAGGCCGCGTCATACTAAAAGACGTTATAAGATGGTACTTGTTGTTACCATGTCTGGCGCTCGGCATTAAGGGGCTAAAACAAGGACTGGTCGGCTCGGGGTCAATATACTGTGTCTGAGTTGGGTATTCATGTTAAACTGCGGCATGGTATCTCAGTGAGTTAGCATTATGAATCGGCATCAGTCCGGACTAGTACAAGCAGCCACACACGCACACACACACACGTGCATGCACGTCGCTATATAAGTGAAATGCTCTTGGACGCGACGTTAAACCCCATTTCACCTCACTTCATCTCACCTCACCTCACCTCACCTCACCTCACCTCACCTCACCTCAACACACCTCATGACGGAGCAATATGGGTAAAATACAAGATATATCAAAATTGTTAATGCGCCTTTGGGCAGGGGGGTGGCCGCGTGGTTAAAGCGTTCGCTCGTCACGCCGAAGACCCGGGTTCGATTACCGACACGGGTACAATGTGTGAAGCTCATTTTTGGTGTCCCCCGCTGTGATATTGCTGGAATATTACTAAAAGCTGCGTGAAATCATACTCACTCACTCCCTCACTCACTCATGTCAGTTCTATTTTCTTCGTACCCTGAATCCAATGGTTGTTCTTACATGTGTTTGTTTATTGTTCAACACACTCAGCGATATTCCAGCGATAGAACATATTAGTAAAGACATGATATTCTTTGTTATAATCCTGAAACTCACAAAATCTATGAGCGTTATCTGAATTTTGCAACTGCTATTCGAAATGTTAAATAAATATTACTCTCTATAGAAACCGTTTTTAAAGAGGGTATGACTTGATAGTTTATTGGGTAAGTGAGTGAGTTGGGTTTAACGCCGCTTTTAACAGTATTCCAGTTATATCGCGGCGTGTCAGCTTAATGAGGGAGGAAAGCTCGAAGTGATGCGGTTCTCAGACGTTTACCACTTCGGCGAAACCCACGAGCACGGGTATGGTGCTGACAAACCTAGAAACATAGTCGGGGCGAACCGGGATTCGAACCCACAATCACAGGTTTCTGGCGTGCCCATGGGACGCAACTCTGCACAGCGAATCGCGGCGCTTTAGACGACTGGGCCACCCGTGCCCCCACTTAACTTAAGGGCACAAAAAAGCGACTGGGTGTGTAGTTATATGGGGCGAGATCACTTTGACTACCAGGACGCCACTGAACATACCCACAACTTCCCATATAAATATCTAAATATGGAGCTTATCTGAGTGAGATCTTATCTCGTCCATTGTCCTGCAAAGTAGAGCAATACATCCAGTCTTGCATCATATTGTGTCGGTCGTCTTTGTGTACCGACTGAATCATTTTCAAATCATGATTGTTTGATACATGTATCTAAATAGTTTTTGCCAGGGCTGCAGTAAAACAATTACTAATCTGACATTTTGTTCCCAACTCTTGAGACCTGCAGTGGTTACCCGGGTAGGTTCGGGTAATAGGGGGTCAGGTACCCGGGTAGTAGATTTGGACTCGTACCAGAGACATTTTGAGGTTGCTGTAGTTCTCTTTACAGCTCATAACGTGTATTCTACCATGAATTTGAAATTTACTCGATTCTGATTGGTCAATCAGAGCCTATTAAATCACAATAAACCCCCTCTGATTGAAACAGCAGGTTTGACGTCCGCATCACTGCGGAAACTAATATTCATGGAATAGCACTTTTTTCAGTCATTGTCGGTAGGCATATTTAAATAATTATATCTACAATTACAGGTTACAAAATGCACAGATGCGGTTACTACAATATTCAAAGGATGTGTGGCAATACATTTCGTGCAGAAAACACGATAGAAATATACAAAGGGAATGTATTTACGTTTTGGAGACAACAGAGAGCTTGGAATTTTGGCGCTTTTCTATATACGACTGTGACGTCATATCTTATGCGTCACAATGAGCGATATGACGTCATAATGGTGACGCGCGATGTAGAGCGAAAGCCTTGCAAAGCTTGCTTTGTTTTCTTTAGGGATGCCCTCCTCATGTTAGCTTACCAAGTTGCCGTGCTTATATGCTTTCAACGCCTGTCATATGTTCGAGTGAAGTATTACGGTGTAATAAACTGCTTGAGTATATACAGCGCCATATTTTGTTCGGTGATTCCGTAATTCAGATCGATAACCCACTCAAAACACTGAACTCAACCCTCAGTATATGCTAACACTATAGAGTTCGCGTTTTATTTAGTCATGGTAGAATGGAGATAAACATACCGTTTTTTTTAATGTAGAGCTAGGTTACCTGTATTTTTAACCGCGCTAAATTTGTCATTTGAAACCTCACGCTGCGCGTTCGATCCCAAATTCAATTTAGCGCGGTTAACTCTACAGGTAACCTAGCTCTACATTGAAAACACAGTATGTTTATCTCCAAATTTATTGACTGATGATTGTTTGTTTACATCATCTATGATATTGAATGAGAAAACAACAAAATTTTAGAGGCTATTAACTCTAAATACTCCCCAATGCGAGATTCTAGCTCTTTCACAAAACTCATCACTGCTCCTGGAACATTGCCTGGTACTCTATGTATTTTGAACTCGCGTGACAGTTTAGCTCTAAATTCTGCAACTGCCCGACTCTGTGCAGGTTTTTGTTGATCTGGGCAACTTCGTGATAAGTTGAGTCACTTACCCCAAATGTATCAAGTACAAACAAGATATGTGACAAATTTTCACTTTCCCCATCTCCCGATTCCTCCTGATCATATTTTACAGTTACTGTCGTTTTTCCCCATTTGATGACCTTAGTTTAAGACTAGTTGGTGTAAGTCCAAGGGTTCTAACGAAACCTAATGCTTTTAATGTAGATGCCTGAACATAGTTCAGGTTTCTGTAGGCCTGGGCCCGTATTTATAAAAACTCTGAGAGTTTTTATGCATACCGGCCCTGGCGTTTGCTCATTTTGTCAAACAATCTACTCTGACTGAGTGGTGTTTGAGATGGCGTTTCAGCAAGCTCCACAACAGCCTCGCTCATTTGCTTAGCATTTACATCTTCATTCTCTAATAACCCTAATTTGTAAAACTGCTTTACATATGCCTGCTTTTTCACACCAGTAAGTTAATTTTGAGTTAACTTTTGAAATTGTCACAATGCGTTCTTCTATTCTGACGGATTGTTGTAATTGTATTACATTTAGATTTGCATTTAGAATGTCCACGAACGTGAAAACCAGATGTGCGGTTGTGCAACTGGCTATTTCTTTCAAACATTTATGGGAAATTTCTAAAAAGAGAGTTGGTGATGCACTGACAAATGATATATTAATTCCACTGCTCAACGAAGTACCCCAAACATCATGGCTGTTTTTCATGGCTATATACATGTACCTAGTCCACCACACATTAAGAATCCAGAAGGTGAACCAAAGATAGGTCATACTAAATATTTATTACTCGGAGTCCAGTGTCCTCAAACTGCACACTTTACTGGTGACAAACATAACAATCTTCTCCACCGGTTGGGTGTTGGGTTTGTTGTTTAACGCCGCACTCAGCAATATTCCAGCTATATGACGGCGGTCTGTAAATAATCGACCAGACAATTCAGAGATTGACATCATGAGCATCCATCCAGGCAATTGGGATCGATGACATGCGTCAACCAAGTCAGCGAGCCTGACCACCCGATCCCGTTAGTCGCCTCTTACGACAAGCATAGTCGCCTTTTACGTCAAGCATGGGTTGCTGAAGACCTATTCTACCCGGATCGTTACGGGTCTCTCTACCGGTACATTCCGCAATGTCAAAACTCCTCCAGTCGCCGTCAACATCTTCTTCATATAAAGCTTCTGTGAAACTCTCACGGGAAAGTTAATCTGATGACCCTCGCCATGTTGGGTAAGGGTATACCACCAGTGTGAAGAAAGAGACAGTTGACTGAAATCCTTTTTTGAAGAAGGATCGTCTTGTCATAGCTGGGCAGGTGTCTGTACACGTCAAGCTGTATGTGTGTTGAGAGTTAGACCACCCGACGACTTGACTGCTGTCTTCAGTAACCTCTCAACAGGAATAATCTAATAATTGATACACTCAGTTAAAACACATCTGTGACGTCATTCTATTGTTTGAACGCTCCATTATTTTTTCAGGAATGGAGAGTTGCTTGTCAACTGTACATTATCTTGAAGCAGCATTTGAATTTTTCAAATATTTACAACTACAGAATATTTTGTCAAAGTGTAAAAGTAGGGATGAGTTTTAAGTAGGGGAATATCCTCGTAACTCTCCATTCCTTAAATGTAATGGGCCTCGGCCCCTGCCGGGGCCTCTACTCGGACATTCCCCTCTACGTAACACACGGGATAAGTTGAATGAAAACATTGTGCGTCATTAGTTTAATAATCCACACGT